GGTAGCATATTTTAAGCAAAAAGAAAAGAAACTATAAGTCTGAAACATTCTCTCATAGCCTCCCCATCAGTACATTCAGTGCTTTGATTAAACTTAAGAAATCAACACCTTCATACATGGTATATGGTGAACTTGGAATTTTTCCAGTTCGTATTGATATATACCAAAGAGTTATATCCTTTTGGACGAAACTAATAAATTGCTCGAGCGAAAATACCGACAAACTATCTGGTAAGGTTTACAGCATGTTATATGAAATGAATAATTTAAACAATGTTAAGTCCCAATGGATCGAAAATGTTAGAAATTTGTTATGTTCTTCAGGTTTTTCTGGAGTATGGTACTGTCAGAGTTTTTTTAAATGAGAAATGGCTGATTGGTCAATTTGCCGAAAGTTAAAAGATAATTTTATACAGAAATGGCGCTCTGATATACAATTAACATCAAACACGAATATTTACAAAGGTATTAAAACTGAGTTTGGTAGAAGTGCTTATATTAAGATTTTGTCATCTAGACGAAGCTTATCAATTATGCGTTTTTTACTAGAAATCATAGGCTACCTGTGGAAACAGGAAGATGGCAGGGTATACCTTCTTCTGAAAGAAAATGTTCTTTTTGTAATGATGATGTATAGGTGACGAATTTCATTATTTGTTCACATGTCAAAAGTTTTTTTGATGAAAGAAAAAAAAAAGTATTAAAAACGGTATTTCTATGTTAATCCCATTTTTTTTCAAATTAGAAGAACTTTTTACTAGTGAAAATAAAATTTTACTAAATAAACTTAGTATTTTTATCGAAATTAAATCTAAAAACATGTAACACTGATATGCCTGGATTGCTTGTTTACTTGAAAAATATATTTATTTGCTATATGTATGTTTATTTGTAATGTTACATGTATGATTTGGATATGTTTGTCATTCTCTATTTACATAGCACTTGTTAATATGCCGCCATTATTCACTGTAATTATTATAAAACGATGCTTATGTTGTTTACTTGATGTAAACCTAAGATGGAAATAAAAAGTTTGAAAAAGTTTGAAAGATACTAACCCCAGGTCAACCAGTGACTATGTATTATTGTTTGGTTTTATTAACCTGTCAATTCCATTCTAATTACACGGTAAATGCACAGAATATATTAATCTTCGAAAGATTCTCGGTAATTTCCGTGAGATGTACGCAGTGAGATTTGATAAAATATAATTTTGTTTTTTTTTTTTCTTTTTTTTTTTTTTTTTTTATGCCTATGAAGCAATTATACTGAGCGGTTATAGCGAAATAGGGTAAGCTACGGGTTATTGATTTCTAAGTGTCCTACGAGTTGTAAGATCGAGACCGCGTACCTACAATGTTTTTTTTCTTCTTATTATAACTATTTTCAACATTGTCGAAACTATTATTGCTTGTTATGTTGTTCGTTTTGATTTAATATGTTTAGCAATTAAACTCCTTTCCAACAACATGCTTTCAGAATTAATATTTATAATGAATTCGGATTAGAATTAGAAAATGTCATTTCAATGTTAAACACATTACAAATCGAGACAATGTTTCTTAGTTGATTCATATATGTGTAGACAATATTGGAAGCACTCGGCCATTTCCATGAAAATATACTGCAAAAATAAAGAAAAAGAGTAGGCCTTAAAACAAGGGCATAAGTAGGTATGGAACTACAGACCCCTAATATATTAGATAATCACTCTACCGTCTGTGCTATCGCGGATTTGACAAGGCCTTTGCATTAAGCTGGTGTGACTTTTATAAACATTTGTTATTTACTCGATATTAATTCTCGTAAACTACACGGACAGAACCGAAGTGAAATCGAATATTTAAATGAGTGCTATAATGTATTCAAAATTGACAGGTCAATAAAATCAGACTATAATGGGTGTGTGTATATTTTAAGTCAATATTTACAAAATAGAATGTTGCAACGGTTTAAAATTACAACATCATAAATATAGCAAAAAATTTACCTTCGGACAAGACATTTAAAAAAAATATAGTTCTGTATAAACGCACGAGTCTGTGGTGAATCAACAATATGAGGGATAGTAGCTTTATTATTTAACAAAACAGAACATACTTTTTTATTTGGAAGACGCAGATTACAAAAATATTAAATTCTACAAATTTATAACAAGATTATAAACAGTGGGAATGGTCAATACATAACTGGGAAAAGAACATTTATTATACAAAATATTTCTTATGGGTATTGACTAATTCTAGGCTGATCTTACATTAAAAAATTGTGTTTCAATTTTTATTCTTTTTATGTAGGAATGTTGTTGTTGTTTTTTTGTTTTGTTTTTTTTTAGCTCACCTGTGGTCAAGGTGAGGTATAGTGATGGGGCTATGTCCGGCGTCCGTCGTCGTGCGTCGTGCGTCAACAATTGGGTTGTTAACAGTCTAGCAGTCACAGTTTTGATTGGATCATCATCAAACTTTGTCAGAATGTTTGTCGCAATGAAATACAGATCGAGTTCGAAGATGGGTTATCTCGGGTCAAAAACTAGGTCACAGGAGCTAAAAATAGAAAAAGCTTGTTAACACTCTAGAGGCTGCAGTTTTCATCCAAATATTCTGGAAATTTGTCAGGAAGGTTGTTTTATTGATATCTAGGTCAAGTTCGAAGATGGGTCATCTCCGATCAAAAACTAGGTCACAGGAGCTAAAAATAGAAAAAGCTTGTTAACACTCTAACAATTGGGTTGTTAACAGTCTAGTAGTCACAGTTTTAATTGGATCATCATCAAACTTTGTCAGAATGTTTGTCTCAATGAAATACAGATCGAGTTCGAAGATGGGTCATCTCCAGTCAAAAACTAGGTCACAGGAACTAAAAATAGAAAAAGCTTGTTAACACTCTAGAGGCTGCAGTTTTCATCCAAATATTCTGGAAATTTGTCAGGAAGGTTGTTTTAATGATTTCTAGTTCAAGTTCGAAGATGGGTCATCTCCGGTCAAAAACTAGGTCACAGGAGCTAAAAATAGAAAAAGCTTGTTAACACTCTAGTGGCTGCAGTTTTCATCCAAATATTCTGGAAATTTGTCAGGAAGGTTGTTTCGATGATATCTAGGTCAAGTTCGAAGATGGGTCATCTCCGGTCAAAAACAAGGTCACAGAAGCTAAAAATAGAAAAAGCTTGTTAACACTCTAGTGGCTGCAGTTTTCATCCAAATATTCTGGAAATTTGTCAAGAAGGTTGTTTTGATGATATCTAGGTCAAGTTCGAAGATGGGTCATCTCCGGTCAAAAACTAGGTCACAGGAGCTAAAAATAGAAAAAGCTTGTTAACACATTAGGGGCTGCAGTTTTCATCCAAATATTCTGGAAATTTGTCAGGAAGGTTGTTTTGATGATTTTAGGTCAAGTTCGAAGATGGGTCATCTCCGGTCAAAAACTAGGTCACAGGAGCTAAAAATAGAAAAAGCTTGTAAACACTCTAGTGGCTGCAGTATTGATTCAATATTCTGGAAATTTGTCAGGAATGTTTTTTGATGATTTCTGGGTCAAGTTCGAAGATAGGTCATCTCAGGTCAAAAACTAGGTCACAGGAGCTAAAAATAGAAAAAGCTTGTTTACACTCTAGTGGCTGCAGTTTTTATATTCAAATATTCTGGAAATTTGTCAGGAAGGTTGTTTTGATGATTTTCTGGGTCAAGTGCTAAGATTGGTCATGTCCGGTCAAAAACTAGGTCACAGGAGCTAAAAATAGAAAAATCTTTTTAACACTCTAGTGGCTGCAGTTTTGATCCACATTTCCTGGAAATTTATCAGGAAGGTTGTTTTGATGATTTTTAGGTCAAGTTTGAATATGGGTCGTGTCCGGTCAAAAATTAGGTCACATTGCCCAAATATGGAAAAATCTTTATAACACACTTGAGGTCACATGTTTGACTCAGTTGTCATCAAACTTGGCCATGATGCTTGTTTAAGACATTGCTTGGATGCGATTGTGTCAGGTGAGCGATCCAGGGCCATCATGGCCCTCTTGTTTTATTTTAATTTTATTAATGCGATTCGATTGAAATAAAAGTTGCCACTGATTGCACACAGAAAATTTATAGTGAAAATGTAATTAAGATTGTTAGGTTTAGTGTTTAAATAAAAACGGAAAATAAAGTTGAAGAAAAGGGAAAATAATAATAATAATAATAATAATAATAATAATAATAATAATAATAATAATAATAATAAATAATAATGCGTAGTATTAAATTGACGATTTCAATAGTCATATCAGCATTTTTAAACATACATGTATAACACAACAGCATGGAGCATGAAAAGTATTGAACTGACGAATATACTATTTCAGTAAACATGGTATAAATGAAGAAGTCCCATGAATGCTTGAAATAAAATGCACTGACAGATGAGGGGAGATAACAAAAATAGCTTATCTTGACATAGTCAATTTAATTAAATGTGAAGGAAAAATATTACAATATAAAGACTAGATCGTGTGGTGATGATTAGTCAATGTATTTTATCATGTATTTATTAAAAAAGTATTCAGATTTGAGGGAACCGGTGGTCTCCGCCTACTCTATAGACCCTTCTCAAATTATATGCATACCTGGAATTCCAGAATCAGAATGAGGCTTAACTGGCACGAATGTAAACACACTGACCACTCTTATCTCACTTTATAGCCATGATGTCTGGTGTTAACACGAAACGTTCTAATTATCATTGTTGTGTGCCTATGTGCAATTCTGATGGTAGATATGATTCTACAATTCATTTCCATCATATTCCAAAGGAAAAGATTTAAAAAAACAATGGATAACTAAGATAAGAAGGGATGAAGGGCCATTGTTTAAGGTAGTGTCCAAAAAATAATATTTTGTAAACTCTGACCAATATATGAGTTGAATATTTTTTTGTGTGTAAAAAGACAAATTTTGTAAAATAAATGTAATAGTGGGAGAATTGTTTTCTTTAATCTAACAGTTAAATCAATAGTAATTTAATCTTTACTGTAAATTATTATCAATTTAAATTTACGCTACAAATAGAGAATGGAAGCTGACTGATAGTTACCGTATAATTCCTAAATTTAAATGTATGTTGTATCTTTTAGGTAACTGCATCTACTGTGGTGTGTTCCAAACATTTTAAAACTGAGGATTACAACTGGACACCACTAAGAAAGAGACTGAAAAGTGATTCTATTCCATCAGTTTTTAATTGGGTAGAACAAACAACTCCAAGAAGACCATTGAAAAGAAAAATTCTTTCACCAAAGAAAATGCTCATTGAAAGGTAATTTATTTTTATTGTTAAGTCATTGATTTAACTGATATCTTTATCATATCATTATACACATATAAAGCTAATTTATGTTTAATAAATGTATACCACTTATATAAAAAATCATTTGAATTCATACTGAATACGTAATAGGTTTTTGTATAATATATATATTTTCAGTAGTGTCCATAATGAAGACGAGGAAGATATTACAACAAGCACTGATTGCCTGCCATCTACATCTGTGTCTTCAGAAACAGACGAGGAAAGTGATATTAAAAGGCTGAGGTTAGAACTGGTCGAGGCCAAAAAAAGATGTCAAGACCTTGAGGCTCAGCTGAGCTTAGAAAAATTTGGCATTGAGCGATTCAGTAAAGACGATTCACTCATGCTGTTTTACACAGGATTTACTTCTTACAAACATTTTTATTTATTTTATCGTTGCGTTGAACCAAACGCAAAAACTATGGTCAGTGCATATTACCAGGGAACACCTACATTTAGTTTAGCTGGAAGAAAACGGAACATGTTATTAATTGATGAACTGTTTATGTTCTTATGCAGATTAAGGGTAGGTCTATTAGAACAAGACCTTGGTGTCAGATTCAACTGTTCTATATCGACTGTTAGCCGAAAAATAATAACATGGGTTAACTTTCTGTATATGGTTTTGGGCAGGATACCACTTTGGATGTCTCGGGAAGCTATTAATGAATGCATGCCCGAGTGTTTTAAAGTACTGTATCCAAAAACAAGAGTTGTGATAGATTGTACGGAAATTAAGACTCAGCAGCCTTCATCTCTTGTTTTAAATTCTCAGATGTATTCAAATTACAAAGGGTCATGCACATTTAAATGTTTGCTTGGTGTAGCACCCCATGGGCTTATAACATTTGTGTCACCATTATATACTGGATGCATGTCAGATGTTGAGATCACTAAACTTTCTGGTCTCCTTGAATTTCTGGAAAATGGAGATGATGTGATGGCTGATAAAGGATCACATTGAAAAAAGATACTTTCAGAAAGGGGGTGACATTGAATATACCAGTATTTTTAAAAAAATAAAGGCAAATTTACACTAGAAGAAGTGAAAGAGACTGAGCAAATAGCCAAACTTAGAATTCATATAGAAAGAATTAACCGTAGAATTAAGGAGTATCACCTGTTTGACACACCTATTCCATTATCTCTTGCTGGTTCTGTCAACCAGTTATGGACAGTGGCGTGTATACTTGCTAATTTTAAAAGACCAATAGTACAATCATGGACAAAATGAAATAGTGTTTCTTAGGGTTCAGGGCCAATTAGTTGGATATACAGAAACAAGTTTATAGGAAAACTACTTCTACTTTGTATAATGTAGAAATGATATTTATGTTTTATCATGTATTGGAATTTGAAAAAATAATATAAAAGAATAATAAAAACAATATTTAAATGAAATATTTATGTTTAGTCTTTATTAAAATTTTGAAATAAATACATCAATTGATTTCAAAAATAAAGTGATCAAAATAAAACATGTCAATTTTATTTTTTCACACTGTTCCATATATCACGGTTTAAGTATATTGTTTCCTGGTGACTATCCCCTGTGCACCAAACAAATAAATCGCACCAGTCTAATCCAGACACGGCCAGCTGTGTTAATATTTGGTAGTAGTAATTATGATTTTGTTTCAGCTTCAATTGTCCTGCATCATTTCCAATTAGATATTTACATTCAATAACAGATGAAACTTGTGGGCATTTTTTATTTCCAAAAGTCCAAATGGTGGGAATCGTTGTGGATTATAAACTTTTCTGTCTGGACTTGCCGCAAGCCATGGTGATTTGGGACAAATAATAAGTCCGCATGGATATAAGTTAATTTGATTATCATTTTTCTTAGCATATTCATTGCTGCTGTAGGTTCTAAAGCAATGCCTTGTCTCATTGCGGCAGTTGTAACATGCCGGGTACTTTTCAATCTTTTCACCAAAGTACTTTCATTCTTTTTACGTTTGAATATATCACCAATGTTTGATGCTGTCACCCTATCCGTCGAAAGTTTATACCAGAGGGAGCTACGATTTTTGAAGTCTTGTAGAAATTTCAAATTTTGTGATGTTATGTTGTGATAATTTCAGACTTTCTAATTTTAATGTTTGGTTTGAAGTTAAAACTGTTTGGTAACAATTTTCCATCACATTATTTACTGGTAAGTCTGGAAAAGAAACACCATCATAAATATTTAAAACGATATTATCATCTAGTCTCTGTTGATAGCTTAATACAGATCCTGCAGGCACAAGGCCAAATTTTGATGGCACCATTTTGGGAATGTGTTTGATAACATCTAGCATTAACATTTCAGGAGCTTCTCTTTTAAGTTGTTCATAATGTTCATTCCACTTTAAATCACTACGTAATGGATCATACAAAGTGGACTGAATTGAACGTCCAGGAATATCTCTTAATTCTGCTTTTGAATAACCACGAACTTCTAGATTGTCAACTGTTGTACCATCAATCTTCTGGCCTCGTGGTGCATGCCAAGTTTGTGGAAGTGATGTACTAGCTGCATCTGCTGGTATTACTCTTTGCTTCAAATGCTTAAACTTGGCAATCTGGTACAATGTCCCGGTCACATGGCCACATGATCCAGACACACCAATTGGACATGTGCAGTTAGCATAAGTTATGCTGATTTCTTCATTGCAATCTTTCATCACAACCTAAAAGAGCAATATGAAATAAAGTAAACATATCAAAATATTTTATCATCGTAATAATTGTTAATGATCATTACATTCATAATTAAATGTATTGATTATCATCAATTCATATTACTGTTATTATGTCCTATTACAAATATGTAATAACATATACCTTCAGCTGATGGGGTTTCTCATTCTTTCTCTGTGACCGATGGCATTTTCCATATATTGCACAACCATAATCTCCTGATTGTACTGAAAAGTACAGATATAAAATTCATAAAGTACATGTATCAACAGAGTTTGGCTAGGAATTAGTTTATTTCAGATACTACGGTAAAAGATCTTTACTATTGAGTCAATACACATTGATAAAATCTGCCCAATACACATCTGATAAAGATTCTCCATGGGCAATTAGCGGTTTATCAGTAAGAATCAATTTGCAATTACCTTTATGTTAGCACCCAAAGATTTTCGTAAATAAACAGAACAACTAAGATTATATAAGCAAGACAGGCAGATTTATATATAAACCAGATATTATGTTAGAAACTATGTTAATGACTGAAAAATTGAAACCGAAAGTAAAAAATCTTTACTCTTACTCACCTCTTAAATCATGAATGTATCCCTCACAAAAATACTTGAATCCTTTATTTAGTGATTTCTGTCCTGATGAACCTTTGTTTTGTTTAATATATAACTCTACAAATGAGAAATTAATTTCAGGAACCAAAGATAAGTCAATTTCACTGTATGCACTCATGCTTTCTTACAGCTTATACTGGCTTATCAGCTTGCCAGTTATGCCTCGTTCTGGTTCAAATTCTAAAAATAGCTGTAGAATATTAAGAATGGCCTATCGTGAAGTAAAGAGGGATATAGAAGAGCTGACGAAGAATTGAGTGATCCAAAGGAACATAACCTTGTTAATGTGAAGTCTGGTTATTTATAAAATCTCGATTCAACTTCATTAGTCCTCTTATCAAAGGTAGTGTATTACATTATGGGTAAAAAAGATAAGATAAGTAATATTTTGTATAGAACTCCCTTATTGCTCTATAAAAATGCACATGGATGTACTTAAATTTTCTATGTTCATGGCAATGTGAATAATGTGGGTAAGCCTGTTTTCTTTCGGTTAGAACTGAAACCTGGAACTCTTAGTTTATTCAAATGTCCTTTAATGTCTGTTAACCACTGTTGTACAGCGTTCACCGGAAATAGCCCAAGAAAAACGTCGAAAACGAAAGTAAAAAGGTTTACGTCGACTTCACCCAAGGTAATGTTTCAGCTAGTTAACTCAGAGACATCGATAACAATAATGTTATCTATGTCTCTGGTTAACTATAATTTTGATAGTGGAATTTTTTTTTATATATATAATTTCATCGGTGGTTTTGTATTTGGTACCTTAAAGTAAGCCTTAGAGTGTTGATTTTTTTTTCAGGGTTGTAGTAGGGGTCCAGGGGCAGATAGGGGTGGGGTGTCCAAACACTGATACTGCCGCCTGTGCGTTAACTTGGTGACAGATGCTGGATACTTTGATTTCTGTTGTCTGTTTGATTGGTGCTTTATTTTTTATGTACTAATCTAATAAATGCATGAAGTCATTCCAACTCCCTGAGAATAGCGGGGACATTGACCCCTTTTCAAACACGGTTCATTTCACCACTTATTACGCGTTGAGATATTGTGTTATTATGTACGGGCAATACAATTATTCCCTCTAGAATCATAAAAATATTTCAGACGTCAAAATTATTTGAGTACTGCCCAGGGGTGACCGTGACGAAATCTTACACTTTATTATCTTGATGCCGCGTGCACGCGGCGGTTAGTAGATTCATGTATGTTATCGGGCCTCACGCGCGTGGCTTAGGCTACACTTTTTTTGAAAAATAAAATTGACGGGCCGTGGCTTATTTATGTGAAAAAGACTATAGATCATAATTTGGTATATTTCTGCCTTTATCCTTGTTTGAATAATGTCCAAGACTAAACAATATTTCACACACGCACGCGCATTGGAGCATATGTCTTCCATTTTAACCAATCAGCTGCAAGTAATGACTGACGCCGCCAATCTTGGTTGCAGGAAAGAAACTAAATATTCAATGTTATAATAAGTCTCACGGTAAATTGGAGTGAAATGCATCGTTCAAAATAGTTATATAAAATAGATACATTTAAAGCTTTAGGCTGATCGGAATATTTTTGTTGCAAAATTACCGGAAATAGAAACTTTGTCTTTGTTCTTCATCAGGACCATGGGAATGTTTGGTCGCCATCTTGTTTCCAAAATTCCTCACCGGCCTGAGTAAAATTGCATTTTCTCACGGAATAATTGATGGACATCTATATAAACTAGTGGAATTAATAAGCGACCATACTGATCCCTCTTGATGGCAAATTCCAGTACTACACTTGCTAGTCTTTGGGACGACGGTGAGCTTAACGTCATGCATATTTTTTTTAAAAAAAAGTTGAAGTTCAATGAAAGTGTATTTTAGTCAGTTAATTAGTATGTTCCATTATGTTTACTGTTTGAGTTTAATTATTTTTCAACCAAGTACTTGTTGGTGAGTTACCGATCGAAGTTACAGCATAAATCCAAGAAAAAGACTGTTTCTTGAACTTAATTAAGAAATTTCTTCCTACTTGCTTGCGTTTTATGGTTAATGCATAGGCTGTAAGGGTTTTTTTTGGACAGGATTATTTATAATAAATAACACTGCATATATAAACGGGCCCGTACATAAACTTATTAAACTCACTCGCAGCTGCACAAGTTTTAGTTTGTCTATTCACAGAATATTCGAGCTAATGTTGTTGCCTGAGTGTAGGACAGCCCTCCGGTCCAAAAATGAAAAGGCAGAAAAAAGCCCTCCCTTGAAAATTACAGGGCGGACAAAAGCCCTTCTGTGATAATGACAGGGCGGACAAAAGACCTCCCTAAAAATGACAGGGCAGACAAAAGACCTGCAGTAAATGCATATATGTACGTTAAATACTTTATATACTATCACTGCTGGTGGGATTTACAAATTACATGCCCCTGTTTCATCCTTACTGTTACAGTACCAGTGTTAGCGATTTTCCCTAACTTTACTGAGTACCTGGGACTCAGTGCTAATAGATCTGTTACGTCCCAATTCAAATGGAACGAGTCCTCAATTACAAAAATGTCAATGTTTGCATAACTTCATAATACAATCAAATTTGTGACTGTTGATGTTCGCGGATACCATTGATAGGTTGGCCCAAAACGAGGCCAAGCACTTGCTCCTAGTCTACGTTTGGGATATAAATCTGCATTGCTAATGAGAAAGGAACAAATGAAAATGAGGTGAAAGTCAAGTTCTTATAATACAATTTATTTAAAGTGAATAGAAAATCATTTTCAAGCAGAGCAAAAAAACTTAAGAGAGAATTGACCAATTATCGGGGAAAAAGTGTTTCGTCCCAGGGACTCAACAGCCCTTTTTTTCTTTCCTCCCTGGCAATTTTAGCGAGTAAATTGATATGTTTACTCAGTAAACGCGAACACTGAGTACATATGTGAGGACATGATACTTTTTGTGACCAAAACTCCTTCTACTCTAGTTAAAAACCTTAGAAAGACAAAACTGACCTATTGTTATCCGTCATTTCAAACAATCCTCTGTTAGCAATGTCCTGAAAAATATAATGTAAAGACGATATTGCATTATTCCATAAAAGATCAATGATAATGTTTGTAAATACATGCAAAAATAAATGATAATAATAATATTGAGTTCACATTCATAACAATATTAGAACCGATTCCAGTAATCCTAGACGAAGTGAAGCCGATTCCGGTAATCGCTCGTTGATTCGGTAGTATGGAAGAAATCATAGATCACCTTGTTTATTATGTAATAGCGATTACAATAAATATTATTTAATATCATTTGAATTGTTTGTATTTAATAAAATATGGCAAGATATTTTTAAAACGCTGAAATATAACAAAAAAAAAAACAGACTTATTCCGGTATTTACCTGTTAATTCAGGCACTGTTATAGTAATTAGCCTATCTTAAATATCTAGTTTATAGTAAAAAAGTGATCTTTATTTCTCAAAAAAATATTTTTATATCAATGATATTATTTGCATTTAAATAAATAAAATAACATAAAAATAACTATATTACAGGCTGATTCCGCCCATCCTTCCCCTATATCGGCAGTATGACAGTAATTCGCCGATCTTAGGTATCTTGTTTTATTAATCAAAAGCAAATTTACTTACAAAAATGAATATCGTTGAAAAATGTTTATATCTTATAAAAACATGCAAAAGAAATATTCAAAAAGTTCACAAATAACCAATTTACAGGTCGATTCCGGTAATCTATCGCCTATTCCGACAGGTTTCCCGTTTTTGCCGATCTTCAATATTAATCTTTTTATCATTTATAACAGCAATTTTTCATAAAGGAAGATTAATGATAATATTTAGGTTTTATAAAAACATGCAAAAGGAACATTAAAAGTTGCATAAACAACGAAATAACAGGCCGATTCCGGTCATGGGCAGTTTGGCAATAGCTCGCCGATATTAGATCTCTTGTTAAATTAATCAAAAGCGATTTTATTTATAAAAATCTTTTCATAAATCATTAATATTGTTTATATTTTATAAAATTGCAAGAAAAAACTTAAAAAGTTTAATTATTACAAAGTTACAGGTCGATTCCGGTAATTCACCGTCGATTCCGGTAATTCGGCCGATTCCGGTAAGTCGTGTAACCCCTTTTTTCCCCAATTTTTAACAAAACATCGCTGGAATTCCCAATTCCATGGGTATGTGTCATGTTCCCAAAATCCTGGAAAAAAACCTTGAGTCCCAAAGCAGTCAAAAATTTTCTGCATTTATGCAGTTGATGAGCATCTTCAAACACTTAAGAAAATGTTATTGGCATAACAGTAGTGTTGGGTATCAGACTCAAAAATCACTATCGATAATCGGATCACCACAATCGATTGTCTTCCGATGGTATAATCGAGTTTGTTTGGCCCTTTTTCCTTTAAGGTACCAATCCTTGTATGTATTTTTTAGCTCGACTTTTCTATGAAAAGGGGAGCTATCCTACTCGCCCCGGCGTCGGCGTTGGCGTCGGCGTTGGCGTCACACCTTGGTTAAGTTTTTCGTACCACCCCACTTTATTTCAGAAGTATTACAAGTATGGCTTTGAAACTTACCATACTTGTTCACCATCATAACCTCCATCTACAGACAAGAGTACATAACTCTGTCAAGGTTTTTGACAGAATTATGGCCCTTTTTTGACTTAGAAAGTGTATTGAGCTTGGTTAAGTTTTTTGTACCACCTCACTTTATTTCAAAACCATTGGAGGTATTGCTTTGAAACTGACCATACTTGTTTACCATCACGACCTTCATCAACAGACAAGAGGACATAACTCTGTCAAGGTTTTTTTACAGAATTATGCCCCTTTTTGACTTAGAAAATACATTGAATATGGGTAAAATCCACTTATTGCCTTAACCCTTTGAGATATTGCTTTGAAACTTTTAATGCTATTTCACATCATTACCCCCATCTGTACGCAAGAGAAGGTAACTCTGTCAAGGATTTGTTTTAAAAAATTAAGGCCTTTTATCGACTTAGAATCTTGGTTAAGTTTTTAGTACCAGTCCACTTTTTGACTGAACTGTTTGAGATATTAATTTGAAAGTTGGAATACTTGTTTACAATCATGATTCCCAAACATGTCCAGGAGAAGGTAATTCTGTCAAAGATTTTATTTGAATTATGGCCCTTAACTGTCAATGTTTTGTATTATAGGCAAGCACTAAAAAACTTAAAAAATCTAAAAAAATTCATTCCTATCCACTTGTTCACTTTACCATAAATTATGTCATAATAAAATAATTCTTCACTAAATATCTTAATGCTCATGGCCATTGTTCACTTTAAAAATACAGAGATTCTTGTATTGCCTTTTACTGCAAAAACTTTTTTTATTGGCAAGCAATAAAAAAGTCGAGCGCGCTGTCTTACGGACAGCTCTTGTTTATACAGTAGTGACCATATTTTGAGAATAAATAAGCCCTTGTCTCCTTGATTGAAGTAAGATTTACTCTTTGAATTCAAAACAAACAACACAAATACCTAATACTACTTTGTGAGAGGCAAAGATGAATTTGCTTTGGTGTTCAGGAAAAAAAGTCGTTCAAATTGCCCACTTATTCACTAGCCATGTTTTTTCTGTATATCTGTTTTGATAAGGCAAACAAAAAAGACTAAAGGATCCTCTGGAATTAAAGAGATTTGGTCAGAAAACTTCTATTTGACCATGTGTAAAAAAGTTACGCCCTAGGCAATTCAGTGGTGGTACATGACAATGTAGAACATTAAAATAATCGATTGTTAAAAATGACTATCGATTGTTGCCAATTTTGGGGTGGTCCGATTAGTTATCGATTTTCAGAGACAATCGGGACAACACTACATAACAGTAAAGAAGCCCTTATTTTCAAAGATTTTACAACTTGTTATTCAATATTTTTATTTTGTAACTTTCCATTGGGAATTTTTTCCTGTGGATTGGGAAAATAATAGACTATTTTCAATTAGGAATATGACCAAATACTGGCTATAAAATAAGCCAAAAAAAATCCCTGGGACTCCTAACTTTTTATACCGTCTCCGTGGTCTAGGGGTTAGAGTCGATGACTTCTAATCCAGTTACCTCTGTGGCGTGGGTTCGATCCCCGGGAGACGCTTTGGTAGTTTAGCGCGGAGGAAGGTAGTCTAGTATTGGTGTAACTCTCTAGGAACGATGGTTAGGAAACTACCCGCCTATAAGATTGAAATACTGTTGGAAAAAGGCGTAAAATGAAACAAACCTAACTTTTTCTGGCATAGAAGTCCCAGGACTTCTATTTTGAAAATCCTAGTGTGAATGCTATTATGTTAATAATGCCCTAGAGTCATCACTTTGTGTCAAAATCTTTCAGTTCTTGCTCCAGTACCTGTATGACCTTACTAGTGTTGATGTGATGTAACCAACCTAACAGATGATGACCCTTTCTATTAGATAAAGATAAAGATTGTGTAAAAAAAAAAAATTGAAAATAATATTCAGTAGGGCTGGATCAATATACCGGTAAATCGGTATTTATCGATTTCCCGTTTTTCAATACGGTACGGTTATCGGGTTTTAGCTATACCGATACAAAGGGAGACAACTAAACATGATGGCTTTACATTAAAACTATCGTCTTTAAAATGTCCGCACAAAAGTCAAAAGTGTGGAATTTTCTCTAAAGTAAATGTTAAGAAGGCACTCATCAATATTTGAAAGGCTGCATTGATTAGTTCAGGTGGAACAACGAATATGTCAATACACAAAATAACGGATAAATCCGTGACAAAATTTATCCGGCCATTCAATCTCCTATTTCTAACACTGGTAAAAACTACTTTCAGGTCGGCAGTAGTTTGTATTAAACCAAACATTTACTTGTAATTTTTTAAACACATATTGTGAACACATAGATCCTACAAATTTATTGATTTTCCAAGATGTAGTTTGCTAACTAAATAAATGTGACTGCGCGAAGATGTAGCTAAACACCGTTTCCCGGTACGTTACGGATTACGACACCACAACGTCATGACATGATATTTATATTTTTATTGTAATTTTACCGTTTAAAATAGAAAAAACATGATTTGTTAGAAAATTTTCAATGTTCCAATACTTTCTCAGCGTATATATTTCAAATTCTACAAAAATTTGATTTTATTATAAAGATCTTATAATTTAGAACAGTTGACTTGTAGACAGTACTAGACTCCTGTCATAATAAATAGTGATGTTTTAATTATTTTCTGTGTTAACTTTTCCTAGTATTTACATAATTATATTTTTGCATTGAATTATTTCTCTACAAAGCTTTTTAATTTTTTTTTCAAAATAATTGTTTTATCTAAAAAAGGGACCATCATGTCATTTTCAAAATATTACCTCAAATGTACTAATTAAGGTACCTATATATATGCACCTGCTCTGTATTATATATCATCATTAACAAAGTCAAAATCTAAAACAGATATAAGAAAGATTCAATAATATTTCACCAGGGCATCTATGAAATGTAAATAGTACTTTTAATAAGTACATCCTAACAATGAAGCATCATTGTACTGTATCGTCAATACGTATTGTGTATCGTTGGTCTGTATCGCAATACGTATCGTATCGGAAATTTCTGATCAATACCCAGCCCTAATATTCAGGTGCAAGACAAACATACAAAGTGAATTTTGTACAAAAATTGCACTTGATTCTCTTATCACTATTGTCTAGTATAGAAGTATCCATTATTCTTATTTGATGCATTTGTTTACCTTTCTATTTTACCAATTTTGGTGGGTGAAATGTAATGCTCTGTGGCTTTGAAATGTAGCTGATATTCAGCTTCTGATACTGAATTAAAAAAAACCAAACCCAGTCCAACCTTGAACAAGATGCGGCTTAGCACTTAGAAGGGGTGCCTGAAATAATGCACGGAAGGGCACCTGAGGTCTTCCTCCACCAGTAAAGCTGGAACGTCGCGATATGACCTATACTGTGTCGATGTGACGTAAAACCCAAAAAAACAAAAAAACAAACTTAGAAGGGGTTATATAATAGTGCTTAAATAATCATATACACCTGATATGAGAGACTATAGTCTTGCTTGTATACTGCATATTCTTTTAAATTATTGTTTAATTCTAGGTCAACAAAGTCCACTTAAGGTAATCCATACAACACCGGTGAAGATGGAAAGTGGTGCCAACGAACTCAAAGAAGATGTAATTAGATTCTACAAAACTACTGGCCTTGAGGATGTTGCAAAAGAGGTACACAGAATTACTTTATGAATACATGTATATCAAGGTGCAATAGGGAAAGCTGGGTGGTTGTCTTTGACTTTGAATAATTTGCCCCTTCTGTTTGTTCATTTGTAAGTTTGAATCATTTCAAAAGTATAAATTCCTTTATGTCCGTAAGATATCCAGACATTTGTAGACAATAAAAGGTCTTGTTGTAGAGGGATCTCTATTTTTCCAGAATTTTCGTACGTACCAAGATTGCTGTTTGTGTTGATTGATTCAGAGGTGCTTTAGTCTTTGCCAGGTCAGCCTGCAGTTCCAATCTGTCCAGGCTGTTGCAGTCCAACATGGCTCTATACTGTTGGTGGAGTTATATTAGATTTTTAATATTTAAGATTTGAAATATATTGAAATACTTAAAATTAATAATGAACAGTTGCAAATATGGAAACTACCCAAGTATTGTTTAGAAATTTCACAGGTTAATGGCAAAATGTGTTATTGATAATTTTTACTGTGAGCAACGAAATCAAGATTGAATGAAATGATTGATGAAAATATGGAGGATTTTTATGTAAGAGATGGTTTCTTTATATTTGAACATCCTTTTCATTGCTTGCATGTGTTGTAAGGACAGACACATGGTTGTTGCAACTCGATGATGAAATTTAAATAATTTGACAAGCTACTTAATGCTCATTTATGTTTCATGACAGAATATCTTACTTTTAAGTAATATTTGTAAAAAGCTGATAAAAAACATCTATCATAAGGGTTCTCACTAGGACCTTAAAACATGGAGTCCATGGACTCCCAACTCCCAAGCCTGAAAAAGTTGGGAGTCCAAAAGCGCGTTGCAATTAATAGGTTTACAGATTAGTCATTTGATGCTCACAGTAGCATTGCTGATATTTTGAATCTTCAAGAGACTTTCAAAGTTTATAGTTATTCAAAACAAACTCTAAACTACATAGTATAATTATTGTTTTGTTGTTAATATTCATTATGAAACATTAAAATTTTAATGCATCAAGTTCAACAGTTGAACACGTGGAAATCGTTTTTTTTCTTCACTTTTATACCAAATCAAATTTTATTCTGGTTAAATAAGTCCACTCTAAAGATTTGTAAAAAAAGATCGTAAATGTATATAGGCAGCGTTTAGCGGAATGAATAGGAAAATCGTGTACAGCTTCACACTGTGTGTAAGAGATTCATCCGATTGACAATTATTTTAGTTATTATCTTCATCAATATTTAAAGATTTAATGTTGATTAATTAACAAAGGAACAATTCATTCACATGTTTCAGTTGGCTTGGAAACTGAGAATTTTTGTGCCCTTTGCAAAATTTTATGGTTTCTGGCGAATGTAAAATCGCCGATGTTAGGGATCAATTTTAGGATAGAATCTAAATATATCCAAGAAAAGTATATGTGTATTTTGGTTTGTTGTCCTGGCATTTTGGCACATCTTAAATTCTTAATACTCTTATAGAACGTTTTTGCAAGAATGAGAACTAAAGCCAAATTTGGCTAGAAAATGCCGAAAATATTTGACAATAATTCATAATTACACTCATAAATTTGTAAACTTGAGAAAATAGTCTAAACATGCAGCGTAAATAGTCAATAGTTAATCCTTTTGTCGGTAAAATTTGCTTTTTTTTGATGAATGAAAATTATCACCTTGTGTTATATCTGGTAATTACTAATACAGCACGTGTATTAGTCTGATCTCTATCGCATAATAATGATCGAAAGCATTATCGCTGATTGGCTAATCGTTTCACTGGTCAATGTGCATAGGACTGCCTACCTATAGACTGACACGCGCTGACTTATTTGTGGTTGTAAACAATCGGTTATGTTTATGCGTCCCCAGGCAAAATTAAGCGTACGCGGAATCCTTGCTCTGAAATATTTGCGTCCAGCTGAAATAAACATGCGTACCAGGACGCCCAAATAAGTGTCACCGAGAACCCTGATCATTAAGCTGGTAAAAAAAATGTTTTTTTTTGGGTGGGGGAATCTCTTCACTTTGTATATAAAAAGGTTGATTGCTTATATGACCAAAAGGCTTAGAACTGTAAAAAGTTGCATAACAAATTGATTTTTCATAAAAAATTCTTTTTTCTTTAACCTATGCTTGGAATATAACAAAATTGAATGAATTTTTATGCCCCCACAATGTGGGAGCATATAGCGTTGCACTTGTCTGTCCGTCCGTACGTACCGAAATCTTGTGAACGCAACTCCTCTTAAACCGGATGGCAGATTTTGCTTAAACTTACAGGGATGAACAACCTTAATGTGTAGATGGTAGTAAAGGAAGGAATTTTCGCTGCGACCAAATTTAACAGAATTATGGCCCTTTGTTGATTTTTTCACTATATACTATGTAGAAATTTTGTGAACGCAACTCCTCTTAAACCGGATGGCAGATTTTGCTAAAACTTACAGGGATGAACAACCTTAATGTGTAGATGGCAGTAAAGGCAGGCTTTCTACTGGTCCCTACTTTTCCCTACTTTTTTCTTTTGATCCCTACTTTGCCCTACTTTTTTCTGAAATAGCCCTATTATCCCTACTTTTTCATTTTGAAATGAAATGGAAAAAAAGAAGATATTTAAAGTGGTATTTCAGTTGTATTTTCAGTTGCAATTGATGAGTAGTTCAGGTATGTGTGTGTGTCTCCTTGTGATGTCCATCCTTGAAAGACTCATGGTCAGAGCTGCATTACTGGTACTGGTACCTCAGTATGTACTGCAGCGATTTTGCAAGTACTGGTACTGATACTGAATTACTCTTACAAAATTTTGCTACTACACAGGTACTGGTACTGCATTACTGTCTTAAAAAGGTGGTACTGCTACTGCATTACAAGGCAGTATTTTTGGTTTTGATAAAAATGTCATTATTTTTACTCATAAAGTAAAGCTGTAAATTCCATGTATTATTTTATTTTTGTGAAAAAGTAAGTTATCAAATCTATAAATAATTTGCTGCAATATTCCTTCAAATGTTAACTTAGTATTTATCATAAAAAAGCACCAAAGACTTAAAGTAAAATTAAATTGAGATAAACAGAGTCAATAAATCTTTACTGATAAAATATCCTTATTGCAATCTTATTACTTTGTATTTACTAGTAAAAAAAAGAGCAAAATAAACACTAATTAATTACTTCTATTCTAAATAATCCTATTTCAAGTGATATTGTTAGCACCATAAAAAGTTGTTATTTACTTTGGTATAAATTGAACAGAGGTGTGAAAATGTGAAAGGCAACAAAAAGACTGGTGGGTTTAAAATGTAAGATTATTGCATTGTATTACAGTTGACTGGTTACTAAACAATAACATATGACATGAATATATGTTGTAATTATTGTTTGTAAAAAGTATGTTCGTTCATTTAAGTTGTAAAAATGTAATGTCAACTTTAAAGTAAATGATTTTATTTCTTTGTTGAATAATGTTTGCAATTATTTAGAATGACACTGTGTATTTATTCAAACTTTGATGAATATATAAAAGTATTAGTAGTCTACTGGTACTTAATTACTTCCCCCAAAAAAGTACTGGTACTGCAGTACCAAGCTAAAATCAAGTACTGGTACTGCAAATCTTGGCAAGTACTGGTACTGGTACTTAAGTACTACACCCTTAGTACTGATGCAGCTCTGCTCATGGTGCCTTGGCAAAACATTAAGCAACATTTTGGCTATGAGTTGCTTGTCTTTCAAGCATGGACTGAACTGAAGTTACACACAGCCTGATGTGGTCTTGGTGATGGTATGTTTTGCTAATTCTTAAATAAAACAGTAAGAAATTCCTACTTTATCCCTACTTTTTAACATCAGAAATCCCTACTTTGCCCTACTTTTTGGTAAAAAAATGCCCTACTTTTTCCCTAGTTTTTTTGGTAGAGGCAGTAGAAAGCCTGTAAAGGAAGGAATTTTTGCTGCAACCAAATTTTACAGAATTATGGCCCTTTGTTGATTTTTCACTATATACTATGTAGAAATTTTGTGAACGCAACTTCTTTTAAACCTGATGGCAGATTTTGCTTAAACTTCCAGGGATTAACAACCTTAATGTGTAGATGGTAGTACAGGAAGGAATTTTTGCTTCGACCAAATTTAACAGAATTATGGCCCTTTGTTGATTTTTAGTTTTCAACTTGTTGCACATGTAGTCCAAAAAATATTTGACCTAGAGTCATAAGATTGACAGAACAGTGGCGTGTGGGGGCATCCGTGTCCTATGGACACATTTCTAATTATTTTATAGTTGGAAGATTTACTTAGATATACTTCACAAACAGCTGAAGGTTCTATTGATTTGTCACTGTTGAATTTTGCAACATTTTCTTTTACTATGTCTTTTATTTTGATTTCTCAAGATGCTCATTGCCCTTTGTGATTTTGATTAATTTTAGGAAAAAATATAGTGTGAAATTTACTTGACATTTTCTTCAACATGGCTCTGTTGATTGAATGCAGTTTCTGCATGATAAAATTTGCCATTGGCTTTAGAGGATAATTGCATTTTCTGAGATTGATCTTGTGTATTAAAGGTGTATATACATGGCTTGAACCAGATCTCGCCAGTTTTAATCTATAGACAATTCTGGCATGATCATCAAAAGTTTCATTAGGTGCACTACAGTAATTAATTGTCTGTTTATTCTGCTATATAAAAGTGTAATTCTGTGTGCGGTTTGCTAGATAATGCATACCTAGACTGTCCTAAAGGGTATAAAGCTCAGGGTCAAAACACCATTTTTGGGGAAGGGGCCTCAGCCTTTTTCTTGGGGAAAATATGCATAATTTTGGCATACTTTGGGAAAAGGGGTCTCAAATTTAACACAAACTTTTAACAAGTTCTTTAAAATAGAAAAGCAAAAAGCACTGTGAAATTTACAAGGCAGTAAAAGACCTTAATTCAACACTATCATTTAATTTTGTTCTAAATTCCATAGGAAATTTCAAAAGACTGGGAAATTTTGAGGACCTAACTGGGGAAAAAAGAGGCTAGTTTATTTGGGGAAGCAGCCTATATTTGGCCTCTACAAAGAAGGGTTTTTTGGCCCTGAAGCTATATATACATGTATATATATCTGTTAGACTATTTTTATAAAATTTAAAAAACTGTAAAATTATGTTATTTTTATAAACTAGGGTTGATTCTTACATAAAATGGTTCTGTTTTTGCCCCCACACAAATGAAAATTGTACATACACAGAATAAAACCTTTCTGCACTAAAGTTAACCAACATAATGCGTTTGCGACCAGCATGGATCCAGACCAGCAGGCGCATCCACTGGTCGTAAACACACTATGTTGGTTTTGTCATGACGCGGCTCATTTAATGATTATATGGTTCATCTATTTTAATTGTGACCTTAATCCATGATTATGAAAACAGCATGTCCGAGGAGAGCTGAAAATGACTGATTGTTAATGTACATACTTGGTAATGTTTATGTACATACATGGTAATGTGTTGACTGATTGTTTATGTACATACTTGGTAATGTGTTGACTGATTGTTTATGTACATACTTGATAATGTGTTGACTGATTGTTTATGTACATACTTGATAATGTGTTGACTGATTGTTTATGTACATACTTGGTAATGTGTTGACTGATTGTTTATGTACATACTTGGTAATGTGTTGACTGATTGTTTATGTACATACTTGATAATGTGTTGACTGATTGTTTATGTACATACTTGGTATTGTGTTGACTGATTGTTTATGTACATACTTGGTATTGTGTTGACTGATTGTTTATGTACATACTTGGTAATGTGTTGACTGATTGTTTATGTACATACTTGATAATGTGTTGGCTGATTGTTTATGTACATACTTGGTAATGTGTTGACTGATTGTTTATGTACATACTTGGTAATGTGTTGACTGATTGTTTATGTACATACTTGATAATGTGTTGACTGATTGTTTATGTACATACTTGATAATGTGTTGACTGATTGTTTATGTACATACTTGATAATGTGTTGACTGACTGATTGTTTATGTACATACTTGGTAATGTGTTGACTGATTGTTTATGTACATACTTGATAATGTGTTGACTGATTGTTTATGTACATACTTGGTATTGTGTTGGCTGTTTCCAAGCTCAACATGTATATATCTTTCTTTTCTTGGAAAAAGATAAAATATCCATCATGTATGTAAGATGATAATATTTATCCTTCATTTAACATGATTCAAGTATTAAGTGCTTGGCTGCATTTGTTACCTATTTTAGAAATCTTCAATTCATTCAAACCCACTCTCTAGAAAAAATGTAAATACTTGAGGTTACCACCAAACACCTGCCTCTAAATTTGCATACAGCGACCTAGTTTATGCAGTGAATAAAGTAGGTCATGTTTTTCTTGCTGGGCCAAGTTAAATCAATAATTGATCTGTAATTGGTTTATAAGTGGAGTATTTTTGTATTGTTATTTCCTTCATTTGTGCGTTAAATTGTGGTAATTAGTAATTGCCAGTGGGCATAATTGTTTATAAATTGAAATAGCATAAATTGTTGTACTTCAAATGAAATAGTGTCATATCACGGGTTTAACATGTATTTTAACGTTTGCTTTAGATATTACAATCTATTCATTTAATTTTCTTTCACTTTCAAAAGCTTTATTATGCATCTAGGCAGTTAAGCTTTAATAATTTCAATTTTTTATGGGTTAAAAAGAGGAATCTACCGGTAGTTTATTTTTTATAACGAAAAAAAAAAAAAGAATAAATAAAAGAAATAATTTGAAACAGGCTATAACTATAAACATGAAATATGTAGTTTTTTTCTCTCCTCTGCTTTGCACAAAGAATATTGAATTAGCATACAGTAATCTGTTACTAAGCAATGATTTCAGTATTTTGCAAAACAGTGATAAGGGCCACTGCATTTCTTTTGTTTAAGTTTGAATTTTCAACAAGGGACATTTTTGAAAACTTGAGATATTGTGGCAAATCATTTCTTTTTTCCTAAAAAACTTGGCTGTTTAGAAATTGCAAAAATGGAATATGTTAGTATATTTGAAATATTATTGAAAGAATATTCGGGTTTTAAACTTTAGTTATGTGTCTAATATTGTTACAAAGATACCAGAGTTTTGTAGATTTTAATGTATCATTTAGTATTTTTTTTTACAAGATTCATACAGAAAGGTTGTTTTTTTCCCTCAAGATTGTTATACAAAATTGTCATTTACCGGTATATGAGATGTATTTTCTTTGTTTGGGTTTTTGTGTGTGTCAAATGAAACAATATTTGTCTTATCACAAAAATGACTTAATTTTCATTCTGTTGTGAAAAAAAAAACATATCTTTATATTTTCAGCATGGCATTGTGGATGCAAATGGTGAACTTGCAGGATTCAGGGAACAGAGCTCCTCTGGAAGTAGGACAGGTGAGCAAAGATTGAAGTTTTTTGTTTGTTTTTGGGCTGACAAGATTGTTCATATATATGTTGAAACTGCAAGTTGTTAAGTTATATAATGAAATTCAGGGGATAGTTTTGTAAAGCAGGAAGTTACATCTTGCAAACATTTGCAAATCCCTGTCATCAAAGGAGGAAATACAGCTATTGTACCTACTTTTAACTTTATTGACATTGCTAACAAATAGAATATTGAGTGAGTTAATATATTGTAAACTTGGAAACACAATTTCAGCCTTTTTTCAAAGGGAAATATATATCGATCAATTTGATATTGATATCTTTGAATTTCTGTATTTGGTAGCATAAATTGACCATTATTAGCATAAATTGACTGAGTATTTGTACATTGCATACTTTAGTCTGACATCTGACAGTGGTAACAAAATGTACATGTATGTACAATGTGACATTAACTGAGCTACCATTCATAGAAAAATCATAGTGTAATTATTTTATCAATGATTATTCTCGGGTAAATAACTCTGTAAAGTTAAGCTTCAGAATATGCTTATTTTAAATTAACCATGAATTAGTTATTGTATGTGCTGATTTATTGTAAAAATATTATTTAATAGTGAAATTTTTAAATGCTTACCATTTCACTGATCAAAGTGATTTACCTGTCTACCAGTATAGAGGCAAGCTTTCAGATATGTCCATTAGTTGTTAAATTTGACCACCAGTGTGTAAACTTGACCATCAGATTGTAAACTGTTGACTTTTCAAGTTATCGCTAGAGAAATAATCATAAAAAAGAACTCTTCTAATTTGTAAGCAATTCAAGTTCATTTTTGCTGGGGAAAATGTTAAAACTTGCTTGCTTATCTATTGCTAACTGAAATATTTTTTTTGGATTGGCTCTTAAAAGCAGCATGCCTCCAGATTCATGCTTATTTCCTTGAAAATTTTGAAAATATATTTTTAAATTAAAGTATTCTGAATTGTACAAAAAGTTACATATTCAAATGACACTGGCAATCTGTGTGAATTACCAGAAATAGGTCAAATTTGCAAAAAAGACCTTACTGCTTTAGTCACACAGTAGAAAAAGTGGTAAATGCTGCAAAATCAGTCATTCATTTGCTCATAACATGTAAATTATTACTTGAATATCATGTGTTTTTTTTTACTTTTCTTAAAATCTTGGTAGTTTTTTTTTTCTCAACTGATTTTCTTGATAATTTTCGTCTCATCTGAAGCATGCAGCTTTTAATAATATTTGTTTGTTTGTTTTGGGTTTTACATCACATCGACACAGTATAGGTCATATCGCGACGTTCCAGCTTTACTGGTGGAGGAAGACCTCAGGTGCCCTTCCGTGCATTATTTCAGGCACGAACAGGCACCTGAGTAGAACCACCGATGTTCCTTAAGCTAGCCGGATAGCTTCCTCACATGAAAGAATCCAAAGTCCCTATAGGGATTCGAACCCACAGCAGTGAGGGGCAAGTGGTTTGAAGTCAACGATCTTAACCACTCGGCCACGGGCGCCCCTTTTAATAATATTAATACAATTGAATACATGTATTGCACAATCTTGGCACTTGATAGATGTACATTAAAAATTTAAGGGGTTTGGGAAAAAAAACATTTTTAAAGGAAAAATTTTATTAATTTAAATCTATTCAAAAGGTTTAAAAATTTTTTAAAAATAATGTTTACATTTCCCAAGAAGGTGGCTGTAAAATTCCCCCCCAAAAAACCATTTAAAAATGAAAAAACCCTTAAATCTCATGCCTAGATTTGATACATTAAAAATTGAAATAAAATTTTTAAAAAACCTTTAAAAAACCCAAAAACATTCCCAAAAATTAATATTTGCTTTTTGCTTTTTTAATTTTTTTGAAATTTGCCCGATATACTTTGAACAAAAAAAGGGCATTTAAATTGGTAAAGAAAAGGGTAAATGGAAAATTTTTGTTTCTGATTTTTTTGAAAATTTAAAAAAAATTAAAAAAAATTTTAAAGGCCCCTTTATGCCTCAAAAATGAAATAAAAAATCTTTTAAAAGGGGAAAAAAACATCCCTTTTTGGGAAATTGTTTAAAAAAAATTTGTTTTAAGGGGTTTTAAATGATTAAAAAATGAGAAAAAAATATTGCTGAGAATGTAAAATTATTTGTGATAACAGTACGAAAAAGTAAACTAAGTAGTATTTTTACTTCCATAAAAAGTACTAAATCCTTATTACTCATTTCCTGTACTAATTGCCAAAAAAAAAAACAACAGATGCAAAAAATGATCCAGGTATATAGGCAATTTAGTACATTATTTGAAACTTGAACACCAGGAGGGAAAAACTCTTGTTAAAAATAAAAATTTAACATTATTTGACATGATAGGCCTTTAAAATTATGTTATAATGAGTAATTATGGAACGATTAAATGTGCCGCGCCATGACAAAACTAACATAATGTGTTTGCGACCAGCATGGATCCAGACCAGCCTGTGCATCTGCACTGTCTGATCAGGATCAATGCTGTTCGCTATCAGTTTCTCTTCTTGATTAAGGGTTTGTAAGCGTACAGCATGGATCCTGGTTAGACTGTGCAAATGTGCAGGCTGGTCTGGATCCATGCTGGTCGCAAACCCATTATGTTGGTTTTGTCGTGACTCGGCTCAAATATGAAATGATTTTAGAATGTGTTAACAACTCAACAACAACAACAATATCCTGGTTCTCCACGAGTGATCACAACGGCATCTAGTCCACATACTCCTGTTATACATGGGAAAAGACGGCACAGTGAAATTGTTATTGATGCAGACTATATGGATGGGTAAGCGAATGATTATGTTCACATTATGTAGATTGCAACCTTGTGAAATATGACAAATTTGTCTTACAGGTTATATGGTAAGCATTATTTTTAAAAGATTAGTTATTTGCATTAAATGTTGAAATATTCTGTGTTAAATATATTTATCTAAGGTAAGGCCAGGCCACTCTTTCTAGGTCTATTATTTTAGTCATTACCCAGTGGTGACAATTAGAATTCAACATCATTTGCAAAAAATTTTACCGAACCACAAAAGACTATTGGTAGAACATTAAAGGACTATGGAAATTCAGTGTAGAAAAAAGCTTTGGTACAACTTTTTTATTTTTACAAAATTCAACCAAAATGGATGTTTGCATATGGTTTAAGTAGCTAATATCATTTTGCCTTGTATAATTTTAACCCTATTTGAAATGCAGTTTTGAATAAACTTAAAGTTCAATTTATATTTGTAGGAAAAGGTCAAAAAAGGGAGAGAAAGGAGGTAAAGGTCTCAGGCATTTTTCTATGAAAGTATGTGAAAAAGTTCAGAAGAAAGGAGTAACATCATATAACGAGGTTGCTGATGAGTTAGTGGCTGAATTCAGTGATCCACGAAATTTATTGTCACCTCAAGATGCAGTAAGTTAACCTGCACTGATTGCAGATGTTTTTTACATTACACTTTTAAATGAGTCACCAGGGCACTAGACACCTTTTGGGGACAGGTACCCATACCCTAAGGAAGGGGAATTTTGCGTCGTTTTAAGGCAATATTCGAAATTTTATGTTATCATATATTTAGTGTATTTTTTATCACATTTACTCATTACACTATTTCCTACCATTGGTTCAATAGTAATAGTAATTTTCCTACTATTGAAATCAACTAACCAGTCAAACAAATTACTTTAAGTTGATTTATTTTAGAATTTAGAGGGGATTTTTTTTCGGAGATAGGGGAAAATACATATGATTTTGAGAGGGGAACGGTACCCATATTCAGCTCCAAAAACGACCAAACGAGTGCCCTGGTTACCAAGACTTCTTTTTTGATCTATGCTTATTGAGGGTTAAACAATTTTTGCGCAGTGTTTGCAACCACAGTAATGTGTGACCATAGGTAGATTTTTTTTTTACCAGTCAGATATTATAAAAAGACTAAAATTGAAACAAAAATGTGCAGACTGCCAACTTACCTTGTTCTGCAATGGTCGCATGGGTATAATCAGTTGCCAACAGCAGCAGTTATTGGTTAAGTTTTTCAGTCTGTTTTTTGAGATTGACCATTTTCGATAATGCCTTGAATTTAAATCTTGAGTTGGGAATTCATACCTTTTTATTTTGTATCTTTGTAAATTTTAATGTATTATGATAATTATTTTGCAATATTTTCAGTACAGTGCAAAAAATTTAATTTCTTCAGTGGTTTTGGATTTTTTTCTTTGGTTTGGTTTTTATGTTGTGCTGACATAGTAAAGACCTTATGGCGACTTTCCTGTTTTATTGGTGAGGGAAGACCTTCAGTCTCCCTTTGTGCGTTATTTTTGGCACAAAAGGGTCTCCTGAGCGGGGAACCAAATGACCATTTTTGTAAATTTGCTGGGTACACAAAGAAAAAATAGAATGCGGGATTTTAAAAATTACAGCCCTTAAGGGGGAAAGTGGTTTTTTTTTTTTGGGAATTTTAAAGCTTTGCTTTTAAAAAAGGGCAGTCTGAAAGCTTTTTTTAAAATTACCCAAGTGGATGTTTAATTTAAAGGGGAAAAGTAAAGAGATTCACAAGTCATGCTATATGTTTAATTTTAAAAAGTTTTGGGAAAAAAAGAAAAAAAATAGAAAAAAATAAAAAACCCCAAAAAATCAAAACTCCCGGGGGTTAAAAATTTACAGGGGTTTGTTTTTTTCTTGACATTTTTGTTTTTTTTATTTTAGTTTCCCACATGTTTTTTGTAAGGTTTTGGGTGAAAGAAATTTTAGCTTTTAAAAATGTGCCAAATTACATAAGCACAAAAAAGTATTTGATTAAAGTAAATGTTTGATTATAAAATTTGAATATTCTATGATTATACTTATTTAGATACCGGGGTATAATATTTCCTTATGTATAAAATGTTTGTAGCCATTTAGGACCTTGATTTACATTATCATTAAATTGTTTGTTTTTCCTAACTTTGAGTGACATGATGCTCATATTTTGCTGTTTAGTTGAGCTGTAAAAAGCTGTAGTACAGTTGTGAGACACAAGCATAAGGACATCATTCATGTATTTTCCAATATTTCATCATTATTTTTAGCTAGTATTGTTTCCTAAAATTGTATTGTTTTCTTTTACAGCAAATTGCATTTAAAAATCTAGTGCAAAGGAACAGGGAGTTGGAAAAATCTCAGGGACCTCCACCACCGAACTCTGCAATACAATTGCCATATATTATAGTAAACACCAACAAAAAGACTGTGATAGATTGTAGTATCTCCAAAGACAAGTATGTATAGACTTCAATTTTTAGCTCACCTGAGCTAGCTCAGAGTGAGCTTTTAGGATCGTTGAATGTCCGTCGTCTGTCCACACTTATTCGTTAACACTCTAGCGGGTTTCTTGTCTAGGTAATAGCTGACATAACATGGGTCATCTCAGATGGAAAACTAGATCACAGGAGCTAAAAATAGAAAAACTTTGTTAACACTCTAGTGGCTTCTGTTTTGATCCAAATATCCTGTACATTGGTCTGAAAGTTTATTTTGATGATTTCTAGGTCAAGATCGAATATGGGTTACCTTGGGTCAAAAACTAGGTCACACTGTCCAAATATGGATAATCCTTGTTAACACTAGTAGTCACATTTTTGACTCACCTGTCATGAAACTTGGTCAGAATGCTTTTCTAGGTAATTATTCGGATGAGTTTGATGGGTCAGGGGAGCGATCTAGGGCCATCTTGGCCCTCTTGTCATAATTTCTTCATCTTGATCATATGCAAATATAAGAGTTATCCTGTTCTCTCTGGCATCGATTTCTATGTTTCTGATCAATGTTTTTTTGTAGAGTGAAGATACCTTATGAGTGATTATTAATGTGACTTATAGGTCCATTAGACCGGGTGTTCTGTTGAATTATTCATAAATTATGATATACATGTCTCTGTAAAAAATATTAACTCGCCTCACCTCACCTTACTGTAAAGGAATTACTTATATTTATATTCCTTACCATAACCAACATCAAGATTCATTTGAAACATATATACACCATGCATACATGTACAAATTTTTTCCTAATTATGTTGGATACTATGTTCTTATTGTATGTTTTATTACAATCTTTTCTTATTACATATAACTTTCTTTGTCCATTTCTGTGATATGAGATGAAATTGTATAAAAATATGTCATTTTGTTTATTATCTTCTGCTGATATTAATGTCCATTCTTTCTTCTACAGAGATGAATATTTGTTCAACTTTGATAATACATTTGAAATACATGATGATATAGAAGTGTTAAAGCGTATGGGAATGGCCTTTGGTCTCGAGAAAGGGTTGTGTTCAGAGACAGACCTACAAAAATGTATTCGAACTGTACCCAAAGCTTTAGAACCGTATGTTTTTGGTAAGTTAGCTTTTATCAATTATAGATAGTTATTGTAGTACAAAACATAAAAAGATTTTATGCACATACTCATATATCCATGTACATATAAGGAATTGACCAATAGATGCCTTTTATGTATCAATTATTACATCCTCTGATTGCCATTTTGAGTCATTTTTAAATACATTGTGCTTAATATAAGTTTAAAAATCTTGTTATTCTATCATCTTTTTGAAAACTGAAAGGTCTTTTACATAATTGTGCTAAAACAATATTTTTTCTTTCATATGTATAAAAAAATTTGACAATTCACGTAAATCAGCTGTTTATATTGAAATTTTCATATTTTGTCAATTATAGTTTATAGAATATTGACCCCACAATAAAAAAGGAAAAATATTGAAAAAATTTGGAACTATAGATATATAAGTTTGAAATTTGCACCACTGGTATTGTTTAGCAAGAAAAAAAATGATGCCGTTTAAAATTTTCAGGTGTTTAGCATGCAGGTTTTCATGATTAACAAATTGGCCATCAATATGGAATAAAAGGCTTTTAAGAATTCATTCCATTTTTAGCCTGAAGATTCAAATATCCCCCTTGACAAATCAGCTGTTTAAGTTGTCACATCTGTTGCTTTCGATAAAAATGAAAATTTCCGAGTATGTTATATGACTGGCTCCCATATAAATATATATCTGGTAAATAGCCCAATATTTTTTAGATGAATTCCTTATATGCTGATATATAGATATATGTGAAGGGAAAATGCATTGTAAAATTGAATAAATACTGATTCTTAGACAATATTTAGTAAAAAATGTATAATAAAAAATACTGAATATTCTTTTAGAGCTGGCACGAGGCAGTATGGCAAATGCTGGACCAAGTGGAATCAGACCTCCTACCTCAGGAAGTTCTCAAAATAGGTAAACTGTGTAATGTTGTAACAACTTCTAGCTTGACATATGAATATGTTTATGTTCATGTATAAGGAAATGCTATTTAAATACTATCTCACAAAATTTGGTTAATGGAAATTTTCACCCAGGGTTTTGAGGCTTAATAGGTGGTAACTATCAAAGGCTGATAACTCATAACATGAATTTTTGCAGAATTATGGCCCTAAAAAAGGCTTTTTGAACATAAAAAATTCTACATTAGCTAGACTGTTCTTTTACTATCAAGCACTGAAAATACTGTAGCATGCTGTTTTACCAACAGCTCTTGTTTTCATAGGATCTATTGCTTTGAAATTAGTAACACCTGTAATTGACAACTTAGAACACGAGATGGTATGTTTGATCTTGTATATACTTTTTTTCTTGTTTCAGATCAAAGGTAACAGCTCAGCCCTATCCAGTCTCCCTCACATCTAATTTTCATAACACTAACAGTACTGATGCTATGGACTATGAAGTTGCCATGGCAACAGGTCATACAGAAGTTGTTTCACGCGAGCCGAGCATCGGTTCCTCGTCATACTCTGATGTACAATCAAGGGGAGTGATCGAAACCCCATCTGATGACTTTTCTGACGATGACTTTGATAGGTCAAGTCCTATTGAAATAATGACTTAGTGTTTCAACCCATTCATTCTGTTGTAGAAGAATATATAGTTTAAATCAGTAATGAATTATGAAGGAAGTCTTGGAACTGCTAGACAGGTATAAGGACTGGAGGGCAAGAAGAAATAGTTACCCAGAGTGTTGGTGTATGGAAATGCTTTGGTATAAAGAATCACACCCAAGTGTCAAAAAGTGTTGTGTTATCAGGATAGATAAGATTTCTGTTATCTACAAGATTTTTACCATAAATTTTCAATCTGGAGTAAATTAATTTAAGAGTGTTTGTTTGCAGTGCTGGCTGTCAGTTATAGATATTTTGTCTATATTGATCGGATAGTAAGACTTACCAGTAAAGCTTGCAGTATGTATAGTGTAGCATTTAGTGCTGAAGCTATTAAGAAAAAAAGAAAATTCTTTTTTATTATTTTACTACAAGAAAATAAATATTTTAGTTTATTACATGTACAAAGTGATGAAGGTAAAACAGTTTGAATTATATGATAGGTTAAGAATAGTGTTTTTAACAATGAATATTTCACGAAATTAAACCTAAGTTGGAGATATTCGATAACAGGTTTCCATAATAGACTGTGTATTTGAGACAAGTTTATGTGAATGTTTAAATCAGTATTGATGAGAAAATAGATGCAGAGCTAATGTACAACAATTATTTCTTCATTCATGTTTGATTTATATGTATTTTTATAAAGAAAAAACGGCATAAAAAATAATTAAGATATGATGACACCATAAAGTCTAAATATCTTATAACAAGAAGAATGTTAACATGGGTTTGTTAAATGTTGATTGTCAAGGATTGAATAATCATTGATACCAGCTTGCCAATTAATTTTGATGATGTTAAATTGTCTGAAACACTTATTTGGAATAGCTTAAGGGACCATAGCCTGGAAACGTCAGCAATTAATGGTCATTAGAATTGTAAAGAAAAAAATTTTTTTTTTTTTTTGCATTGAATTGCAAATTGTAGATATAGCAATAGTAATTGTGATACTTTTCTTCCAATTTTGTGAAATCTGTATGTTTTATTGTTCTCTAAGAATGTGACTATTTTTTAACCTGTGAAATGGATTCCTAAAATAACCTGTGAAATGGATTCCTCTCAAAATACTTGAGATAGAAAAAATTGTTTATACGAAAGAAATGTAAATTTGTCATTTATAAGTATAAATTGATTATTAATATGATTTATAACTGCTGAATAAGTTCAGTGTAAATGATAATAAAGTGTTGGAAAATTTGTTTTTATGTAGTATTTAACATTTTCTTTGTGAACTTGGTTCATTGAACCCCAGTAAATATTTGATTGGTATATTCAAGAACTTGTTCAGGAATTTTATTTTTCGATACCTGACAGATAGGTCAAAATGGATATTTTTTAATATCATATATAAATAAGAAAAATCTTTTTTAATTTTATTTAACAAACATCAAGTTAAAGATGATACAATTTAAAATGTCTTGATATAATTTGAAAAGATGCCAACTGTTTTGTTGATAATAAAGATACCAATTACCTAATTGCATTGAAAAATGTTAATTTGTTATATTGAAAACAACAATGTGAAGTAAATTTTCCGTTTGTTATATTGAGAGGTGCAGATCTCAAAGAATATAAAAAGTACATTTTTTGTGTTAAATTGAGAGGTACCAATGACTTTTCATACATAGAGAGTACCATTGAATTGTTAATGCTGTTTACATTGAGAAGTCACAGATTTAATGTCTTAGAGAAATCATTCTTTAGGTAGAATTGAGAGGCACTTTCTCTCTGTTACATTGAGAGGTACTATTTCTCTGTGTTGCATTGAGAGGTACTATTTATATGTGTTACATTGAGAGGTAAGATTCCTCTGTGTTACATTGAGAGGTACTATGTCTCTGTGTTACATTGAGAGGTACCATTTCTTGTGTTGCATTGAAAGGTACTATTTATATGTGTTACATTGAGAGGTACGATTTATATGTGTTACATTGAGAGGTACTACTTGTGTTAAATTAAGAGGTATCACTGTCTGTGTTACCTTGAGAGGTTTCATTTTGTTTGTTGCACTGAGAAGAGTACCATTCTTTTTATTTCATTGAGAGAGGTGCCAGTCTCAGTTATCTTGTTACAATGAAGGCACCAGTGTTAAGACTGACGAAGATTTAGCCATATTTACACTATGTGTTCATATTTTTAGAATGCTGATATTAATTTGTCCCCCCATGTTTTTGTTGTTAACTGCTTTCATGTTTTGATCATTATTCCTCGATTGTTTTTGTTTTTGATCATAAAATGGCCGCTCTTTTTTACATTATACATGCAGTAGTGTAATCAAACATAGGTAGTTGCAATTCCTATAAATTTTGCCTCTTTCTTTGAATGTATACCAGATGACCTGTTTAAATTTGCTGTATAAAAAGGACTTAATGACAGTTTTTGTAAATCTAGGTGTTAAAATATGAAATTGGCTAGATTAAAGTATAGTTTTCTTGTATGAATCTTGTATGATTTATTTGATATTACATCTATAAGTAAGAAAATCTTGTATTCCATTTTAATAAGGAGTTTTAGTTTAATACTGTTTGATTTTTGTTTTACACTTGAATGGGGTGTTCTGTTTTTATAGTGTAAAGTAAAGACAGGGTTAGAAATAGGAAGTTTTCATATGCAACAGTGAAGGTAAAAGATTTGCTAGTTAATGATCTCATCATGATAGGGAAATTTTCATCACCATATGTTCATTGTATGTCTTGGAAGAAAATCATTGTATAATTTACTAATATGTAATATTTATCCTGCTTAAGTTACTCAATCAACTTGTTCTTATCCATTTTGAAACTGCTTACTTGAATTTAAAGGCCCATTATGCCTCAGAATTGCTTTTTATCTCTCAAAAGTTTTTAAAATGTAGTGTTTTTAATAGTACACAAAAAATAAATCATTGGCCAATTCCTGAACCAGATTTTTTCATCTGTTCCTTTTAGACAATAAGTACAGTTACAGTCAATATTTTGTATGGAAGTCAAAATACTTCTTTGTTCATTTCACATTTATCCCAACTTTCCTCATGCATCAAGCATCTTTCATTTTCCAAACTATCATTTAAACATTTCAAAATTCAGGTTTGCCCTTTCTAAGGAGGTAAAAATTTAATTTGTCTTTTGAGGCATAATGTGTCTTTAAAGGATATCCTGTGGAAATAATGGAAGTTGATCGGCCATTAGTATAGACTATTCACTGACATGTCAGCTATACTGACTCTATACTGGTGACAAAAGATAGACAGTTTCAGCATGGTAAAAAAGGTTTACTTAATTTCTTATGTATTCATATTATCATGGTAGTTAATACATGAATATTTGTAAGGTGTTAATTGGAATAAATGTTACTGTTTACAATTATCTGACAGTTGTCCTGTATATGGTATTTATATTATTAAAAGCTGTTTTTACTGTATGATCATTAAGGTCACAAACACAAATACAATAAAACTTGTTGTTTTTTCACAATAAGGGGAATTTTTACATCTAGACACATAGAATGTTGGGAATTGTTTAATGTTATATCCACTGGACACTACAATTGTATGTAAAACTTGAATTCTTTTCACTCTCTTGAAAATTACAAAGCATTGTACTATAAAATGCAACCGTTAATTGCTTACAAAGTTTCTTGTTGCTATCAGAAATGACAAGATATGAATTAAGTTTATTTTTGAATTCAAAGATACAGATATTAAAGTTAGTTAACTATTTGTTGTTAGCTATGAATGGTTTAGCATTTGTTTGCGTTCAACATAGTATTTGGGTTATAGTAATCCTCCGGACCAAAAGCATTTTTAATATATGAACAGAAAATTTGTTAAGTAATTATTTTATTATAATAACATCTGTGATACAATAACATAATATAAACCCTGACCCAATGAGCCTATGAGTTATTGTTGTATGTATGATGCAGAGGAGATTAACTATATCATTTTATAAAGTTATGTCCACCCAGTCAACCCCTCAATACCCCTCTATACTGTCATGTACTACAAATTTGTTACTTGGAAATGATTTGACTGTAATTTAATGTATATTTTAGAAGATTCACCTGTGTATACTTTTTATGTTGTGATGTAGATTAGACAATATTTATCTTTGTTTATCTTTGTGATTTTTAATGGAATATTGGTTTAACTTCACTATTTCTTGCACCTGAAGAAGACATTAAAGTTGAATGTATAACAAGAGTAGCCACAACATCTGGGTTGAAGGGCCTGAATATTATTGAACTGGCAAGTTAAGTTAAAACTGAAAAATCATCAGAATTTTCCTTTATTTTGTCTTAGAAAGTTTTCTTGTCAGTGATTTACTGTAAGATATCTAAGCTATGAACTAGCGTTATGATTTGGTATACACTTTAGGTTATATTTATGCAAGTTTTCTTCAAACATAGCCAAAAAAAAAAACCAACAAAGAAATGTTGAATACAATAAGTGGCCACCAAGAAATCTGGTGTGAATGTATGTTTTAAAACTGTTAACATGATTTGCCATGCTTTTAACACTAAAGGCCAGACTTGTGTATTAGTGTAGAGTTGAAATTTGAGGCGCATCACGACAAAACCAACATAGTGTGTTTGCAACCAGCATGGGTCCAGATCAGACAGCCTGCGCATCCGCGCAGACTGGTCTGGATCCATGCTGGTCACAAACCCATTATGTTGGTTTTGTCATGACGCGGCTCATTTGTTTTTCAATTTTTGTTTTTGTGTAACCTTTATCCTGCTGAAGTCATAAGAGACTTGGTAATTTTCTTCTTGATATCTCTGAAAATTGATAATGGACAGTCCTAAAAATAGAAACTGGACAAGTTCATGTTAGAAATTCAGCAGGTGAACGGTTAATTGTTGATGTATTACATTTGTTCATACAAATAATAGGCAGGTCTATTGTAAAATGTGAGATTTTAGCTCGATGTTGATTTTGTTAAAAGTGGTGAAAGTCTAGTGTAAGAGATGATGGACCAGTATTGCTGTCTTGTTTGTTTATAGGTGTCAGGTGTTAGACTGTGTGATATTCACATTAATTGTTAAATGTATGTATAAAAAAACAATGTTTTGCCTTAAATGAAAGTAAAAATCAGGGAATAAATTAAAGAGGTAATCTAAAATATGTTTTTTATTTTGTTGTAAATTGATGTCAACAGTTATTGCTATGTACGATGTAAATTCTTCTCCAGAAAATTCTTCAATTAGTTCCGACAAGTGAATTTATATGTACTGTATTCATCAGGATAGAGGATAAGCTTGTAAGGTTGAATTTCTGGGTAAAGTAATTTGTTGACTTTACAGTATATTTGTTAAGGTCGTAGTTATAAAAATTGTTTCAAGTCAACAGAATTTTTATTTTAGGTCAGAAAAATTTTAATTTTCATTATTTTGAAAAATTTCACTGGTATACTAAGATGCAGTTAATAGGTATCAAATTTGGTTGTCAATCTTTTTTTTTTTTTTTGCTTGAATGGCTTTTACTTTGTTTCCAGATTTTTTAAATAAAAAGATTTTTTCTTTTGTCAGAATTAAATCTGCATTTATTGCTCATTTTGACAGAATTGTTGTAATTTTTCAGTGAAAATAACTGTAATACTTAGTTGTCTGATAAGTAATTTCACAATTTAGTTCAATGATTCCATTAACATGTTTTTTTATCGAGAAAGGCATTAGAATTTCTTTATGTTATAACAAAAGGAATTACAGAAGTGTTAACATTTGGAGTAAAAAGTAAATAATGATCAAAATTACGGAAAAAAAAAATTTCAATTATGAAAAAGAATAGTTATATATATACATAAATATTTTGTACTGTCTGTTGGTCAGTACAGTCTAGTGTTATTGTTACATGCCATATGTATAATGTATACTTCTCAAACATCTTCCTATCTTGTAATAATGCATCTTATCTCCCATCATTGACAACGATATGAGCTGCGCAACGACAAAACCAACATAATGCGTTTGCGACCAGCATGGATCCAGACCAGCCTGCGCATCCGCACAGTCTGATCAGTATCCATGCTGTTCACTTACAAACCTTATAACAAGTAGAGAAACTGATAGCGAACAGCAAGGATCCTGATCAGACTGCGCGAAATGCGCAGGCTGGTCTGGATACATGCTGGTCGCAAACGCACTGTTGGTTTTGTCGTGACGCGGCTCAATTATCTCATCCTTATCTCATCCTGTTGAAGTTTATTTTATCACTTTCCAGAGAACTTGTTACGATCATGTTGACTATTTTATTACCATATGCATTGAATAAATGATGTACAATTTCTAAGACTGTTCTTGTATCTTTATCAAAGTCCCCAATTTCCAAGACACAGTAATTTTTTTTTATCTGTCACTGCTCTGTGTTCGAATCATGACAGGGACTTGGGATTCTTCCATATGTGAGGAAGCTATATCCAGCTAGCTTAAGGAACAATGGTGATTCTACTAATGCAAAAATATTGCACAGAAGGGCTCCTGAGCTTTTACTCTGCCTGTAAGTCTGGAAAGTTGCCATATTATATGACCTGTACTGTGTTGGTGCGATGTAAAAGTTAAACAACAACAAATACTTGTATTTAATGTAATGTTTATGGGAATAGGCAATGCCATTATTAGTCCCCTACCGGTTTACTGGAGGGGACTTTAGGTTTACCCTCTGTCCGTCTGTCAGTCCGTCCGTCCACAAAACTGGATCCCGCGATAACCCAAAAAGTACTGAAGATATTTTTATGAAACTTGATATATGGATAGATGGCAGTATGGAGATTATGCACATCTTTTTCTTTTCTTCCTATGTTGAAAATTCTGGTTGCTATGGCAACAAATAGACTGAAAATATGGCAAATTTTACACATAACCTGGATCCCGCGATAACGCAAAAAGTACTGAAGATATTTTTATGAAACTTGATATATGGATAGACGGCAGTATGGAGATTATGCACGTCTTTTTCTTTTTTTCCTATGCTGAAAATTCAGGTTGCTATGGCAACAAATAGACTGAAAATATGGCACATTTTACACAGAACCTGAATCCAGTGATAACGCAAAAAGTACTGAAAATATTTTTATGAAACTTGACATATGGGTAGATGACAGTCTTGAAATTATGCACATCTTTATTTCTTAAGGTATTTTCTTCAAACTTTAAATATAAGTTGCTAGTCATCAACCACATCATGTGTGACAAGGTTTACAATTCTAGCACAAAATTTATCAGAATTACCTCCCTTTAACTTAAAATTTTCATGAAAAAAAAATGTTTTTTTTTTAATAACTTCTTTTTTTTCTGAATGTATCTACTTCAAACTTCATATAAATGTTTCTTATTATCACTCAACATTTGTGAGAAAGTTCAATACTCTAGCAAGACTATTTCCAGAATTATGCCCCTTTTGAACTTGGACTATTTTTCGAGAAATTGGTAATTTTTACTCCAAGTTCCAACTTCTTCAATCATGATAGGATTTTCTTCAAACTCCCACATCATAATAATATGACAAGGTTTATAAATCTAGCATCCATATTTCCAGAATTATCTCCTCCTTAAACTTTTAATTTTTCCTATTCGTTCTTTTACTTTTCACTTACTTCAAATTCAAAATAAACATTCATTATTCATACCTTCATTACTAATTGTTCTTTGTTACACTCACATTATGTATGACATCTTGCATCTTTATTTAAGAGTTATCTCCTTTTTAAAAATTTTGCTTTTAAAAATGTTATATTTTGATAACAGGGATGTTTAAAAAATAACTTTAGAGTGTCCTTCAGTCCGTCTGTCTGTCTGTACATAAAAACTGTTTCCTGTGATCACTTTTAAAGAACTTTTTCAACAAATTTACTTAAAATAGAAGCATAAGTGAATGGCCAATGGCCCTTCAGAATGTTGCTGGGGCTCTAGCCGGTAGGGGACTTATGGATTGCTTGCAATACTATGATAATTGCTTGTTTTACAAAGTATCAAAATTCTAAACTGTGCTGTGCCAGAAAAGATTTTGGAGTAATACAATATATTTTATTTTTACGACTGACCCTGTACAAATACACTTATGCATTAGATTTATTTTTGAATGCCACTCATACAATTTACTTGGAGCACATGTACATACAATCATTAATACAAAGTTTGGGGTAATTTGTAAATCAACCCCAATGACTGGTGGAGTTCATGATTAAAGAGATTGTGCATAATGATATACAACATGATCATGAAAACTTGACTGACATCCAGCAATTCAAATAATCTGAAATTCAAGAAAATAATATTTGTTGTACAGTTTTCATTCTGCTATGTATACTAACATCCTTTTAAATGACCCCCAGAGAGGAGTGAGCTGACCCCTGGAGCATAATGTATTAAACTTTTGTGAAAAGATCGCAAGTTGATGCTTCATGCAGAATATTTATGCTTTGTTGGGAAATTCCTAATAGAAGTGTATGTAAACTACAGAACCACAAGGCAAACCAATCTTTACCTCAATATAATAATTTATTGAACTTTTTGGGGTCCAATGCTACATGCCAAATATCTTTGCAAGATGAGGTGCGTCCTTGGCCGAGAGGTTAAAGTTGTCGACTTCAAACCACTAGTCCCTCACTGCTGTGGGGTCTTATCCTGAAGGGACTTTGGATTCTTTCATGTGAGGAATCTATCCAGCTTGCTTACAGAATGTAAACATCAAGACAACTCCTTAATAAAAGCAATTTCTCACATTCACCAAAGCTGGACAGTTAACACCATATATCCCGTGTTGGCGCGACATAAAAATAAAACCCTTCCAAAAAATAAAATCAAGATAAAAAACTTGATCATGATTGAGGGAAGGTGGTGAAATAAAAGGTACCAAAAATAAAATAACAAATGTTTTTCACAATTCTTCACTTTAATTATATCTCTCTATTAACATTTTTTTTTGTTGAATATCAAACACAGTATATTAAAACAGTCAGACAATTAGTTGAAATGTATTGATGAATCAATATCAATATACAATGATGTGAGAGAGAGAAAAACAAGCAAACTTCTTTAGTCTAAAGTAGAGAATATAAATGATTCTTTCATGAAATTTGTGATAGTGGTCAGTCTCCATAAATACAACACACTTGTCACGTTGGTGCAGTAACTGATTGTAACTCCTATTAACATTTAGAAGAACTAATTCCGTTACTGCACTAAGGTGATGAAATTATATTGTACATGAATCTCTTCCTATACTTACATAAACACCCATAAACTACTACACCATGTAACATATTTTAAGACATACACAAGATAACCTGTAACAAATCTATATAAACTTTACACCCATACCCCATTTTATTTTTCAACCTAGTAGCTTTAAAAACGATTTATTTTCATTTGTACTGAACTGTGAATTATTAAATGCAGTTTATAAACTTAACATATTTTGACATCTGAAATAATGATATGTGGGAATAATTTGTCACCTTAGTGCATAACCAGTTAACTCTATATATAAGTAAATAGGAGTAAACCTGTTACTGCACTAAGGTGACAAATTGACAATGCTTTCTAGGTTTCAATGTTAAAAGGTGAAACATTACAATTCTAATATAGCAAGGTCACCTATAGTAGCATTCAAATAAATCATCATTATGTTTCCTAGCCATAATTCAGAGCTAAAAAGAAACTCCTATAGCCTCTAGGCCAGAATTGAACTCTACTATTGCTTCAAGATATATCAGAATTGTTATGTTCCTTATTAAGTTTTCAGATTTGTGACATCAATAGTACATATTTCTTTGCCCTATATTTTACCAGAATGACTTGTGATTCTGCATTTTACCACAATGATTGTGACACCGTATTTTACCACAAAAACTAGTGGAACTGTATTCTACCATATTTTACCACAATGACTTGCGACACTGGTATTTTACCACAATGTTTTGATACTGACAATGGGGTAAACTTCTGACTAATCTACATTCTTGCCTTTAGGAAAAAAAAAAACAACACAAATCAAAGTACAAACTTAGTTGGTTATGAATTGAACCTTCACAGTTTCTTTTAAAATCTAAGAAGAGTATCTCAAAGTAATTACATGATACAAACTTCATATTGATCTTTTTACAAGAAACTTTCAAATGAAAAATAAGAGGAAATTATGACAATGAATGAATGAAACATTTTATAAATCAAATGAACTGAACATAAAAATGATCAATTGAAGATATTGAACACAAATATTTGGTAATATAAAAAAACAAAAAGGAGAACAAGAAAAGGTTGTCAAAAATGCGTTCTTTTTCTTTCTCAGAAACTGTTTATACTATTATGATAAGAAACAATTCTGTTACATTCAATCAATGAATATACTGGATAACTTATGTCTCTATATGAAATTATAAGAGTGCTACTTAAAACAAACTTTTTTCTTTCATTTAATCATTAACATTATTGTCAGAGTAACATATACATATTAAATTACTTCTATACCTAAAGTTACCCAAAGATAGCCTTATAACAGATTTGCCTGTTTTGAATCTGGAAATGTCCATCATTAGGATTAATGGATTTTTGTATAACTATTTGATATGAAGTATTTAGTGAACAGTCTGTACAGTATGTGCAGGCTGGCCTGGCACAGATAAGTCACCAATCACAGAAAACATCAACACAGCCCTGTTGTAGAATTGTTTCGACTAGAAAATCAATACATCAAAGTTTTAAATTTATTTAACAGTGATGACCAAATACATTTCCATGAGAATTAATCTATATAATTTACAGCACTTACATAGCATAGCCTTTGGAAAACATTGAAATATTGTTAAAATTACACTCTTGTATTAATACATAGAAGAAAATAAATTCTCTCAAAAACCAATCGCAGGTTTTCTACTTGCTAATGAGTAACTATTTTTTTTTTGGAAATATTCCAGGGCACTGAAAATAAACAAACACCTTATGAAAAATAAAATTGAAAGCATTTCCAAGGCATGATGGGCCTTTAAGGTATCAGGGTAATACAACCAAGATTTATTTTACCTGTAACAACCAAAATGCAATCCGAATATGTAACTTAATGTTTTACTTGATAAAATCAAACTGTTATCATTTTTCAATAATGAACAGGACATGTTTCTTACTTATATTTCAGAGTTTAATTCGTGACAGCACCTGTATATTTATCATAACGGAGATCCGACTGCATTTACACAGTTAAGCACATTTCTTACTAGGACTTATTGCTCGTTACTTAACATTCTCCTAAAATAACTACATCACCCCTCTATACAATTAAATACCTTTGTTAAATAAAACATATTAAACCGACCTAAATTAACATGTGAGAACAAAAAATAGAAAACAACATCTAACGAAAAAAAGCACAATAAAAAAAGAAAATTTAACTCAATACAAGATTATTATGTTGTAAATTAACAAAAATACATTAATCACTTTAAAAAAAAGAAAAATAACAACAAGAATATTTACATCAAATTGTATACCCAGGGACAAAATTCGTTATACATGTATATGATGTGGACAACTTCTAACACCTACATAGAACCATTTATTCCCATTCACACAATGAAATAGGTTTTCAATTTAACAACAATATATATTCAACCTTTTTCCAAACAGATTTATAAAACAATTATATTTTCTTCCACTATTTAATCATCTAAGAAAGCATTTCCTACTCACAAAATGGTCTTTCATACCCACCATATCGGGATGCGTTCAAAATTAACTTTCTAACAAAAACATATTAAGTCATTTTCAAGCACCCTTAAACTACTAGGAGGCTACTCAACAGCATGGCTTTATCAGAATATAATAAGCAGCAAATCTTAATGTAAAGCAAACCTCAACCTGAACATACCAAACAAACAAATTATACATGATTTTTGATGTAGCTACCAAGGTAATTACTATTTTTGACTTTTTAGTTTTGTCTGAACATACCACTTAATCATTACAAGTCTGAGTTAAGATCTCACTATACCAAGCCGGTCTTAATCTGTGTATACCACATAAGCCTTAAGGTCTGACTGTACTGAATCTTTAACAAAAAAATCTAAACTGAAAACTTCTCAGGAAATGTTGAATTTGGACTTAATTTTGATACATTCACAGATAAACAAATGCTAAATAGAAATAACACTAGAAAATTCTGAATAAATGTTTCAATATTCGAATAAAAATTGTACAGCTACAGTATAGTGTTTGCTGGAAATTAAGGGCAAAGCAAGTGTGAGGCAGGTTTACACAGTTATTGATGAAAGTGAAAGTGATGATATCACTTGGCAAATATTTGAGATTGTGTCGTAATACGCTGGCATGATTTTAATTGGAAATAAATAAAAAAATCTTCTCAGCAAGATGCAGGACACGCCCCTTGATACAAAACACATCCCTTCAAACTGAGACACACCCCCGTGACAAGTTGATTGGCTTACAAATGGTGAACATTGGTAACAAGGCGCAACTAGTTTAATAAACATTAGTCCTAAAAAATTGCTTTTATAATAATCAAACTGTGTTACTTTACATCCAGGTGCTTTATATTGAGTGTATATCCATGACAACTTCTCAACAAGTATCTACAAAGTTTCTAGGATGACTATCTACAGCATAGAGGAAATAAAATGTTCCAATGCTTCATCAATATGTTTTAAGTTCAAAGTTTTGTAACAGACCGGTTTGTGAACAAATATTACCAGTGGGAAGAACAATCCAATTACATTTTGAATTCATTCAAAATTACGTAACGTAAAAGAATCCTAAGGACTTTTCCTTTCAATTTCAAACTGAATTAAATTCTAATTTTCAAACCTATCCCGCAGCAAGAAAAGATCAAATCATTTTCTACGTCAAGATCATATACTGCAATTATTTGCCTTTGCATGTGAAGAAATGGAGCTTATTCTATTATTTTAAAAACAATCTAAATTTCTGTTCCAATTCTTTTTTTTTACATGGTAAGAATACATCATTATTATATTATAATTTGACAGAATGATGAATCATGATAGATGGAATGACAGCTGTCCTTCACTAGCAGCAAGATGTAGTTTGTCACGCATGATCTCCACTGTGGAATAGTCTGGCAGTTTAAGATAATTTACACATGTCATTACTGACGGGAGAAAACTGTCTGGATTTTCTGTTGTTTCAAAACTTTTGCGAACAATGGTCAAAGGCGGACTAAGACTACGGAAACCTGAAAGAAGAAAATAAATTTTTTCAAAAGATTTCATGTTTATCTTGTTGATCATAACCTTGTTTAAGTGATATTGTAACATAATAATAAGGGATGTCACATTTATTCGTTTATTACCGGGTCAGCTGGTTTTTAGCCTTAAACCGGATGCAAATTTCATAACCAGTAACCGACGTTAGATGAAAACCTTATAAATTTTTGATTGATTTTAAACATTACATTTGTTTCTTTATGTGAAGATATAATATTTTGTATTTTAATCTACTTTTTTGGTAACATGCTATATTATCTTGCATGGTACAGTCCTAGTAGACAACAGTTACTCCATAATAGAATAAGTTTTGAAATTATTGTCAAGTACAACAAAGTACACACAAATTGTGCTATCTTTATATGAATAAAAAAAAGTTAATGTCAAAAATCAAAGAATTCTTTTAGTATGGTTGGTTTTACGTTTAATACTGTTATTAAATTGCCCTTTAAATGGTTAACATTTCTGCTAACCATGACACCCTTAATAATAATATATTTCTTGATGAAAGCCAAGGTTTCAATCTATATATTATTACAAAGAACAGACATTAAAGTTAATTACTAACCATCTTTTCTTATGCAAAAGTATTCAGTGTTAAATCACATAGTTTTTGGCAATGACCTTCAACTCAGCCAGCCAATACAGCAAGTTTGATTATTCTATTAACATAATAAACCCCCCCCCCACATTATTTCCTCCCACTATATGCATTTCTTTCAAATTCATTGGCCAATAACTTTATTTATAGTACAAATACTAAAACAGTATGTATATGAAGTAACAAACCTCCAACAGGCAGTTTTGGCGAGCCTGTCACAAACTGTAGGAACATTCTTTGTTCATCAGGTGTATATGAACTGAGTATCTCGTACAGGTATTTTACAGCACGACTGTCGTGATTATATCCATGATCTGGCCGACAACATTCCATTAAAACTTTCGTGTCCCACAATTCCTCATTGTGACCACAAAATAGTAACTCCAACTGGAAAGCAAAGAATGATAATGAAACAACCTTGGCAGGTAGTATTATACAGTGCATTTTCACCCTATAATTTACAGCCAAATAAAAGTGGTTTCCCACAGCCCAAAACATGTTTAATAAACCCTTAAAATGCTATATTTTCTGCTGTGCACTATGACTTAACAGCAACTCGGCAATATGATAATTTATTTGACTGAAATTTATAGAACTGAGCCTAACTACTTGCTAATTGACAATACAAATGGTTTAACTATTTATCAAACAAGAACATATGTTCCAAAAATGTCTTGTGTTTAAAACTATACAAATGTTAATACAAAGCACAAAAATATAGCTACGTTTATATCAATACTGTAAAAATCATTACTAGTATTATAGTTTTTGTGGGAAGGTCAATCCAATGAAATTTTACCCCAACAAAGACGTCTGACCATGTCTCATTTCTATATATTACAAAATCGAGTTGTCACTTTTCTGGCTGATTATTGTGTTATGAATATATACAGTATAAACTTATTTTTATATTAGGATAAATGTAATTGAAATAAATTTTAAAATCCTAAAATACCATTACTTGCCTAATTTGTGAATCTATAAGATTACTAAAACATTTTCTACAACAGATTCTTACCTCTTCTGGATAGAAACTTTGTAGAGAACTAAGAGGGAATACTGACTCGAAGCCTTCCCTTAATGAATCAAACTGTCGTGATACACCTTCCACTAGACTCCAATGTGTCACCAACTACAAAATTATATATGTCAATTATACACTTATTTCCATATGCAAAAGAATTCTTCGAATTCTTCCATTTCTACAAATTGCTGAATTTAAATTGAGCAATGAAACTGGTCCAAAGTTTATCATAATTCATTGTAGAAGTATTGAGAAAGTGAAAATAAGTCTTAGTCATACAATTCCCATAAAGTTTTATGATTATATAAAACTTTATTTTGGTAATTAAAGTTCTTTACTTAGTAATCACATTAAAATAAATCTGAATTCTTAATGTTTTGGTGTTTTTTGTTTGGTTTAAAGTTGCACCATGACAGTTAAGGTCATATGGCGACTTTCCAGCTTTACTGCTGGAGGAAGACCTAAGGTGCCCCTCTGTACATTATTTCAGGCATGAACATGCACCCCGAGTAGAACCACCAACATAAGCTTTCTCACATGAAGAATCCAAACAAGCTGGCATGACTCGAACCTTCAGTGGTCAGTGGTGAAATCATAATTCAGCTTAATGTATATATATATGAGTTTTCTTATATAATGCTTTTTTATTGCTTGTTCTACTGTCATTGTAAAACTAATCATATTTCAAAGGAAATTTGGGTGTATTGAGTTTGAAAGTTTGTGCCTACCTGCAAGTATTCCTCCAGATTTTCTAATGTAACACGTTTATCCTTGCCTCCCTTTTTCAGTTCTATATTAGGATATCCGGGTAAGGTAAAATCTAATTCGAGATCTTCTATACTGCATCCATCCATTGTTAGATTGTCTAGAGCCAGTCTTCGACTCTCTTCTGTCTATAAATGTTAAATCAAATACTATTTAGTATTTAGTTTCATTGGTAAGATTATATATTAATATTGATGATAATATTGTACCAGTACTAAACAGTCCCCCCCCCCATAGTTATCAGAGCTCTCTGTCTATTATGGAGTAATAGTAACTTAACTGAAGGATGGGGGAATTTTCCCCTTGTTTTCCCTTTTATGGAGATATTAATGACATTTTTTTTGCTGCACCTTATATAATTTTCTAAATCAACAGTAGTAAAAGGCAATTTATTTGCAGTCATCAGCACTTACAAGGGCATCACCTAGACACCATATAAGAGGTAACCGAATGTATTCCTGAGACAAGGCAGTACTTCAAAATCAGAAACTCTCAGAAAAATTTTGCCCTGCAAATCACTTCCAACTGTATAAAGCGTAGAAATAAGCAGTTGTACATAAATCAACTTACATGAGATTTATCAGCCATAATTCTCTGCTTTTGTCGTAGAATATCTTCAAGCTGATTGAAAGACTTAGAAACAACCTGATCTATATACTGTAAATCACTAGATGTCAAACTATGCTCCTGTCCCAGCAACCATTTGAAGAAAACTCGGCTAAATGGAATGTCCAGCTGCAAAAAAAATATATATCAATTGTAATTGATAGAGCATTATAATATACATGTACAAGTTAATAGCTATTTATCACATAACACTTAATTGTTTTCAAGATAAAGTAACCAATACTTATCTTTAAAATACTACACATGTTTAATTACACTTGTTTCAATTCATATTTGATACTGTTGTACTGCTGAGGCCAAGGTCCAAGGAATTAATAGCCCAAGGAATTAATTTATTAGTATCATTTTTCTAATGGATTTAGCATACACCCACCAGAAATCTAAATTTTGATCTTCTGAGAAAACAACAACAACAAGGTAAATGCTACAAAGCTGTGCAAGGAAACTAACATATGACCTATTTTTTCCTTGTCCCCCCTCCCCTTCTGGTTTTAACACTGATTTTAACGCATGTTTTTGGTCATATCTTGGCTGTTGATCCATCTAACCAGCTTTACTGGATAAGTAACAAGTAATTACTAATTTCTCTGAAAATGAGTGACTAATAATCCCACATAATTTCTAAATCAGGGTTGAGTCAAATAGTCATTACACTCAACTAGGCACACCTGGATTGATAATCCAATGCTATTGAGCCAAGTGGGCTGACATGACTAACCTAAACACTAAGTATATGATATACATGTACAATTATGCCACTATTTTAATTTCAACAAGTCTAAGAAAATTTAAGTTGTATTACCATTCTGGAGTCCATGAGAGACTTTGCCATTAACTTCCCTAAAAACTTTGTCTTTGCCTTCATCTTATTTACCACAGTTGCTTTTGTGTTTCTTGCCAAGGGAACCGGGAACAAGCCACAATTAGAATGAATGTACTGGTTACCAGTCTCATTACCTGTAATTATATAGACATTAGTATCTGTACATGAACTGAAGAAACAGCTTGCATGTTTTTTTTAAACAATTTTTCTGGAGAGCTCTTAAGTTAATATTTTTCTAAAGTTGATATTTTTCTAAAGTTGATATTGTTTTAATAAACATAAAACCACTAAGTCTATAAGAATCAATATTGTGCACCAGCTTGTCTATGAACGTTACCACAAGTCACATTTTCTAAAATTGTATTTATTTAAATCCAGTAAAATAACACTTTCATAAGTAAAATAAATTTTTGATATAACTGACAATAAACTAAGACAAATGGATGTTGAATAGTACCAATGTAACATAGAAACTGAGTAGCGAATGAAGATATCAAGTGAAATTATAATGTTCTGTTGTTAAAATAAGACAATTTCTTGCATTTTTTAATATATATATATATACTCACAATAATTTTTACCCTGAAAATGAATAATACAGATCCTATAAGAAAAACCTTCACATTACAGCTATTAACTTGGGACAATAGCAATTTAACCTATATAACTTTGAACCATTTTAACAAGAGTCAATGACTTATAAGTAAAGCAAATACCTGACGAGTCTTTCTCCACAATCACGTCACCTCTCCACAACTCTAGATCAGCTCTCTGTAGGTCTCTAGACACCAACGCATAGAACTCTAGTGTTGGTCCTAACCCAGTACCAACCTGTAATGATTAACATTCAACATTATAAAAATTAGTTAAGAGCGGGCCTTTTTCCTTCTTTAGCAGGGGCTGCTGAAGGGCAGCTTCCCCTAGAACAATTCCTTAAAAATCATGTAGTTTTCCCCAAAAATTAAAATGACAAAGTTTTTTTGCTGTCAAGCAACTTAATATGAGGTCTATGGTTCTATCAAGGTGCACACTTGAACCAAAGAGCACGCAGGATCTTGCTCTACAAAGCTGGAAAGTCGATTCCTATCCCACTTAACATGTGAACAGTGACAATGAAAAGCCTACTAAGCCTCAACAAAATTTTACAACTACACCATTCATTATAAAAGCATTAAATTAAAACATACCATTGCATATACAGTAAACTCCACTTTTAACGAGGTTGCTTATGTAATGATATAACACTTAAAATGATGCTGATGCAGTGGTCCCAACTCATTGTTTTCAAATTGGTTGCCTATTGGATATAACGATATCCGGATATAACAATATAAATTTGACTAGAATATTGTTATAAGAGGAGATTACTGTACAGTTAAAGTAAGAAGTAAAAGAATACCTCATTTTCATATTGTATTTCGAGCATTGCCCGGGAACTAGCTAGATCTTCCATTACCTTCTCCGCTTGTTTGAGCAAATCTGTTCTATTAACCATACGCTGAAAATCAACATCAAATATCATTTTTAAATGTTAAATATTTACCTCTTGGAATACCAACAACTTTAAAATCTTGTAATGAATTAAGCCATACACCTTGTTTATTGCAAAGTCTAAGTGATTTAAAAATAACATGAAACAAGAACGTGTTTGTTAACACAAATGCTCCCGGCTCAGATTCTTGACAGTAAAAATATTTTTAAACAAGAGCTGTCGGTAGGACAGCACGCTCGACTATTCTAAGTGCTTGATAGTAAAAGAGCCTTGATAATGTTAAATTTTTTAAGTTCACAAAAGAGCTAATTTTTTTTATAAATTCATGTTATAGGCCTTAGAGAGAGTCTAATTATACAGTATTGGCTTGACTATTCGGAAGGTAATGTCACAAGGGTGTTTTATTGAGTATAATAATACTAATTACCTATGAATACATAAATTTGACAGAAAAGGTACAAAGGCTTGTTATTAAGATGTTTTATCAAGTAAATCACTGCTTTATTATTATGAATGCATAAAATTGTCCCAAAAAAAAGGCACAAACCCTTCAGTAGTTTTTGAGATAACAGCTTACAAGCAAAACTTTACCATGAATCTCTAAGTTGAAAAAGGGGAGAAAAATCAGCCTAAATGCAAGATAGAATTATGGATCTTTGTCAGTGACCTACAATTATGACCCTTAATGCATATGTGAAGTTTTAAATAAATATTTTTTATAGTTATTGAGATATGTAAAACTTGCATGTAAACATTAACCAAGAGACTAAGTAGAAAAGGGGATATGAATCAGCCTTAATGTAAAATTGAGTTATGGAACTTGGTCAGTGACATACAATTATGACCCTCCAATTATGACCCTAAGTGCATGTGTAAAGTTTCAAGTAAATATCTTTGAAGACCTTTAACCAAAATTTCTAAGTTTCAAAGGGGCAATAATTCTGCAAATATTGCAGGCAGAGTTATGCAATTTTGCAAACTGATGAACATTGTTACTATAAAAAAAATATTTTAAATTTCAATTGAATATCTCCAGCAATAATTGAGATATTTGACTTTACAAAAAATCTTTAACCAAAATTTCTAAGTTCCAAAGGGGCATAATTCTGTCAATATTGTAGGCAGAGTTATCCAACTTGTCAATCTGATGTACCTTGTTACTATGAATAAGTATTGTAAGTTTCAATTGAATATCTCCAGCAATAATTGAAATATTTGACTTTACAAAAAACTTTAACCAAAATTTCTAAGTTAAAAAAGGGCATAATTCTGTCAATATTGTAGGCAGAGTTATCCAACTTGTCAATCTGATGTACTTTGTTACTATAAATAAGTATTGTAAGTTTCAATTGAATATCTCCAGCAATAATTGAGATATTTGACTTTACAAAAAACTTTAACCAAAATTTCTAAGTTAAAAAGGGGCATAATTCTGTCAATATTGTAGGCAGAGTTATCCAACTTGTCAATCTGATGTACCTTGTTACTATAAATAAGTATTGTATGTTTCAATTGAATATCTCAAGTAATAATTGAGATATTTGACTTTACAAAAAACTTTAACCAACCGCCACGCGGACGCCGACGCGACTACAATAGCTCTCATATTCTTCGAATAGTCGAGCTAAAAATCTATTTTTGACATTGGTGACCTTGACCCAAATGACCCCTTACTAAAGGAAAAGGAAGAGGACCTCCCTTGGTATGACTATTATAAACATGAAAGACATTAACTTAAAAATAAAGGCTGTATGAGCAGAAATGTTTGGATTTATTTTTTTACACAAGTGACCTTGAGAGGACCGTTAAAGGTATCCACCTACCAAATATGAAAGATATCATTAAATAAATTAAGTAATTAGGTGAATTTTTTTGATAAATCCAACTTGGCGGAATAGGTTAACCATACAAGGCCCTATTTTCAAAGTGATAAAAAGAGAAAATTACTGGGAAAATGGATGGCACATTTATATAACTTGGCAATATCATGTACATTGTATTGATAAGTGTGAAAATTATTAAGCCATTAGTTCATATAGAACATAAGATATTTCCAACTTGCCGCTTTAGGTTAACCATTATTCATTTTCTAAGTGCTGAAAAGGGCCATAACTTGGTGCAAATGGAAGCCATAGTTATGTAACTTTCCCAGATCATATACTTTGTATGGGTTAGTAAGTGTGTAAATTATGAAGCCATTGGTACAGGTAGAACTTAAGAAAAATCCAACTTGCCGTTCTAGGTTAACCTCGTACGGACAGACGGACGGACGGTTCAATTACTATATGCCAGGGGGCATAAAAACATTCACACTTTAAGACATAATAAATATGAACCTATTTGTCATTAGTTAAAATATACCGTCAAACTTGTCATATGTATCTTTCCATGGGACTATCTAAATAGCTCACACATTAAATCCAGGTCAATAAAAAGTTTCAGGTTTACTTTATGAAAGTTTGCACATTCTTTTCTCTTGTATAATACAATTTACATGTATTATAGTAAGTGTTTTAAGTGTGCACAATAATCACTAATGGACTTGATTGTAACAATAATGTCTTGAGCGTTGTTGTGTCCAGTGCGAATAACATTTTTTATCACACGATATTGACAAATGTACAAAAAGTTGTTTAATTAAGCTGTATGTGTGGTACTGGACGCAAAATTTATGGTTGTTAGTCGCGTTAGACAGGGAGTCATTTAATTCAATGTCTTTACATAGTGATTTATCTTGGGCGGTCTGAAATAGGGTCATATACGACAGGAAGTTGTTTAAATCAGTGAGTCGCTATGGCAAGTTTGACTGTAGGTTCCATTCAGGGTGTGTAGCACCACTGCCATACATATTCAAATGTGCCAGACGATCTTTGTGCACACTGGTCACATGGGTAAATCAGATGCAGTCAACAGGTACATTAAAGAAGTTTATTTCCTGAATTTAGCAGAAAAAAACTATCATACTATAAGAGCAGCGTCATGACAAAACCAACATAGTGCGTATGCAACTAGCATGGATCCAGACCAGCCTGCGCATCTGACCAGTCTGATCAGGATCCATGCTGTTCGCCTTCAAACCTTATTGGAGTAAGAGAAACTGATAGCGAACAGCATGGATCTTGATCAGACTGCGCGGATGTGCAGGCTGGTCTGGATCTATCCTGGTCGCAAACGCACTATGTTGGTTTTGTCGTGACGCAGCTCAATTGTAAGAATATGAGAATTACCTTTCGTTTATCTAATCTAGGAGCAACTCTGTCACTAGAATCATTGGCAGTGGTATCAACAGAGTTATCCTGTAGTCTTAACAACGCTCTATCTCTGTCAAATGTTGTTGCATAGAACAGCAACTGGCGAGTATCAAATGGGAACAGGAATGGTCTGAAAAAGAAACAGGATCCAAAACATTGTAATAATGTTCTTCCATCTGGAGTATATACCTAATTTAACTTAACACTTTCTATTTGATAAAAGGTACACTTATTTATTTAAATATAATCTATATGTTACAAGTAATAAGGTACACCAATATTTCATGTATTTAGACCTTATTTAAACTCCATTTACGATGTTTTTTTCTACTGAAAGAAGGGACTATAATAAGTAGCCAAATATACTCATAAAATAAAATTTGAAAAAGTTTTCTTTCTTTTATTTCCAAATGCAAGTCTTGCATTATCAATTTTTGTCTTTAAATTTGGTCACCTGCAAGTTACAAATTTCTTAACTGATCTTCCATATAAAACAAATGTTTCCTATATTCCTAAATTACTAAAACAGAAATACTATGATGTACATGCAAAATTCTAATTTCCCCATTATAGTAGCATATATGAAGAAGAATAAAGAATTAGGAAGAATATAAACTCACGCAGCAGCTGCTATTTCTGCCAACCATGTTGGTAAATTTCCTGTCATTATCACAAGGGGATCTTGAAGCTGCCTATTTGCCTTTGCCATCAATTTAGAGCTGATAAACTCTGACTTTGATAAAATTGGCTTGGCATAATAGGATGGCACCTGAAATAAGATTATGTTCACTTAATATTACAGTTCATGGCTTATTGAATATTTGTCAAAAAGAAAACCTATATAATAAACAGAAATTCAATTCTATAGGTAAAGCATTTATTTTCATCTCTTGGTATGAAAATCATCATATTTCACTCATGGCTACCCCCATATATTTATTTTCATACCACTCGATGAAAATAAATCCTGTGTATACAGAAAAATCTTGAATATCCTGTAATATATCCCAAGTCATGCCTAAAATCAATATAAGAAATAAAACATCAATCTAGCTCATATCAATGCCTAAAATCAATATAAGAAATAAAACATCAATCTAGCTCATATCAATGCCTAAAATCAATATAAGAAATAAAACATCAATCTAGCTCATATCATTCACTTCTATTGAACAACTACAACAGCAAATGAAAATTAAAGGACAAAACCCCTACCTCATACACTGTAGACCAGTATCTGTTAAATGCATGTAGTATTCGGAGTAAGGCAATAACCTCAAGTGAAGCATCTTGCACCGTAACAAATGCTGGCAATTTCTCCGTCAAATACACATTTAATGCTGGCACTATCACTGGACAATTACCATCTGAGAAAATAGAAAATTCTGACTCTAATAGCCAGTACATGGACAACATTAGACACAAAAACACAACTATTTCCCAAATATCTATCTTACATTACAGCTTTCAGCCATGGTGTGTTTTTTTATTTATAAATGTGCATCACCAAGTCTAACAAAATCCACTTTTCCCAGTCCTCTTATATTCTAAAAATTAAATTTTTACCCACAAAAACATCAGATGCAATAAAAGTGCCCTCAAAATTAAACCAATGACATGAGAATCTTAGATGTTTATGATAAGTTAAATTAACTACAGAATGAACAGTTTATTAGTCATTATATCTGTATTACTGTTTATTTGCCATATATTTTTAGCTCACGATTTATCAAATTTGTATACAGTCTGTGCAAATTCTGATTTTCACACTACTTTTTCATAATGGTCTCTTTCTTTTCACACTTACCAGTCCATAAATCTTCTGATTTTCGTTTATGACTTGATTTAGCTGCTTTCGCTTCTGATTTTGTTTTCTTCGGGCTTGTCACTACATTGTCATCACCCTCTGGGGCAGGACGATACCTGACAAAGTGATATGAATTCATCAATAACAGCACTATTGTACACTATACTATGGTATAATGTAATTAAATGATACCAGCAAGCAAAGAAAGCAAGCCTCAAATCATTTTACAGCCTCTTTTTTTTTTAAATTTAATTCCTAGGAAAATTAATTGTTATATTTATACACAACTTATGTATGATTCAAGCAAGCAATGACAACAGCATGTCTCAAACAAATCATCACCTTAGTGCAGTAACTGGTTATGTCCTTCTAAACTTAATAGGTGTTAACCACTAAGGTGACAATATATAAAAAATCTTTTTATTCAATTCCCTAGGAAAATGGAACTGCTTTATTCCTTTTTTACTCAAGAGTAAAAAATAAGATATAAAAAATATATATATATTTTTATAAGTAATAAAAATTGAAAATAAATTTAAAATAAGTAATAAAAAATTTATTTTTTAAAAAAGGTAAAATATACATAATAAATGGTTTATATAAACCAACTTACCAGATTGTATGTGTCTGTACCCAGATACTAGCATGACCTACGGGGTTCTCGGTGTCAGTGTCTGTCTCACTACCCTCCCTATCTGTACAGTTACTGTACTGTTTTATAGCCTGATATACTGTCATATTATATGGTAATACTCGATCTCCTATCAGGAACTCTAGTCTGTGTCGTGCTTGACCTTGACTTATAAATACAGCAGCCTGAAATTGTTATAACAAATCCTGGATAGGAATATACAGAATTATATAACCCAAGAAACAATTCATCTGTACCTATATAATCTATATTAAATCATTATCTTTAACAAATGACCATTACTTTCATACTTTAAATTTCAGTAAACACAAGTTGTTCGGAATTCACTTACTTTTGCCCAATATGAACATTAAATGACAAAAAAATTTAACACTTTCGTATAATTACAAAACAATCATCCTCATTTCAAAATGCCTAAAGAAAAGGTATCAACAATACTATAAATAGTAAAAAATACTTTATTTTATCAAATATCCATGCCACTTTTACGACTCCATATAAAAATGGTATTAAGTAGCACTGCATATATCTTGATGTGTCATTGTTTGTTAAGAGGCGCTAAATGACAACATTAAGCCCAATACTTTTTTACTGTAAATAGTTCTTATTTTGGTACGTGATAAAGAATATTATATTTGTGTGGGTTCACTACTGAATTTATTGAACTCGAATAAAATTATATAATGCTCGACAGAGGCTCGCATATTACAATTTTTTTCAACTTGTTCAATGAATTCAGTATATAAGAAAAATTTCATTTTAAAATATGCTAAGGCTTTGCTGATTATAATTTACAACAAGTTGGTACAAGTCATCTAACAGATTGTTATCATGTTGTTGTCATTTATAAAGCAAGATAAGAAGTATGGTTACCATGGTATCATCTAAGTCTTCATCCGAGTTGTCATCATCACTATTATCATCATCAGCATCCTATAAATACATATATTACATTTTATTATGGGTTAAAGAATTGGTCAACAATTTGTTCTTTTCTTTTAATCTGTACATATAGTCCAATTTTTGCAGTGCACATTTTGACCTATTGTCAATCAGTGTACATTTTATCATCTAATCAAAAATGTACATTGTGTCCTGTTTTCAGTCATAGTGTATTTTGTCATGTTTATGTATAAATATGTCATATGTATAAATAAAATGATAAATAACAAAATAAATTTTACAATAACATCACAAATAGGTATTATCAGTTTATATTCACACAAGTCTATTATTAACAACTACAGAGAAAACTTTTGTTCACACAAAATATCTCTCTTTTTTTTCCTGTTTACAATAATTCATATTTCTAAAACAATCATTTGTTAGTTTTATTTACTCAATGTATACAATCCAATATGTTTTTATTGCCACTCAATCAGCTTACAAATAAAGTACAGTTAGTTTACTTAGATGTCAAAAGTTTATCGAACTGTCCAAACATTTTCATGGTACATCCGCTTTTTTTCTATACAAAGTAGATTTCTCTAAAGGATATTTTACACTCACTGACCGCCTTTCAATATTAAACTTAATATTCATCAAAATTAAACATACGTTAGTAAGAAATGTAATGTAGCCCACCTTTTGTCTGCCATAACCTCTCATGATAAGGTATCTCTCTATTGCTTGAACCAGGGCTAGAGGATCTATCTTCACTGGACCACCTTTCCACTGCTTCAATGTATTGCAAGATGGATGCTTTTGCAGCAAGCACTGCAAAACAATAGTAAAGACATTTGTTTTAGATGTATTTCATCATGATCCCATAGATGACAAATCAACAAACATGGAATTTCTGTATTCTCAACTTTATATAATAGTTCATCAGGTATGGATACAAAATGCAAGATTTTAATGTGTCATTTTTTCTCTCCTACCAAATGATGCTGCTTATTTTTCATGCAACATGATTATGTAATAGAAAGAGCACTGAAACACGAGGCTATCTGATTTGTATGAGGGGGCATAGCCCCCCCCCCCCCCAGTATTAATCAGATTGCCGAGTGATTTGATGTTCTTTCTCTTTGTATCATAGTCAAACATAAAGACACACAATATGAAACCCCAGAAAAAAGTAACCAATCAACGAGCATCTGAATATGACATTTCTGTCTCTTTCCCTTTCTTTGTCGTTACAATAAGTAAACCCAAGCAAAAATGAGCCAATCCATGGGAATGCTCTGGAGTGCGAGTAACTAATAGTCCTGCACTCCATTTAACGCACTGTGCATGTATATGTATAAGATTTAACTCTGAAAATTTTTCAACAGAAATGTCCCCAAACTATGATACAATATGTATTCAACTTTCCATATGGTACATAAATGTTTGAACATTCGATCATTGTTAAATCAACGGGTGATGAAAAGTTCTCAAAATCATTTTGCAGTTTTTGTATCATTTTGTACTGCATGATAAAATGACCCTAATCACCCTATGTATCTAGACTTAAATTGTAAATTTGTGTATAGACTTCAACTGTTTGTGGTGTTAATAAGATCTCTGACAATATTGCATCAAGAATTATATTCCACTTATAGAAGAATACTCGACAACAAAGTATCTCTTCATTTATTGTTTTGCAGGAAATGAAACAATAACAGAAGAATTTATTTTGTTTGGTTTTAAGTCACTTCAACTCGCACCATTTCAGGCATTAATGGGCACATAAGTTCAACTGCCTCCAAATGTGACAGATTTAAAATTCCAAAAAAATGTTTTAAACTAGAAAAGAAATGTACCTTTAGCTGATGTGTGTTGAAGAACTTGAGAGCATTGGAGCCTCTCCCCGTCGATGTATTTCCACCAGGGAGGTCATGAACTTTGACCTGGAACTGTTCTAGCTGATGTAAACATGCCATTAACTTTTGTACAAGTGGTAACATTGTACAAGGTACCTCACTGTCGGGCATGTTCATCTCCTTAAGGTGAATAATGTCTGGCGACTGAAATATTTATAAACAAGTTTTACGACTAAAGTTATCAAAATGGCATTTGATATACATGTATAACATTAGACTTCAGTTTTCTCTGCATTATTTGTTTTGTTTGGGTTTTGGGCGAATCAACGCAATTCAAGTCATATGGCGCTGATACATTTTTATAACCAAGATGATGACTTGTGAGAGTCAAAATGTTGGTTATCATCATTAAAAAAAAACCAACCTAAAACTTATCCTGTTTTGATTCTTTGTTCCACTTGATTCATCACATTTTGTATTTAATTACTACATTTTTCTGGCTCGTAAAGAGCAAGGCAAAGCAGTGACAAAAATAGGTCTCTGCCACAAGAATAAATTGTCTAACTGTTGTAATTTTAGTGTTATGAGGCTGAGATTCCAAGACAATTTTAACTTTTAAAACAAGTTAATCCAAAAATACAGAATGTACAGCTGAACTTGATATACCATCCTTTAACACAGAATAACTTCAACGTTTACTTTTAAAGACATAAATTTCCAGGTTTCTTATTTCTTTTATCATGAAATTCTATTTCACTTTATTTTCTGTAAGCTTTATATACTTACAGGGCAGTTAAGGAAGACATGGAGAAACCGTCTTATTCTCACGTCTCGTGGCACTGACCCGTCCATAGACGTTAAATATGTCAACAACTTCTTCACCAGCCCACTGTGTATCACCTCAAATGGAGAGACATCGCTCTCTTTCATTATCACAGATATGTCCTGTAATGCTTCCATGCCTACATCATCCTAAAATATATACACATTCATCTCATATAAAAAAAGCATGTAACAAACAAGTGTTCAATTATATATTATAACATAAAGATGATTTTTATCTCTTTGTTAAAGTGGACATTTAAGTCACAACCGACATATGTACTTTGGCGACATTCCAGCTTTACATTTGGAAAAAAAACAACAAAGTTGCCATTCCATGCATTATTGTACAAGCTTACACCTGTGTAGAACCACCAATGTTTCAACTTATGTGGTTAAAAACTATGAGTTTTTAGACTCAAGCTGATTCTTACTGGATATAGAAATGTTTGTTCGGTAAGCTACAGTCTGCACCAGCACTTGTTTTCCCTCCTTTTAACAGGTAAGTTGATACTAATAACTAGAAAATGATCTTAATTTAAACTTATACTACTGTTGTAAAACCCTTTTTTGGTCGAAATTTATTTAATTTTGTGACTTAAAATTTCCTAACAGGATCAAGGTCAACCAATTTTCTAAAGGCAGGCTGTCAACCAGGTCTTATCCAAAATAAAGGAGGAATACAGGAATATTTTAGCAGGAAATATAGGAGTTTTTGGACCATTTTGAGGCAAAAAAATAGGAGTTTTCAACTTAAATTGTTTAACTTACCAATGCTTATATAAATGTAAATTATTCTTACTTTTACACATGCTGTTTCTACAATAAAATGTCTGCCGTATAAGTGAAGGAAACCATTAGCAGGCTGTCCAGCACCTTCCGACATAAAATTAGGGCGAATTTTAGGGTACGTAATAGAAATTTTAGGGCTAAAATTTGCAATTTTATGACTAAATAAACTAAGGTCCAAAAAGACCATGATGTGGGCTAACCTTTGCATATTTGACACATAAGTAACTCACAAATAATGCTCTAGTTTAGTTTGAGCAAAGGTGCTACCAGTGTGGACTCACTGGTCAACTGCCTCCCCTGCGGAAATGGTCATAGTCAATTCATGTTCAAACCATATTTTTCAAAATGGCTGAACATGTCAAAAAGAACATATTCTATCTATGTTTTGGGAATGTTAATTTTTTTATAACTACAAGTGTCTAAAAGGAATTCTTATACAGTGAAATTCTTGCACAATGCAGCTTTTGAATATGGACAAATGATTTTTTTTGTAAAAGTAGGTAAAAAGTAAAAAGGCATTTGCCTTAGTACAGTCATTTGAATAAATGGGAAGCACCTATAATCAACACAAAGAATTGCACATCAAAAAAGTTCACCACACAGACCATTCAATTGCAGTTTATCTAGATCACATAATTGCAAAATGTGTGTACATTGTAATTGGAAATGAGCTTTAGATTACTGAACTGCCAAATTATTTTGATTGTGATTAATTATACGAGTCTTTTCCTAAATGGGACCATATGAATGAAAGAACAAGAACTGAATGAAATTGATAACTTTGTGGTAAAATAAGCAATTTCTCCCTCAAAGATACGAAAAGGAAAAATAAGTATGAGGAAAAGAATTAATTTTTCAAAGTCTATGTTAACCCATTCAGTACTTTACAATGTTGTTTTGATATGATGCAGATTTAAATAAGAGTTGTGAGTAAACAAATTGTACATTAATTTTTGACAACTATTTATACATGTTTTTAATTAAGATTGTGATACAACAGCTTCATAATGATCATTTTCAAATATGATATGATATAAATGGACCACTTCAGAAATTTGGATAAAATGAACAAACATAAAATTCAAGATATCTGGAGTTGGCAAAACAGTGTCAAAATATTCCAGAATAAGTGGACTCTTATGATTATGATTTGAGTTTCAGGACCATGATATGGTAGTGTTTTTGCTGTTAACTGTCCACATGATTATCAACAACTGCTTTGATTATGAAATAGCAGTCAAAGTAACTTTTAGTTGAAACAAAACCATTTCAATGTCATCAATTTTTGAGTTGGCAAATCATGGCCAAATCATTTTTGACCATGTTCAAAACATGGTCGACTTAGTTATGTCCGTGATTATTTTGACAGGGTTACAAGTTATAAGTATGTTTATAACAAAAGATAAAAATAATTAGGAATTTCAGTGAAAAAAATAGGGCATTTTTAGGAATTCCCTTCGAATTTTTCACTTTTTTAGGAATTTTAGGGATGCTGGACAGCCTGCATTAGCTTTGAACAAAAGCATCAGCAGAAAGTTACAGCAATGCATGACCATCATCTGAATGGTCACCTGAAATAAAGTTGACATACTCATGCACTGCTTTTCATGGTGACCATGCAGATGGCTATGTGGAGCACAGCAGCCTTGAGCATAGTAATGTGATGCTGATGCAGGCATACACATTCTCTTACCTGTAAAATACAAAAGGCCAAAAGCAGTACCAAAATTTAAATCTCTTTGAATTCCTCGGCAATATATTTTAAAAAAAATATAGGAAATACATTCAAAATATAGGAGAATATAGGAAAAATAGGTTTTTTAAAATATAGGATTCCGACCCAAAATATAGGAGTTTTATAGGAATATAGCAATTGGTTGACAGCCTGTAAAGGTTGTAAAAACACCAAAAAAAAAAAAAATCCAAAACATTTGATTAACCATTTGATTTGTAGGATATAAATTTTCAAAATTTTATAATGGCACTCAAATGGTACATTGACTGGGATTCCTACCTCTAGACTGAGATTCTCTGTAGCTGTACATAATTTGTTCAATGTTGTCAGTGCAGGATGACTTCCTGGATGAATCTCTTCAGAGAAATACTGCTCCAGGAACCGTGTTGCTGTAAATAATTTAACATATTTATACTTAATAAATATTCAATTATATATAATTAGACAAAGGAATATTATAAGAATCTTACACCGGCTGCTGGTACAGACCGAAATATCTAACTCAATGGTAACTGTTTATGGCAGTAACAAGGCTCTATAGATACTCAAGAGCTAGATATTCCTGTCTGTGACAAAAGCCAGTGTTCAACTCTTTTTTTCTTGCATATTACATTTTGATACATGTATTTTGAAAAGATATTATGAAAACTAATACTATATAAAGTACTATTTTCATAAAGTAGCGTATGAATGTACAACTTCATTCATAATGGCAAAATGACATCATCCATAGAAAAATTCATTCATAAATGGCACATGGGAATGATGTCATTAACTTAAGACAGGTTTTTCTAGCACCGGTGTAAACAGTAGATAATCCTGTCTGATAAGCAAGAAAATGTATTACAATACCTTAACACATTGAAACTGGTTTATAGTAGTAATACTGTTATAATTCTAGGAACATATGAAATCAAAATAAGCTTTCTTATGAAACCAGACATGTTAATATGGTTTATCATTTTATGTATATGCATTTCATTTTGCAGAAGCAAATTTGTAACTAGCATACATCCATGAACACTTCTCTACAGAAACTGATTGTGTTTCTTTATTAAAGAAATGGGGTAATCATTAATCGTAATCATTGATTTTTTAATTGATTACATGATTACACTGTAATCATCATGTAATTGATTACCTTGCCCAAAAATGATTAATTTAATTGTAATTAATCAATTACAGCTAAAATTCAGTCAGTAATTATGATTACAATTTGATTAACATTGATTACTTTCAGATTTAACAGGAAACTATTTTAATTCAAAGGATGCCTTTATTTTACATGATACAGATTAATTTTTGTTTTAATTTTATACAGTAAAAACCCTTGATTCTGGACCAAAGTGGTCTTAATTGTGAACATTCTTATCACTGCTTACATACTTTATGAGCATGGTCTGTTTTAATCATTTTGTTTGGAAAAAAAACCAGTAATGTATCTTAATCTACAAATACAATATAAAAGACACTATAAAAGTATGCTTTTATATCTGATGAGAAGAAATTTAACATTAAGTTATCTTTGGTCAGATTTCAATATCAATTATATGATTTACATAAATCACCTATCAAATAAAAATTAATACTTCACAAAATAAATTTGCTGAAAGCAACATGAAACCACTCTAAAATTTACCTTCTCACCTTATTTTATACAATAACCCAATAACAACAGTTTTTCACACCTTGTGAAATTAAGTCTCATGCAAAGCATTAATTCAAGCAGATCATAACAACAAATTTAAGATCTAGATAGATGTTGACTTTAATATCAGTGGTCTCAATAGTGGGATCAAATTAAGAATCAGGTGGTCTTAAAAGTGGATAAGCGATTGTTCTTAATTCTGGATCATGTAACCATTGACATAAAGAACCTTGTAAAAAAGTAGTCTTATTAAGGGGGATGGTCTTAATTCAGGGGTAGTCTTAAGTATGGATTCTACTTTACATTGAATGTAATCAATTATCAATCAATTACTCTCTTAAAGTAATTGTAATTTAATTGATTACAGAGTCAAGTCTGAGTAATCAATAATAATCAATTACAATAAAATCTAAAAGTAATTGTAATTAAATCAATTACTGATCATTGTAATCATCCCCAGGTCTGTTCTTTAACTGATACTATTAAGAACATCTGCCACTTTCCTGCTTTAGCGGTGAAAGCAGATCTCAGCTGCCCATCCAATCATTATTCTAGATGCTTACAATCACTTATATTGCACAAGCTAGCTGAAAAGCTTCAGCACATAAAGAATCCATAGTCCCTGAATTAATTCAATCTCACAATGATGTGGGGCAAGTGGTTTATTATTAAGGTTATATCATTTAATATATTAAGAGGAAGTATTTACTGCAAGTTTAGAGATAATACCTTGTTCTTTTATCCAAGTTTTAATCTTGTCTTTGTTGTTTGGTAATGCAGGTTGAACAGGTTTCAGACTAGAATACTGAAATATACAAAAAAATACAATCATCAAAACACTGGGTTTAAATTATCGAATTACTTTAACAAAAACTTTTATGCAAGAAGAGAGTTTTAGATAAATACTGTTTGTCTTGTTTTCATGTAAATTTGAACATGTTTTTGGTCATATCTCGGCAATCGGTCCACTTATTCGACTTTCATGGAATTACTTTAAAGTCAATACCAATTCCTCTACAGGTGACTGACTGCAAATCCCACATAATTTAAAATCAGAAGTGGGAGACAAATAAGCATTAGACATAATTTTCAACATTAAATGTCATGGAGAAATACTGCTTTGTTCAAGGATTGAATCAGCAACCTTGATGCTTGGTGGGATGATAAGTGTTCTCTAAATTGCCTTATTTGATTCAAGCACATTACATGTAATTACTTTGAGCTTATATATGAGCCTCGTCACGACAAAAGCAACATAGTGCGTTTGCGACCAGCATGGATCCAGACCAGCCTGCGCATCTGCGCAGTCTGATCAGAATCCATGCTGTTCGCTTAACAACTCTATTACAAGTAGAGAAACTGATAGCGAACAGCATGGATCCTGATCAGACTGCACGGATGCCCAGGCTGGTCTGGATCCATGCTTGTCGCAAACGCATTACGTTAGTTTAGTCATGGCGCGGCTCATATGTATTTATATACTGTCTTTGTTTGTTTGGTTTTACGGCGCACCAACACTGTATAGGTCATTATACATATGGCGCTGAAACAGGAAAGATAATTTTGGCTAACCTTAGGTGTTAGAAACATTTAAGCAACACTAGGGGTCAAAACCATCCCACCAGCTGGAGCTATGAGATGCATAGATTCCAGTTATTTTAACCTATTTATTTGCCTTATACGATCACCCAGGGATAAATGGTGGCTGCAAATCTTAGGCCTCAAAATTAAAGCAACCTCCTCAGCCACAACAGGCTTATATACTATCAGGTTAAACCAGCTAAAACATTGATCATCAATAAATTTACATGCCTTGGATAAAAGAGGTCTATCAGAAGATGAGGATGATGATGAACTACTAAGTTTGCCCCAGCTCCGTGGGTTCAAGCTCGGCAAGAAAGACATTTTCGACGATGAACTACTTCCACTCTTCTCTTTGGAGGAACCTTTACTACGACTGGATCTGCCAACACCTAATGCTTTTTTGTCTACTTCTGGACTTTCATCGTTCTTGTTACTTTTTCTTGCAGGTCTTTTTGGAGGTTTCTTTCTCTTTAAAACATCACTGAGTCTCCTGAAGAAAATATTAACTACCATTATTTATACTGGAGATAGCAACTAATTCAAAGTAAACAAGTATCAGTGCATTTTAGTAAATGTCTTTGCATTTCATCAAGTAAGCAGAAAAGCCTTTCCCCAATGGTAAAGACAGTCGACATCTTTACCATGGATTTAATTTTTAAAATATAAAGGGGTCATAATACAAATTGAATACACAAAAACATGATTGTGGCCCCAGCATTTTTGTGGGTTTTATTTGTGCGGATATGTCAACCCATGAATTAAAGATCAAAAAAAAATTTGATTAGTCTGCCTTACAACTATTAAATTTACTATGTATGCATTTCACTTTATTGCAAAATCAGACAATTTCATAATTTAAGAAGCCACAAAAGTGTCCTTTCTGAATAAACAAATAAATTCCGTCCCCACGACATTAAGTGAATTGGCAGTATGGGGAACATTTGATATAGAGGAAGACTTACATTTGTGTAGCACCCGTTTCATGATCATCAGTCGAAGTATTAGAGGACGCCTCGGCCATACTTAAACACATGTCCATATCTTTCTTATCAACGTCTGTGGAACCAGAACTGCAGCTGGTACCACTACTACTGATGCTCACCAGGGAACCAGAGCCTAGAGGTGACTGCTGGGGTTGTGGTGGCTTTACAGGGGTCACAGCTTGCGGGTCTATCTCACTCAACTTCTTCATCTGATGCATTACACCTATAAAATAGCAAAGAGTTTCTTAAAATATGAAATATTTCCAAACAATTTAAAGCAAATAGACACAAATTAAACATCAAACAATCTCTAAACTTTTCTGTTTAAGATCAAACATAAGAGAGTCAATTTCAGCACTGACATAATTTTCTTATGACAAGAAAAAAGGTCTTCTCCAATATATATGGTTATCAGATTGAATAAGGCATTTGGATAGAAAGTCTTAGCTAACTTAAAGAGCTTTTAGAGTAGTGCCACTAAACAGTAAATGCTTTTTGGTGAAATGACTAATTTCATGTTTTGTTCCAGTGACCTTTAACCTCTAAATGATGGCATCAAGGTGAAGACTTCAAAAGGATAAATGTAAGTTGGAAGAACTTGTTTTATAATCAAATTAAAATAAAATTATGATTCATGTACATACACTAGTACAGTATGAATTTATAACATTGTAAAACGGCTCAATATGTTACCTTCTCGTCTAAAGAAAACATTAAATATATCTGGCAGTTTCTGCATCAGTGTTTCAGCCATCTGTATCCCACCTACCACAACTTTCAAATCTTGGGATGCCATCATGGCAGCAATATGACTGCAAATAAAAATATTTATTGTTACTTCATTGGCAAAATAGTTATGACTGGTTGAAATTTGAGAACAGACCTTGAGTTGAGACTGGTTGAGATTTGAGAACATATATAGAGACTGGTAGAGATTTGAGAACATGCCTAGAGACTGGTTGAGATTTGAGAACATACCTAGAGACTGGATGTGATCTGAGAACATACCTAGAGACTGGTTGAGATTTGAGAACATACCTAGAGACTGGTTGAGATTTGAGAACATGCCTAGAGACTGGATGTGATCTGAGAACATACCTAGAGACTGGTTGAGATTTGAGAACATACCTAGAGACTGGTTTAGATTTGAGAACATACCTAGAGACTGGATGTGATCTGAGAACATACCTAGAGACTGGTTGAGATTTGAGAACATACCTAGAGACTGGTTGAGATTTGAGAACATGCCTAGAGACTGGATGTGATCTGAGAACATACCTAGAGACTGGTTGAGATTTGAGAACATGCCTAGAGACTGGATGTGATCTGAGAACATACCTAGAGACTGGTTGAGATTTGAGAACATGCCTAGAGACTGGATGTGATTTGAGAACATACCTAGAGACTAGTTGAGATTTGAGAACATGCCTAGAGACTGGATGTGATTTGAGAACATACCTAGAAACTGGTTGAGATCTGAGGACATACCTAGAGACTGGATGTGATCTGAGGACATACCTAGAGGCTGGTTGAAATCTGAGGACATACCTATAGACTGGATGAGATCTGAGGACATACCTAGAGGCTGGTTGAAATCTGAGGACATACCTATAGACTGGTTGAGATCTGAGGACATACCTAGAGGCTGGTTGAAATCTGAGGACATACCTAGAGACTGGTTGAAATCTGAGGACATACCTAGAGACTGGTTGAGATCTGAGGACATACCTAGAGGCGGGTGGAGATCTGAGGACATACCTAGAGACTGGTTGAGATCTGAGGACATACCTAGAGACTGGTTGAAATCTGAGGACATACCTAGAGACTGGTTGAGATCTGAGGACATACCTAGAGGCGGGTTAAGATATGAGGACATACCTAGAGGCTGGTTGAAATCTGAGGACATACCTAGAGACTGGTTGAAATCTGAGGACATACCTATAGACTGGTTGAGATCTGAGGACATACCTAGAGGCTGGTTGAAATCTGAGGATATACCTATAGACTGGTTGAGATCTGAGGACATACCTAGAGGCTGGTTGAAATCTGAGGACATACCTAGAGGCTGGTTGATATCTGAGGACATACCTAGAGGTGGGTTGAGATCTGAGGACATACCTAGAGACTGGTTGAAATCGGAGGACATACCTATAGACTGGTTGAGATCTGAGGACATACCTATAGACTGGTTGAGATCTGAGGACATACCTATAGACTGGTTGAGATCCGAGGACATACCTATAGACTGGTTGATATCTGAGGACATACCTAGAGGCTGGTTGAAATCTGAGGACATACCTATAGACTGGTTGAGATCTGAGGACATACCTATAGACTGGTTGAGATCTGAGGACATACCTAGAGGCTGGTTGAGATCTGAGGACATGCCTAGAGACTGGATGTGATTTGAGAACATACCTAGAGGCTGGTTGAAATCTGAGGACATACCTAGAGACTGGTTGAGATTTGAGAACATCTTTAAGGAGATCAGCACTGCTGTAGTATATCATTCGTAATAATGTCTGCAAACATTTATGTCGTACTGTAGGCCCAGCCTGAAAATGTTAAAAAACAATGATCAATACAATAAATTGTGAAAAACAGCAAAATATCCTGCACTGACATAACATACCTTTCAATTAACTATGGTCATTTATTCCTTCTAGCAGGCTTCAATAAAACAGGACAAAGTTAAGGTAAAATGAAAAGTTAATGAGATTTGATTTTTCAGTAGATTTCATATGGTTCTCACTTGACATCCTGGCATCATGGAAAGGGATTTTTTTTTTATTTACTTAACAAAATGGCCAATAAATCTTCATTAATATTGTAGTACAATCATATCAACAATAAGGAAAGGAACTTACAGATGAGCTATACACCTCGTACAAGACAGCAAACAATGTTTTGATAAAGGACGAGGCAAGGCCAGCATCCTCCTTCAATACTTCCGCCCTAGAGTCACAACGCTCCAAATCTGTTTCAGAACTAGATCCTAAAATGTTAAAATAATATATCATCCCTATGTTGTGCTTAATAAAATGATGTATTAAAGCAATTTTAGTGTTATTTAATCAGTAGGGTAACACATATATCTAACTTTACATGTGTTACCACTGGAATAGGACAAAAAGATGTGTTAATTCTAGTAACAACAAAGATATAATTATCAACTGTTTGTCAGCTTCCTTGTTAACTTCCTCAAATAATAGGAGTAAAATATTTTTTTCAATCTGACATAACCAAGTCATTTACCATGCATTTAATACAAGAAACAATATTGCGTTTACATGATTAAAGCATTAAATTTTTGTTCTTAAACTTTTTCAATTTAATAACGTTAGTAAGTTTTTCAAGCACTTCTGTACTGGTCGGAGACCATCAACCGGACACTTTTGGAACATTTTTCCGTACAGATTTCATAATTTTTAACCTAGAGACCAAAAAATTTGACACAGTTCAGCTAGGTTCTTCTCCTAACTAATAAACTAGTTTGTTTATTTCTGATTGTATTGACACTTATATCTGAGGCTCGACAAAGAGGGTATCAAAATTACCTAAATTGTCTACACTACAGTACCATGTGTCCGGACAGAAATGTACATGATGTGATTTAATTCAGATAAAAGCCTGGGTGTTTTGATTTGTAACATGATATACAATATGTCAGCAACAAATGCTGAAGTTTTGGATATTCTATTATTCACTCTGCAAATGATTATAGCTGGTATATGAGGTCAGGCATTGCTTTCTTGACCCCCGAATTTCAACGTTAACATTCTTGAAATAGACATTAAAATATTACCATTTACAGAGGTTGAAATAAATTCATTTACTTAATATTAAAAGAAACATGCACTTATTGTTGATAAAAAAGTGACTGACAACCACTGAACAAAGAAAATACTAAATTAAGCATTTTCGGGGCCGTCCGGGTTAGGTGGTTGTCCGGTTTTGGTGGTCCCCAACCAGTAGAAGATTAAATCATGACTTTGCAAACATAAACTAGAACTGTGTCCAAAGGACACGGATGCCCCCACTGACAACAGATATATGGTATATAGTGAAAAAATCAACAAAGGGCCATAATTCTGTTAAATTTAGTCGTTGTTCCAAACTAGAGAAATATAAGTCAATTACATAATTGAATAAATAAGGGTTAAATTAGAAGAAACTAGAAATGTGTCCATAGGACACGGATGCCCCCACACGCCACTGTTCTGTCAATCTTATGACTCTAGGTCAAATATTTTTTTGGACTACATGTGCCACAAGTTGAAAACTATAAATCAACATTCTGTTAAATTTGGTCGCAGCAAAAATTCCTTCCTTTACTACAATCTACACATGAAGGTTGTTCATCCCTGGAAGTTTAAGCAAAATCTGCCATCCAGTTTAAGAGGAGTTGCGTTCACAAAATTTCTACATAGTATATAGTGAAAAGATCAACAAAGGGCCATAATTCTGTTAAATTTGGTCGCAGCAAAAATTCCTTCCTTTACTACCATCTACACATTAAGGTTGTTCATCCCTGGAAGTTTAAGCAAAATCTGCCATCCGGTTTAAGAGGAGTTGCATTCACAAAATTTCTGCATAGTATATAGTGAAAAAATCAACAAAGGGCCATAATTCTGTTAAATTTGGTCGCAGCAAAAATTCCTCCCTTTACTACCATCTACACATTAAGGTTGTTCATCCCTGGAAGTTTAAGCAAAATCTGCCATCCGGTTTAAGAGGAGTTGCGTTCACAAAATTTCTAAATAGTATATAATATAGTGAAAAAATCAACAAAGGGCCATAATTCTGTTAAATTTGGTCGCAGCAAAAATTCCTTCCTTTACTACCATCTAAACATTAAGGTTTATCATCCCTGGAAGTTTAAGCAAAATCTGCCATCCGGTTTAAGAAAAGTTGCGTTCACAAAATTTCTGAAAAAATCAACAAAGGGCCATAATTCTGTTAAATTTGGTCGCAGCAAAAATTCCTTCCTTTACTACCATCTACACATGAAGGTTGTTCATCCCTGTAAGTTTAAGCAAAATCTGCCATCCGGTTTAAGAGGAGTTGCGTTCACAAGATTTTGGGACATACGGACGGACACGTGCTCTGTGGGGGCATAAAAACTAAACAGAAAGTGTTCACAGTGATCTAGTAGTAACACTTTCTGACTACACATAGAGAAATGAAGTTACTTTAAAGTCTTTTTGGACAAGAAAAACTAAGGTCCTGCGTAATGGTACTTTACACTTTACAAGTAAAAGAACAAGTTCCTACCTCTAAAATAAAAAAGATTTCTGTATTTAGTGCAAGAGCTGTCGGTAGGACAGCAACGCTCGACTATTCTTAGTGCTTGATAGTAAAAAAAAAATGCTTGATACAATTACCTCCTCCTGTTTACAGGTTGGGGTAATGATGGTGAACAAGTGTGCAAAGTTTCAAAGCCATATGTCAATGGACTTTGAAAATATTTGAACTATTACAAAAACTTTAACGTAAATTCTAAGTCGAAAAAGGGGCATAATTCTGTCAAAATGCTTGATACAGTTACCTCCTCCTGTCTACAGGTTGGGGTAATGATGGTGAACAAGTGTGCAACGTTTCAAAGCCATATGTCAATGGACTTTGAAAATATTTGAACTATTACAAAAACTTTAACGTAAATTCTAAGTCGAAAAAGGGGCATAATTCTGTCAAACTGCTTGATAGAGTTACCTCCTCCTGTCTACAGGTTGGGGTAATGATGGTGAACAAGTGTGCAACGTTTCAAAGCCATATGTCAATGGACTTTGAAAATATTCGAACTATTACAAAAACTTTAACGTAAATTCTAAGTCGAAAAAGGGGCATAATTCTGTCAAAATGCTTGATACAGTTACCTCCTCTTGTCTACAGGTTGGGGTCATGATGGTGAACAAGTGTACAAAGTTTCAAAGCCATATGTCAATGGACTTTGAAAATATTTGAACTATTACAAAAACTTTAATGTAAATTCTAAGTCGAAAAAGGGGCATAATTCTGTCAAAATGCTTGATAGAGTTACCTCCTCTTGTCTACAGGTTGGGGTCATGATGGTGAACAAGTGTGCAAAGTTTCCAAGCCATATGTCTATTGACTATGAAAATATTTGAACTATTACAAAAACTTTAACGTAAATTCTAAGTCGAAAAAGGGGCATAATTCTGTCAAAATGCTTGATAGAGTTACCTCCTCTTGTCTACAGGTTGGGGTCATGATGGTGAACAAGTGTGCAAAGTTTCAAAGCCATATTTCAATGGACTTTGAAAATATTTGAACTATTACAAAAACTTTAACGTAAATTCTAAGTCGAAAAAGGGGCATAATTCTGTCAAAATGCTTGATACAGTTACCTCCTCCTGTCTACAGGTTGGGGTCATGATGGTAAACAAGTGTGCAAAGTTTCAAAGCCATATGTCTATGGACTTTGAAAATATTTGAACTATTACAAAAACTTTAACATAAGTGGTTACGCCGACGCTCGGGTGACTGCAATAGCTCTACTTATTCTTGTCGAATAGTCGAGCTAAAAAGGGGCATAATTCTGTCAAAATGCTTGATACAGTTACCTCCTCCTGTCTACAGGGGTTGGGGTAATGATGGTGAACAAGTGTGCAAAGTTTCAAAGCCATATGTCAATGGACTTTGAAAATATTTGAACTATTACAAAAACTTTAACGTAAATTCTAAGTCGAAAAAGGGGCATAATTCTGTCAAAATGCTTGATACAGTTACCTCCTCCTGTATACAGGTTGGGGTAATGATGGTGAACAAGTGTGCAAAGTTTCAAAGCCGTATGTCAATGGACTTTGAAAATATTCGAACTATTACAAAAACTTTAACATAAGTGGTTACACCGACGCAGGCGCTGACACTGACGCTCGGGTGACTACAATAGCTCTACTTATTCTTATCGAATAGTCGAGCTAAAAACAACATTATTACCAATCTTTTAGCCGAGATGTCATGGCAATTGTAACAAGCCATGTATCATACTATGATGTTAAATTTAAAATGAACCTACCAGAGTTAGACTGAGCATTTGTAGATGCAAATGGATTTGGTTTCCTTTGTACATTTCTGGCAGTGCCCGTGTCTTCGTTGATCTGTTGCATTGTGCTGAAGTCTATTGTATAGGCTCGGCCCATTGTAGACAAACTGACTTCATCTTCACCTGATTGGTGGGCAGCCTGTCATTATATGATTAAATCTTTGAGTATACATAAGTAAGTATACACAAGTTTGATTTTGTTAAAATATTTCAACTAAACATCTTTTTTTTCCTCTTTTATAACTTGTTATGAAAAAGTTTTAGTCTGTCACAAGAGAGATGCACATGCAACAAAAAGATCTGACTGCAACTGTAACAATTTAAGCTTACAAAGAAGCCTATAGCTTATCTGAACCATCCATACTCATCTTTCTTGGCCTGAAACTGGTCTCATATGAGGAAACATAGTTGAGTTCCCAATAGGACAATACCTACAACCCCTGGGTAGAAAATTAAACTACAGGGCCAAAATGAATTTCTTCAAGAAATTCTTCAATTTCAAAATTTTATTATACCTTTCCTGAATCCTTTCAAAGCGAGTGGTAATGCTTGTCCATGCAGTCTGACCAAGTCCTTTGCTACCGATTTGTCAAATTGACAATATTGATACTATAATCATTAAACCTCAATCTGAAGAGTTCCAAAGTCAATGCAGGACAATTTCATTATGAAAATGCAGCATGGTAAAGTTTATAGAGCTATCTACAAAGCATACATTATGATTTTGCAGGCCTACCTCAATAATTTTACTGTCTATTGGAGAATAAGAATGCCACATATTTCTGTCATCTTTCCACTGCCATATGACAGCATCAACATGTGTCAGTGATCCTTTCCTCATTAAATTATCTATCTGAAATATACCATCTGATGGCAACACTGGTAACAGCTCCCTGTAAAATATATAATTCTAGATTAACTTCTGAATAAAACAAGAGCTGTCGGTAGGACAGCACGCTCGACTATTCTTAGTGCTTGATAGTAAAGGAGCCTTGATAATGTTAAATTTTTTAAGTTCACAAAAGGGCTAATTTTTTTTTATAAATTCATGTTATAGGCCTTAGAGAGAGTCTAATTATACAGTATTGGCTTGACTATTCGGAAGGTAATGTCACAAGGGTGTTTTATTGAGTATAATAATACTAATTACCTATGAATACATAAATTTGACAGAAAAGGTACAAAGGCTTGTTATTAAGATGTTTTATCAAGTAAATCACTGATTTATTATTATGAATGCATAAAAGTGTCCCCAAAAAGGCACAAACCCTTCAGTAGTTATTGAGATAACAGCTTACAAGCAAAACCCTAACATGAATTTCTAAGTTGAAAAAGGGGAGAAAAATCAGCCTAAATTCAAGATAGAATTATGGATCTTTGTCAGTGACCTACAATTATGACCCTAAATGCATATGTGAAGTTTTAAATAAATATCTTTAATAGTTATTGAGATATGTAAAACTTGTATGTAAACATTAACCAAGAGACTAAGTGGAAAAGGGGATATGAATCAGCCTTTATGCAAGATAGAGTTATGGAACTTGGTCAGTGACATACAATTATGACCCTCCAATTAAGACCCTAAGTGCATGTGTAAAGTTTCAAGTAAATATCTTTGAAGACCTTTAACTTTTAACCAAAATTTCTAGGGGCAAATAATTCTGAAAATGTTGCAGGCAGAGTTATGCAATTTCGCAAACTGGTGTACATTGTTACTATAAATAAGTATTGTAAGTTTCAATTGAATATCTCAAGCAATAATTGAGATATTTGACTTTACAAAAAAAATTTAACCAAAATTTCTAAGTTCCAAAGGGGCATAATTCTGTCAATATTGTAGGCAGAGTTATCCAACTTGTCAATCTGATGTACCTTGTTACTATAAATAAGTTTTGTAAGTTTCAATTGAATATCTCAAGCAATAATTGAGATATTTGACTTTACAAAAAACTTTAACCAAAATTTCTAAGTTAAAAAGGGGCATAATTCTGTCAATATTGTAGGCAGAGTTATCCAACTTGTCAATCTGATGTACCTTGTTACTATAAATAAGTATTGTAAGTTTCAATTGAATATCTCAAGTAATAATTGAGATATTTGACTTTACAAAAAACTTTAACCAACGCAGACGCCGACGCGGACGCTGACGCCGGGGCGACTACAATAGCTCTCATATTCTTCGAATAGTCGAGCTAACAACCAAACAAATAAAATATCTGCGGAGAAAAAATATTGAAGGAACTTCACTCATGTGCAAAAGCCTAAAATTATTAAATTTGAAATTTTTTACATAGATCTTCTGAGGCACTTCAAACAGAAAGTTATGCAAAAGATAATTAAGAAAATTAGTATACTTAAAACTAAATTGAAAAAATCTTGTTTTTGTGCTTTCTAAAGGCCAATTTAAATTAAAAACGTTGCAACACTTTTTTATAGGGGCAAATGGTTTAAAGTCAAGTGATAAACCATTTGGCAATGAATACCAAATAAATATACAAGTAAACAAGTATTGGGGCATACCCTATCAAGCAGACAATCTCGTAAAGTTCTTGTGGTGTTCTAGATACAAGCTCTATACTCTTGGTAGCCTCTTCTGATGTTCCCACCAGTAGATAACATAATGTGTCAGCTACCTCTGTAATATATCAAATTACATTTACTATAAACATTATTTTCATGTTAAATATAATATCTTATAACAGGGAGTATCGTTATTTTAAAGTTTATAACTTTTAAAGCTACATATCTAGTACCAGTTGTTTTCATTTTTGAATTTTGAAAAAGAAAATTATTCCAAATTACATGTCCAAAAAAGTTGTGTATATTTCCTTTGAAGTGAAAAGTGCAGAAAATCACTGCTGAACTATTAAAACACTACATTATATTTCGGAGCGTAGGACAAAAGCCCCCCACCCCCCCCCCCCTGTCTAAAAAAGACAAGGTGGACAAAAGCCCCCCCCCCCCCCCTGAAATTTTCTCATAGGACAAAAGCCCCCCCCCCTCACAAAAAATACAGGTAGGACAAAAGCCCCCATCTTTTTTCACACGCACAGGTGCTCAAATTAATCAAATTTCACACAAACTTTTAAATAATAATAACAAGATTGCATTTGAGAAAAATGCTATGCCACCGCATTAATACAATACTAAATAGTAGTGTAGGAACATATTTTTTTTTGTTTCTATACAATTTTTAAGATTGTCATAATGCATAGATCCCTGACCTTATAAATAATCTAATTCTTATTATCAGATTAGCGGTTAAATCTGTTGTTAACTCAATAAAAGATCAGAGTAGGAATATATCAATGCACGCGAGTCTAGTGAATTTGGTGGTGAAGGTCATATTTCACACAGCCTAAATTTCATGACTACATCAAATGACAACACAGAAAGACACTTTTTCAAAATCTAGGTCAGCTGAAATCAAAGTTCACTTTACATCTTAATCTGTGCACATGGTTAAAATTTCATAGCTGTACATCAAAGGACAAGAAAGTAGGTCACATCATCAAAATCTAGGTCACCTGATATCAAAGTTCAATTTTACAACTAAAACTGTGCACATGGTCAAAATTTCATTGCTGTACATCAAAGGACAGAAAGTAGGTCACTGTCCCCATGGGCAAGGCAAAATTTTGGACCCACGGGTTTAATTCAAAACAATCTTGATACAGGTCCACCAAACAACATCTCAAGTCAAATATCTAAGCTGTAGCTTTCTCCCATTCAGAAAACATTTGTTTTATTTTCTGTTTTTACTATGTGTACATAATGAGAATCACTGCCCCCGGGCAGGGCCAATTTTGACACCAGGGGAAAAATTTGAACACGTTTGGTAGAGGACCTATAGATGATATTATATAGCAAACATCAAAGCTCTATGTCTTGTACCTTCAGACAAAAATATTTTTTATTTTTTTACTATATGTACATAATGAAAATCAATGACCCCCGGAGCGGAACCAATTTTGACCCTAGGGCTATAATTTGAACAATCTTGGTAAAAGTTCACTTTGCAAAGTCTCATGCCATATATTTAATCTCTAGCCTAAGTCAATTCAAAGAAGAAGATTTTACAATTCAGAGAAGAAATTTTTTTAAAAGTTTTTACTTTATACATATAAGGAAAACTATCGCCTCTGGAGCAGGGCAATTTTAACACTAGGGGCATAATTAAAACAACTTTTGTAGAGGACCCATAGATGGTATTATATACCAAATATCAAAACTCTAAGCCTTGTACCTTCAGACAAGAAGATTTTAGAATTTTTTACTATATGTACACAGTGAAAATCAATGACCCCTGAGGATGGGGCCAATTTTCACCCCAGGGCTAGAATTTGTACAATCTTGCTAGAGGTTCACTACACAATGTTTCGTGCAAAATATCTTAACTCTAGCATTTGTAAATTAAGAGAAGATGATTTACTAAGTTTTTACTATATACATACAAGAGGGCCATGATGGCCCTGAGGTCGCTCACCTGTATATAGCCAACCCCCCCCCCCCCCGGGGCCAATTTTTACCCAAGGGCTTTTATTTGTTTATTTGAACAGACTTGGTAGACACCCATAAGAAGATGTTTCATGCAAAACATCTAAGTTCTAGCTCATTGGGTTTTTTAAAAGAAATTTTTTTAAGTTTTTACAATACAAATATAGTTAAAAACAATGACACCCCTCGGGCAGGGCCAGTTTTGACCCCCGGGATTTCATTTGAACAAACTTGGTAGATATTTACTTAAAGATGTTTCATGCTTAATATCTAAAAACTCTAGCTATTTGGGTTTTTTTCAAAGAAGATTTTTAAGTTTTTGCTATACACATAAAAGGAAAATCAATAACCCCCGGGGCGGGGCCAGTTTTGACCCCAGGGCTTTTATTTGAACATACTTGGTAGACACCCATTAGAACATGTCTCATGCTAAATATCTTAGCTCTTGCTCTTTGGGTTCTTTAAAAGAAGATTTTTTAAGTTTTTACTATATGCATATATAGGGAAAATCAATGACCCCCCGGGGCAGGGCCAATTTTGACCCCACTGGGCCAGGGCTTTTATTTGAACAAACTTGGTACACATTCACTAGAAGATGTTTCATGCCAAATATCTAAGCTCTAGTTCTTACAGTTCTTTAAAAGAAGATTTTTTAAGTTTTTACTATATGCATATAGGGAAAATCAATGACCCCCCGGGGCGGGGCCAATTTTGACCACAGGGCTTTTATTTGAACAAACTTGGTAGACACTCACTAGAAGATGTTTCATGCCAAATATCTTAGCTCTAGCTCTTACGGTTCTTTAAAAGAAGATTTTTTAAGTTTTTACTATATGCATATAGGGAAAATCAATGACCCCCGGGGCGGGCCAATTTTGACCCCAGGGCTTTTATTTGAACAAACTTGGTAGACACTCACTAGAAGATGTTTCATGCCAAATATCTTAGCTCTAGCTCTTTGGGTTCTTTAAAAGAAGATTTTTTAAGTTTTTACTATATGCATATAGGGAAAATCAATGACCCCCCGGGGCAGGGCCAATTTTGACCCCACTGGGCCAGGGCTTTTATTTGAACAAACTTGGTAGATACTCACTAGAAGATGTTTCATGCTAAATATCTTAGCTCTAGCTCTTACGGTTCTTTAAAAGAAGATTTTTTAAGTTTTTACTATATGCATATAGGGAAAATCAATGACCCCCTGGGGCGGGGCCAATTTTGACCCCAGGGCTTTTATTTGAACAAATTTGGTAGACACTCATTAGAAGATGTTTCATGCCAAATATCTAAGCTCTAGCTCTTAGGGTTGTTTAAAAGAAGATATTTAAAGATTTTTCTTTCGGTTGCCATGGCAACCAGAGTTCTGCATGGAATTCAATTCTTTGAAAAAATTTTAAAGGTGACCACCAAAGGAACATTCCTCTGAAGTTTGGATGAAATTGGCTCAGTGGTTTATGAGGAGATGTCATTTAAAGCAAAAGTTTACGGATGGACGACAGACGGCCGGACGCCGGACGAAAAGCGATCACAAAAGCTCACTCTGTTACTTTGTGACAGGTGAGCTAATAAGGAAAACCTATGGCCTCCGGGGCTAATTTTGACACTAGAGACAAGATTTGAACAACTTTGGTAGAGTACCTATAGATGATATCATTTAACAAATATTAAAGCTTTAAGACTGGTACCTTCAGATAATAATATTTTTTGATTTTTTTAATATTATGTATATATTGAAAATCAATGACCCCGGGGTGCGGGCAATTTTGACCCCAGGGCATGTCTATAATTTGAACAATCTTGCTAGAAGTTCACTTTTCAATGTTTCATGCAAAATATCTAACCTTTAGCATTTGTCAATTGCTAGAAGAAATTTTTTTAAAGTTTTACTATAAGTTTTTACTATATGTACATAAAGTGAAAATCAATGACCCCCGGGGCAGGCCGATTTTGACCCCAGGGCTATAATTTGAACAATCTGGGTAGAGGTCTACCAGACAATGCCTTATGCAAAATATCTAAGCTCTAGGTTCTTTGGGTCTTTACAAGAAGGTATTTTAAGTGTTTACTATATGTACATATAGTGAAAATCAATGACCCCCAGGGCAGGCCGATTTTGACCCAAGGGCTATAATTTGAACAATCTTGGTAAGGGTCTACCACACAATGTCTTATGCAAAATATCTAAGCTCTAGGCCTTTTGGGTCTTTACAAGAAGGTATTTTAAGTGTTTACTATATGTACATATAGTGAAAATCAATGACCCCCGGGGCGGGCCCGATTTTGACCCCAGGGCTATAATTTGAACAATCTTGGTAGAGGTCTACCAGACAATGCCTTATGCAAAATATCTAAGCTCTAGGCCTTTTGGGTCTTTACAAAAAGATTTTTTAAATTTATTCTTATAATTCCTTTTGGTTGCCATGGCAACCAGATTTTGCATGGAATGAAATTCTTTGACGCTATATGCCACCGCATCGCAGATGCTGCGGTGGCATAAAAAGAATTTGTTTTAATGTTTATTTACAATGTATATATTGAAGTGATAACAAAGTTTATGATAACAGATTAAATAATGCATGCATGTGATACCAAATTCATATCTTTTTATATACACGACAAGGGTCAGAAGAGTAATAGTGTTTAATCACTTTTGTAAAGGGATCAAATTAATATCCTTAGCACTATGTCACCTACATGTGATGTCAATTCATATCTTTTAAACACATAAAAAACACAACTTTAATACACTATATGTAAATTTGATTGACTATGGGGGGGGGGGCTTATGTCTAATATTGATGTATGTTAAATAATAGAGGCATTCTACATTACAACTCTTTAGAGAATCTACCATAACATAAATATAAAGTATATAAAAGATGTTTCAACAATTAGAATATGTAAAGATATAACAGCTGGTCCCCTTTAAAATTTTACATTTTTGATAATAGAATAAGATAAGGCAACCCTGAATGCAATACTCTATTTTACATTGTTCTATATCATAACCAATCTTACATAAGCTAGCTGTAATTCTTCCTCAGTAGATAAAATTTCCATTCTTTAAAAACAATCAAACTTTTGGTTGTATATATGTCAAGGTTTTAAGATCAATGACTTTAACCCTTCTGTTGAAGTCTTAACCTTTACCCATGCAACCAGAGCAAATGAAGATCAACTGGAACATCAGTGCCATCTGACTATGGTCAGCACTGTTTACAAATCAGTTGGTTCTAACCTTAAAACAATAAATGGTTTTGTATTGACTGAAAGATGAACAAGTTCATTTCAGAATTTTATCATGGTAAGGGTTAAAGTCAAAGGTTAAAGAATAACTTACTTTGTCTCAGTAAGACTACAGCAAGGTCTGGGCAGTTACCACACATGATAGCCAGCATTCTGATAACCATAACAAATGTTCCAGTACTGATCACTGGGGGACTCACTACAAGCTGCAATATAGAACATATACCATGAGAATCTACAGTGAGAATCTAGGTGTTGGCTTTGTAATTTAAGTGTCTGTCCAGAATTAAGGCAGCAACAATGTTCTTGTCAGTACCCTCATACCTCTCCTGTCATCAAAATAATTTTCTGTGCAAAAGTTTAACTTTCAAATTTTCTGTTTCTTTGCATTTTTTTTATTTTTTTATTTTTGACAACAGTGTTAATTTGTAAACTTAAAGAAATTTTGAGTCAAGATTTTTAAAAATACATTTGATTGATTATCAAAGGTATAAATTTGAAAAAAAATATTTTCAATTTTAAGGAGTTGGCTGTATAACCCTTTACATTTCACAGCAAAAGATTAACCAGTCTGTGATAGAAGATAATAATTGAGTTTGAGATATTTACCAATTGCTGAATATTAGTAAGTAGACCCTGTACTGCGATCTCCTTTAAAATCCTTCTATCATTCTGGAAATTGTCCACCAGGCGAGCAAAACACAGACATACACTTTCCACTGATCTCTTGTCCTGAAATGATATACATACACAATTTTCATCTAAAATGTAACAAACAACTGTTTATGTATAACAACAGACTGCTGTGAAATATGTCACAAACAATTGTTTATGTATAACAACAGACTGCTGTGAAATATGTCACAAACAACTGTTTATGTATAACAACAGTCGGATGTGAATGGTTCATGTAAAACTTTATAAACATTCTTTTTACAAATCATTTTTTTTTCCATTTTATCATCTTCAAACATTTAATCTTTCAAGAGTTGCCAAATTTCTGTTGCCCCCTAAGGAAATACAAAAATTAACTGAAAATACACATAACTTTGACAATTAGTCAGGCACACCTAAATGTTTTGGTTGTTTGATTAAAATAAAATTGCCTTAACCATTTGTTTAGCTGCACATTTGGTCAAGACGGCTGGGCATTCAGTAGGCTTGTATTCCTTGCTAATTTTTTTATGTTTTCAGTCGCAGCAACACAGTATAGGTCATATGATAACTTTCCAGCTTCACTGATGGAGGAAAGCCTCAGTTACCACTTTGTGCATTATTTCAGGCACAAATGGGCAACTGACTGGAACCACAGACTTTCTGTAAGCTAGCTTCATGAAAGAATTCGAAGATGCCATTGCAGATTCCTCACTTTTTACTACTAACTACTGAAATAATAACGTAAGTTATCATACAATACCTGGTGTGTAAGCCTGGCACTCAACAATGGTACAGAATCACGGATATAATGAAACTCATCACTAGTCATGTTAAGGACACAGTTTGCTGTGATAGCTAGGGCACAACGCTGGGCATTTATACTGAAGAAATCTAGAAACATCAGGCAAGCTGCAATTCCACCCTGAAATAATTGAAATTAATTGTTTGATGACATTTTTGTTTGGCAAACCGGTAACAGCTGGTTGATTAAATATTTATAGGCATAGGACTCATCCATCTTTCTGTTAATGATTATGTCAGGGGATGGGGAAATGTGCAGTATGACTTTGACCCTAACCGTTAATGTGTTCCAAAGTTCTACCAACAGAACAACCTTGTTGCTTGAACACTTTATCCTCCATTTGTAAACAATCATGCTCTGTGATATATGTCTACAAAAAAAGACCTATACAAATGTTTTAATCATGAACCGATTTTCAATAGTCAATCATCCATATATGGTAACTCTAACATTAATCGATTAAACACTTATCTGTTTACTAATCAAACAGACTCGCTTAAAATAGTGAACATTAATGTATGTTTCCAACTGAAATGGCATTGATTAAAATGTATCTTTTTAGAACATGTTTGATGTAATTGAGGTAGGTCTATACTTACAGCTTGTAAAATAGCCTTGCTATGCTTCTTAGACAAAGATTCTAGACCTGTCAATGCTTGCTCTGCCACGTCCATACACTGTATCACTTGCAACTGTCAATATATAACATATTTGAACTAAACTATTATACTGGATTTTTTTTTACATCAGTTGGACATAATGAGGAATGTAAGTGGTGTACCTCTTGACTCAACAGCCTGACATGCCCATGGCAATACCAACATTCTATAGCATAACTTCATAACTTCCTAACATTACAACTCAATCTGAGAGGCAATTTTTTTTAATTAATTCATGTCAACTACAAAACAAGAAGACTTGTTGAATTAATTCTTACATAGTGTTAGATTCCTGAGAACTAAGTAACAAGTAAAAATATCTGTATCCGAGTTCAGATTGTTTTTTTATACTTTCCTACTAGATAACCTAATCTTTGACATACCTTTTCTAAGAAAACTGGAACAGCATCAACAACAACAGCTGAGGATCTAGGTAGGGCTTCCATCATGTACGTGAGGGCTCTACAAGCATGGTTCATCATATCAAAATTATGTTCCATCTGTAACAGGGTAATTAGCGCTGGAACAACCTGCTTCACTGGGAATCCAGCTAATGTGTCCTCATTCCCCATTACCAACATCTGTAGATATAAATAATTACATGTACATTACTGTCAATAAACATTTCTCATGACATCACAATATTACAGAAAGATCTAAATTAAAGAAACACGATTTCACACCTTTGGAAATAAGGTCAATCATTAAAATACTCTTGGAAATAAGATACTGTTTCGTGGCATATAATTACAATAATGGTAAAACAATGTTGATAGTAACAGGTAAACAGAGCTAATAATTACCTGACACATTTCTATGACAGCAGAAAGCTGTTGATCTTCATTCCCTGTGGCCTGTAAACCCTGTAACAATTGTTGGGCTTTGTTCACTGAAAGAAAAGACATGAACAATCTGTATTCGACAGTATGTGCTATAACTGACATCTTTATACTATAATTTATGCATGGATTTTTCATATAATAAATCTTGTGTTAATTAAAACCTTGTGTTTATTTAAAACATTGCCTATAATATACTAGTATTCAATTCAAATATTTTGTCAAGTTCAGATATTTAAAACCTTGTGTAAACAGTTACTTAAAACCTTGTGTAAATTTTAGTTAATAAAATTTTTGTGTTAATTTCAGTTATTTTAAACCTTGATTGTCTAACACTGGAAGTGATATTATATAGGAACTGGTTGGGGACCACCAAAACCGGACAACCACCAAACCCGGACGGCCCCGAAAATGTTTTAGTATTTTCTTTATTCAGTGGTTGTCAGTCACTTTTTTATCAACTTTTTTCTAAAATTAAATTAAATTTATTTCAACCTCCGTAAATGGTAATATTTTAATATCTATTTCAAGAATGTTGACATAGAAATTTGGGGGTCAAGAAAGCAATGCCTGACCTCATATACCAGCTATAATCATTTGCAGAGTAACAATAGAATACCGTACAAACGCAGTTATAAGACGCATCCCCTACTTCAGGCTCGTGATTTGGGGATTTTTTTGAAGACCCTCATATAAGACGCAGTCATATTTTGGCCTGGCAAAAATTGCCGACAATTAGCCGGATTTTGACAAAGTGCAAACTCAACTTTTGAAAATGTTACAGAATTGTAATAAAATTATTCCTAGACTGTAGCGTAGATGTTGTCTAGACTGACGAATTACTTAAGCAGAGTCATGTAGACGTGTCTAAAATTCATTTTTGTTTACCATTTTTAACGACTGATATTGCTAGATATTTCAGGTCCGAATGCATAATGGACGATGGATGTAAACACAACAGCTTATTCATCGGCACAAATATGTTTCTGCTGTTCCTAAAGTGTATTTGAGACCAATTCATGACAGACGTATATTGGGCTAATATTTTTATGAAGTTGATATAATGTATAAATAAAAATTCAATGCTGTCTTTGTCTTTATTGTTAGGAATTTTGAGTGGGACATAGTTTTCAAACTTGCACTGCAAACAATGAGTTAATCAATAAAACTAAAAACAAAGTCAGTTTCACCAATTTACCCATCGAATTTCACGCAGGTTCAACAATATAAACACAAAAATATAGTAACAACAATTTTTGTATTTTATTTCATGAAACAAACAGTAATCGCACGTCTTATATTATAGGTAATCACTCCAATTTGCTAATCCAATGTCAATCAAACTTTGAACTGCCCAAAAGTGTTTTAAACCAATAGAAAGTCATATTTTTGCCGAGCAAAATCGGCCGAAAATTTGCGCTATAATTTATTCACAGACTAATGACCCTCCTTAATCAATAACCAATGAAATTTAAGTGTAAATAATAATCCTATAATTTATTCACAGATTATTGTCCCATCTGAAGGGTGCGAAAAATTGGCCGCTGCTTTCAATCATCAAAGTATAGTTTTATGACAATTAACAACGTGTAGTGTAATGCCAATTAACAGTGTCTATTGAAAATGCCCCTCTCCATGCAATTTACGCTAGATTGTTTATCAATGTATGAACGAGTGACAAAATATTTTTGATTGGGAGTAATTTTCTTAAAGCATACAAATGTTTCGTAAAAGGCACAATAAATACCTTTTATATATAAATTCTCCTTAGAAATGATACAGAAACTGAAGTATAAATCTTAATTTTTATTATCCATTTTGAAACTTTTTCAAACAAATAACTCGAATCTTTTTAACTTTGTACTAAAGACAATTAATTAAATGACCCAGACGAACCAGAAAGTTTTTGCGAAAATCAAATCTCGCTGATGTGACCTAATTTTCCTACATGAAACTACAGGTTCTATACGACAAAATGGCAATTTTAAGTTGCATTTTTTTTGTAACAGAGTCTGTGACCCTTGCATACTTTCTCTGATACTTCATTTTATAATGGCATATTTTGTTACTAAGATTTTTCTAATTATATTTTTTAATATTTCATACTTAATCATTATCCATTAAATATTTTTATGAAAACTAAAGTGTCAAGTTATCATCGTATATCTTTACTCTTTCTAAAAAAATCAATATCAGCTGCGGTCGACGTGACCTTTCCAGGTGTTATGAGGTTCATTTTCCGAAAATCTTGAAATAGCATCTTTGTTATTCAACACATATGATGACCTAAAAAAGTATTATTGTTTAGGTTTGTTCTTTTAATTGTGTTTCATAATGGAATAAGTGGACATAGGTTGAGGCTAAGTTCGTAGGGGCAGGTAGGTACATTTTTCCTCCCTATTAAAGAAGGGACATAGTATTTTTTGAAAACTTTTAAGCCAGAAAATTTTTAGTAAAAGTTCATTAGTGCAAACTTTTATTAGTTTAATTAATTTTTTTCATGTATGTAACACTAAAATTACACAATGCATTGATTTCCACCCATATGGTATTGAGACATTCAATTTAGAATTATGCATCACGGAGCGTAGATGGTGAGTGATTGCTGGTGACTGGGATTGACCAGCTACGATCTAAAAATTCACCAGGTGCATAATTTCTTCAGACACCACTCAGTAGACTGCACTTATAAGACAAGGTTATAACTTTTTGTCAAAATATTCATGACCAAAACTGCGTCTTACAACTGCGTATGTACGGTATCCAAAACTTCAGCATTTGTTGCTGAAATATTGTATATCATGTTAAAAATCAAAATCAAACTAGAAATGTGTCCAAAGGACACGGATGCCCCCACACGCCGCTGTTCTGTCAATCTTATGACTCTAGGTCAAATATTTTTTGGACTACATGTGCCACTGTGAAGTTGAAAACTAAAAATCAACAAAGGGCCATAATTCTGTTAAATTTGGTCGCAGCAAAAATTCCTTCCTTTACTACCATCTACACATTTAGGTTGTTAACCCCTGGAAGTTTAAGCAAAATCTGCCATCCGGTTTAAGAGGAGTTGCGTTCACAAAATTTCTACATAGTATATAATGAAAAAATCAAAAAAGGGCCATAATTCTGTAAAATTTGGTTGCAGCAAAAATTCCTTTCTTTACTACCATCTACACATTAAGGTTGTTCATCCCTGGAAGTTTAAGCAAAATCTGCCATCAGGTTTAAGAGGAGTTGCATTCACAAAATTTCTACATAGTAGATAGTGAAAAAATCAACAAATGGCCATAATTCTGTTAAATTTGGTCGCAGCGAAAATTCCTTCCTTAACTACCATCTACACATTAAGGTTGTTCATCCCTGGAAGTTTAAGCAAAATCTGCCATCTGGTTTAAGAGGAGTTGCGTTCACAAAATTTCTATATAGTATATAGTGAAAAAATCAACAAAGGGCCATTATTCTGTTAAATTTGGTCGCAGCAAAAATTCCTTCCTTTACTACTATCTACACATTAAGGTTGTTCATCTCTGTAAGTTTAAGCAAAATCTACCATCCGGTTTTAGAGGAGTTGCGTTCACAAAATTTCTACATAGTATCGAGTGAAAAAATCAACAAAGGGCCATAATTCTGTTAAATTTGGTCGCAGCGAAAATTCCTTCCTTTACTACCATCTACACCTTAAGGTTGTTCATCCCTGTAAGTTTAAGCAAAATCTGCCATCCGGTTTAAGAGGAGTTGCGTTCACAAGATTTCGGGACGTACGGACTGACGGACGGACTGACGGACGGACGGACAAGTGCAACGCTATATGCTCCCACATTGTGGGGGCATAAACATCCAAGCTTTTATCTGAATAAATCATGTCATGTTCATATCTGTCCGGATACATGGTACTGTATTGTAGACAATTAAGGTAATTTTGATACCCTCCTTGTCGAGCCTCAGATATAAGTGTCTATACAATCAGAAATAAACAAACTAGTTTGTTAGTTAGGATAAAAACCTAGCTGAACTGTCGAATTTGTTGGTCTCTAGGTTTAAAATTATGAAATCTGTACGAAAAAATGTTCAAAAAGTGTCCGGTTGATGGTCCCTGACCAGTAAAGGAGGAAAAGCATGATATTTTGAAAGTCACAAGCCAAAATCAACAGTAAATGACTCCCAAACTTCCACTAATGAAAGCCCTGTTAAAACCTTGTGTAAATTTTACTCAGCTAAAACTGATCAGAATCATGATTATTTCACTATATCAATAAGCTAAAGTATAAATCCATTTCACAACAATATCAGTAACAATGGAAAACAAAATAGTATACCAATTGGTGCAGAATATAATATGAAATGTCCCAGAATTTAAACTTGCAAACTAAATGTTTTAAGAACAGACATCTCCCCTACTTTGATAATTGAGAGATATCTTGTCATGCAATTTACTTACTAGAACTATTGCTACCCATTGTTCTATGTAACAATTGATGCATCCTGGGACCCAGAGCTCCAAACAACTGTGAGGGCAGCCCTCTTGCTTCCAATAAAGCTATAAATAGTAACATTAAATATAGAAACAAACCAAAACAACTAATAAAGCTGTTAAACAGAGTCACAGCTGACTGCCATTGGCTGTATCACTCATATTTTTTATAGATTCAAATACAAATATGAAATGTTTATCACTAATACTCCCATACGTGCTTAAAAGTAAAGCCTTAGAGGGGAGTTTTTAAATCTAACCCTTGCATACAATGCAGCTACACTTTGACACTTATAATCAATTCTTGTAAAATATTGCAAAAACACAGAAAAATTTGGTTTTTCATTAGGGTGCTTATGCAGTCAATGTGATTCTGCTTGACCAATGAAATACTGATACAATCTGTAACAACGAAAAACATTGATACGTATTTAGAGCAATGTTAACAGCAATATATAATGAATGAGTGACTGAAGCTCACCTTGTAGTCTGCCCATATCTGCCTCTTCCGATTCACTCTCCGATGTCATAGCTGTCGCACCTCCACTACTAGGAGCTGTTATAAACATTTAAATAAAGATTTTTTCATCATGTTTAATTTATATCATTGACATAATTTTTACCTGTTTGATAAGAAAGATGCAATAATCACACATGATTACTTCTTCTTATTGTCTAAATTAATCAATTCTTCATTTTGTTTCCACTGACATATTTTACCGGAGGTGACAACAGTTGTTCGTTTGTTTCATTTTATGCCTTTTTCCAACAGTATTTCAGTCATATAGGCGGGTAGTTTCCTAACCATCGTTCCTGGAAAGTTACACAAGTACTAGACAACCTTCCTCCGCGCTAAACTACCAAAGCATCTCCCGGGGATCGAACCCACGCCAGAGAGGTAACTGGATTTGAAGTCATCGACTCTAACCCCTCGACCTTGGAGGCGGTACAGTTGTTCGTATTGCCCATGTTGTCCCACAGTGGAAATTTTCAATAATTTACTATATGAATATCATACAGATTACTTTAGAAATCATTCCGATAAAAATGGACAAGTAAGTCAAATTCAGTCAGATTGTGGCTGCCCTGTTTGCTTCATATGGTAGCATCATAGTTTCATGCATATAAAACGCCACTGTTTCAGATAACTTTCACATATGAACATTAGTGTAGAACAAATGACGTAAATATTGAACTTTGAAGACTGGGAAAGAAATAATCAAGATCTTCGCATTGCATTACCAGCCATTTTATAATTGGAAGACATATTAGAGTTGGCTTAATGTTATTGATGATGAAAATATTTGTTGAGTTGTATCATTTCAGTATCAAGTTTATTAAAACTAGTAATACCAACAAAAGACTGATTGCAGTATCAATTCTATTTCAATAATTTTAAATAGTCATTCCAAAAATGAAATTCAAGCAGTCACACAAGTATACATGACTTAAGAACTGAATTTGACTCTTCAGCTGCAAAATAATGACAACATAAACAAGAGGGCCATGATGGCCCTGAAGTCGCTCACCTGTATATGGGCCCCAAAAGCGGGCCAGTTTAAACCCCAGGGCTTTTATTTGAACAAACTTGGAAGAAACCCATAAGAAAATGTTTCATGATGTTAAGTTTTTACTACACACATATAATGAAAAACAATGATCTGCCCCCTCCCACACCCCCGCAGGGCCAATTTTAACCCAAGGGCTTTTATTTGAACAATCTTAGTAGACACCCATAAGAAGATGTTTCATGCTCAACATCTATGCTGTAGCTCATTGGGTTTTTTAAAAGAAGATTTTTTAAGTTTTTACCATACACATATAGTTAAAACAATGACACCCCTGGGGCGGGGCCAGTTTTGACCCCAGGGCTTTTATTTGAACAAACTTTGTAGACACTTTCTAGAACATGTTTCATGCTTAATATGCATAAAAAATATTCAGTATCGAACATTGACAATATATCATGTGCTTATTAATAAGTTAACATTGTGTATGCAGGTTGTTATAATTCTATATAATGTAACTCTATATTTAATGTATGACATTGTGTATGACATGCTTTTCGTGTATATAATCAGTAATCGTATGTTATTATGTTATGTTCTCATGTAAATGTGTTAATCAATTGTTATATCAGTCACTGAAAAGTGGAATAAAAGATTATATATATATCTTTAAAAGAAGATTTTTAAGTTTTTACTATATGCATATAGGGAAAATCAATGACCCCCTGGGGCGGGGCCAATTTTGACCCCAGGGCTTTTATTTGAACAAACTTGGTAGACACCCATTAAAAACATGTTTCATGCTAAATATCTTAGCTCTAGCTCTTTGAGTTCTTTAAAAGAAGATTTTTAAGTTTTTATTATATGCATATAGGGAAAATGAATGACCCCCTGGGGCGGGGCCAATTTTGACCCCAGGGCTTTTATTTGAACAAACTTGGTAGACACTCATTAGAAGATGTTTCATGCTAAATATCTTAGCTCTAGCTATTTTGGTTCTTTAAAAGAAGATTTTTTAAGTTTTTACTATATGCATATAGGGAAAACAATGACCCCCTGGGGCGGGGCGAATTTTGACCCCAGGGATTTTATTTGAACAAACTTGGTAGACACTCACTAAAAGATGTTTCATGCCAAATATCTAAGCTCTAACTCTTTGGGTTTTTTAAAAGAAGATATTTAAAGTTTTTTCTTTCGGTTGCCATGGAAACCAGAGTTCTGCGTGGAATTAAATTCTTTGAACAATTTTTAAAGGTGACCACCAAAGGAACATTCCTGTGAAGTTTGGATGAAATTAGCTTAGTGGTTTATGAGGAGATGTCATTTAAAGTAAAAGTTTAGGGACGGACGGACGAAAAGCGATCACAAAAGCTCACCCTGTCACTTTGTGACAGGTGAGCTAAAAACACTTACTAAGCCCAGATGACTGAGTGTTATCATCTTGAGGGGTCTTTGACGGCCCTCCCCCTCCAGACACGGAGTTCTCACTGTCCGACATAAGTGCTGATAGTGGTTTGGCTACACCTCCTCCACTGGTACTACAACTAGCTGCCACAGATGACCCAGAGCCTTGAGCCGTTGGTGGATTGCTTCGCCCTTGCTGTTGACGCTTAGACAGTGAAGAAGACTGCCGCCCACTGCAACGAAAATGAATAAATCAAAATTTCATTAATATATTGTGGACGATTAATTCCCCCACCCCATTTTCATACCTTTTACATTTCATAGACTTAATTTATACATTTGAGCTTCATACAGGGGTTTATTTAAGCGGACGCCCGCTTGCCGCGTCGGGTAGAAATCGCCGCGGGCAAGTAAAATTTGAAAGCAAATTGCCCGGTGGGCAAGTGAATTTTCGCTATGTCTTCTATACGCTTTGATATCTTTTGCCGGTAATACTTTTCTTTCCGTTATAATACTGTCAAACAAGTGTATTTTAAACTATTTCTGATTGAAGTTGAGCTGCTATCAACCAATCAAACTAGTAAAAAAACTCTTTCCATTTGTCTTTCCTTTCAAAATGGCGGGTGGCGCTGAAAGTTTTCTCATTTTTTTTTTAAGTCAACAGCAATTAAAGAAAAAAACCACGGCAAAGAAAGAATCTGATTTGCTGAATAAATAGCATAAAATCACAAAAATTCAAGATGAGTTATGTCAATAAAGACTGACACAACTGCAAGGTTCAAAGAAAAGAACAGAAAAATCGTGCCGTTGAAATCTACTCCTTTGAATCCTGTACACTGTTTTTTTCTTTGTACGGTCAGTCTTTAACTGACTACGGTCAGTCTTTAACTGACTGGCGTCAACTCATATGCAATATATATATTTTTGTAAGACAAAATTCGTCACCAGTAATCTTTTTTTACACAAATCTTGACCAAAAAATCATAATAGTCTGGAACTGTTGTTGATTTATTTTCCTTTCTCTGACCTACAGCAATGTTTAAAAGTATTCTATTAATAAACAGAATAAAATAATCCATAAAATGTTTAAAATCCTTTTTTTGATAAATCACAGCATTAATTCTAAAAATATTGTGTAACTATAAGTTATCTGAGGTCAATCTATGTCATGCCTAATTTACCGACCAAAACAAAGAAAAAAAATTCCTTAGGTGAAACATACAGAAAATGACGTATATTTCGTCTGACAGTTCTTTGAACCAATCAGTGCTCTGACCTTTATGATTACTGCATGAGTCCCTTTGATGTGACCAATGATTAAACTTCAAATAAATTTCAATGCAAACAGGGAGCATAGAAATCAGACAGATCAATTTAAATTGAGTATATGGACTTGGAGCAACTTGTTTTTAAAAAATGAAATAAATTTGAAAGGTATGTAACTAGTTTGATAATGCAAACAAAGCAAACTTATTTTTGATATTTAACATTGTTTGAAATCAACAATAAACATTTAAATCCTATCACAATTTTTCAACAATCAATGTACTGTTTCCTTTTTAAAAGTTGTAATAGGCAATAAAATATTTTTTTAAAGTGATAGCATCTGAAAGTTAATACTTTTTAAAATCACTAGAATAGGGCCTAATTATTAACTGTAATTATTAAAAGCTTTAAACAGATCAAATGACTATTCTGGTGGAACCTTAGCAACCTGTGAAGATGTTTTCCAAGTTCCCTATTTAACTTCAAAGCCCTGGCAGTCTTATAGTCCAGTACATACATTTCACAACTCCAACCGAAGAATTAAGATTAAAGAAAAATTGCTATTTTTAAAGTTCATTGAGTTTTAATGCTTAATAATATCACATTGAAAAATTTTCAAAAATGTTTTTGAAAATAACAGCAATTTTTCAAAACTGCATTAGCCAATTTTGAAACAAGGCAATATCCTGCATGTGATCTAAACAAAAACTGAAATCAGATCACTGCGTACCCCCCCCTTGTTAATCTTCAAACCCTTCATCAGTGTAAGAAATTCGGATTTGAATCCACTAGGCCGGCGGTCGGACTACCAGATTGGAATATTCACTAGCCAAAAGACATTTCAGTAGCATGATTCATTTGTTCAAAGCAGTTGTTTATATTGCCTCTTGAAAAAAAACAGTAGTCAGGTCGGGCTTGTTACTGTAAAAAGTTGGTAGCCCCGAGGAGAAATTTAGTAGTCAGGGGCTATCGGACTACTGCTAATTTTCGAACACTGCTTCATTTTTACTTTTTTGATGTGAGGAATCCCTGATTTTCTAAATTAAATCTCAGGGATTTCTATGGGATCCCTGGCAAAGAACAGTTTGTGTCGACCCGCTTGACTATTGTGAATTAGCAAAAAAAAACATATACAGTAGGGAATTTAAGAGTATTTTATTATCTGAGGGATAAGTTGATAGGATCTGCAAAAAATCTTATTTTTACGCCATAATTTCTGCTTTGATTATTTACAATCTTCAACATTTAAGATCGGGCAACCTGCTTTTCCTGGGGGCAAAGTAGATTTTCAAAGTTAACTTGCCCTTTGGCGCAAGTGAAAGTCAAAACCTTAAGTAAACCCCTGTTCATATGTGATGAAGAGATCCATAGGTGACATTAAAACATTACAAAGCTTATGAAATGTGAACCTTACTTTATCATGTCATGTGAAAGCATGAACTTTCAAATAAGCCACCTGTAACTTTAAACTACTATTATTCACTGCTGTTAAAAACCAAACAAAATTTCTAAACAATAAGCCATACTTTCAGAAATTAAATATGTAAATATTTGTTATAAAATCTCTACTTTACTGACCTACTACTAGCACAGGAGCCCGTCTTCTTAGCACGTGTATGCCGCCGTAAGCTATTCAGCTCCGGCGGTGGGGGGAGGAAGTTTTGAAGTTGAAACTCGCCCGTAGCAACCTTTTGGACTCTCCGATTTCTGAGACTTTTTGTCCTTCTTTTTTGCACTTCTTCATTCCAACTTGGACTTTTTTATTTGGTGGCTGTGATGTGTTTGTGTCCCGGGGAATAACTAGTTCCTGCGATTAGAAAAACTAGCTGGCAACGCTTGCTCGTGAATACCCGTGATTTGTAACACATGACTTCGATTTTTCTCTCTAATTTAATATCAACGTCAGTTTTAAGATTCCACTTTGCTGCACTTAGCAACAGGTTCAACAAGCGATGTTGCAGATTTAGCGGTGTTTGATCTTTTACGATATACGCGATATGTTCCGACTTCAGCACGGGACTGTGCTTGTGTACTTGGTCTGAGACTCTCCTTTATTGACCTTAATAAATCTCTACCGCGTTCCTCAAGTTTACCTGTTAACGGATCACTTAAAGATGTTGAGGCTGATAATTTTCCTGCTGACAAGCAATGAGCTGAACACTCTGCCTTAGAGAAATCTGCTACACTAACAGACCAAGTTCTTGTTGACTTAACTTTCACTTCCGACTCTTTCCCTTTTTTAGCTTTTTTACCCTTGCGGCACTTTTCACAATTCGCAGTCAGCAAGCCTTCACTTGACACAGATGCTAAACTAGAACCGCTATTGCTTCTGGTTTTCGAAGAGCTTACAGAAGCTTCTCAGATGATGAATGAGAAGGTGCTACAGAAGGGCAGACCTCATTCAATACTTGATAATGTGCTTGAAACAGAAATGCACCACTCCCTTTTTCCTGGATCTTGACGATTTTGAATGAAGAAGGGTTTAACAGATACAGAGGCTAGCAGATGTCTTTGGGAACAACGATAAATTAATTCCACTTTTTCGTTAAATTTGATACGGCTAGATGGCAGACCCTTACTCTGCCCCCTACTTCCACTTCCTCGTGGCGGAGAATTTGTTTCCTTGAAACTTAAAAAACTTTCCCACCCTTTGTGGACCTTTTTCTGTTACAGTAGAGTCGTAATGTAATAATTCGTTTTAGTTTTTAGAATACCCGAGCTTTTCGCCTTCGCCTTTGTGTAGAAAATCTGGTAAGCTTTCTGTTTGAATTTTTGCGTTCCAAATTCTTGATTAAAAAATTTATTCCAGCTTTCTTAAAAGAAAGAAAAATATAATAATTTGAACAATTTTCATATGCCATTGGAGAATTAAAATATTCAAAAGACCAAAAATGTCAATGTTTGTTCTCCGGGTTCCCCTGTCGCTCGCCCAATTGGCGCCCAAATGCGACAAAATATTAATTCTGGCCGCCAATAAAAATCTTAACTGGCGAAATTAACTTGCACCAAACTGTAAGATAAACAGCATCCGAGCAACTAAAACACTTAAAAATATCATAAAGCGGCCGCGTCAATTACATAAGCCGCCCCAAATTGTGAAGGTACAAAACGCTATTAGTTGTTTATCAAACTGTATAAATCAATTATGTCAATCAAAATTGTGTGACAACTTCGGGGAACATGTAAAGATCAAAGGTCAATCGTGTTAATTGGAACAATTTTACGTCTTTCATTCTCTGACCTCTGGAGCAACTGATAATTACATGTGCGGTAACTATCGCTGGTGTTAGTATAAAGTACAGAAGAAAGTGTCAAGTGAAAGGATCTTCCATGATGTTGACAAACAATTGAACTTTAGGTAAGCTTGACTCCGTCAACTAAAAATAATTACAGTTTGAATATTTAATCGGATGACCAAATTAATTAAAAAATCGAATAATTTCACTAATATGATTTGATCTAAAGCCACTGTTACTGCAATGTTAATATTTTTCATATCTGATTGTAAAGTGCTGAAGTGTTCTATTCATATGACATGCCAAACCCTATTAAAAATATAAACAATTATTTTTCATTGTTAAAAATACTTAGTATCTATTTCATATTTTGTTCTCATTGATTTTTAGATGAAGTCAATTTATAGTAATGTTTTGTTTTTTTTATTTTGTATCTGTAGATCACCAGATTGTCGGGTAGAAGCTGTGAAAGATCTTGGCTCAGTCCAGCCTGCTGAGAAGAACTGCTTACTGGCAAAACGACTGGTGGAAAACAGGATGACTAACTTAACATGATGTTCTTGATTACATTTATGCTGTCATGTGTATTTATTTAAATAGAATTTGAAAACCACACATTAATAGTATGTCTATATTTTAGATAATAAACATGTGCAGCTGTAATAAAATGAAATATTATAAATATGTGTTTGTAATCATAATGATATATAACTGCTAGCATATCTTAGCAAAGATAGGCATGTCTCCCTTGCAGAATTATTGGCTCCAACTTTGGAGCCATTGGCTCCAACTTTTTCTGATTGGCGAATTTGGTGGCGCAAACTAATTTTGACCCAGAGGGAACCCTGGTGGTTTAATAAGCAAATTATAGTGTTTACAACCTGAATAATTATTAAAGTTTAACATTTTATAATCATAATTTAATTCATACAAAGAAACACTGACATACTTTTTCTTGGCATTTTCCCTTTTTAAAATCTGAATTGAGGGGTCTTAACACCCACTTAGCAGACGTGCGAGATTACAAAGAAATTCGGCAGTATTTGTTAGAGACACAGGGAGGTAATTTGGTGTGATTTTCATTTTCATTTTGGAAAAAAAATGTTTGAAAACATTTGGCATCACAGGCGCTTGTCACTTTATCAAATATTCTACATAATCGGCCTATATTATATATATATATGTATATTAAGATTATAGTATATACTTAGTATATAGCCCATATAGAACATAAACAAGAGCCCGGTTTGAGCCGGGTGATGCTCCCCGAATAGGTTTTGGACACAGGAAAGTACACCTCATGAAGTTTTAGAGTTATGTCCCTGGAAAAAGTTTAAAGTCCAAAATTAGGCAAGGCAGAGTTACTGTTCTTTGCACTGCACTTCTAATCCTAATCAATGTGATCTATCAACCTACAAAGTTTCTTGATGATATCTCTTATGATTTCCGAGTTATGTCCCGGACAACTTCAAAAAGTAAAAATAAACAAAGGGCAATAACTCCAGAATTAGGCAAGGCAGAGTTATGATTCTTGTGCACTGCATATCTACCCATTGAGATATATCTACCTACAAAGTTTCATGTTGATATCTCTTATAGTTTTAGAGTTATGCCCCGGACAAGATTTTTCTACAAGGGGAGATAATTCAAAAACCGGGCAAAATAGAGTTATGGTTCTTTGACACTGCACTCCCCCTCAATGCCCTCTACCAGTGTATGACGTTTCAACAAATTATCTCCATGGGTTTTCAAGTTATGCTCTGGACAAGACAACGGACGGACAGACGGAGGGACGGACAGACAGACAGACGGACAAGGCGCCGACTATATGCTCCCTCGAAATTTTTCGGGGTGCATAAAAAGTTTGCTTTAAACACCTGTGGTTGGCATTCAATACCCTATATTTAAAAAAAATTGAAATCAATTGTAAACGTGTGACCATATAAATGATTTACAAATATTCATTAATTGAACAAACATTATTTTTTATCCAGTTTCCACTCCTCCATTTGATATGTTCTATAATAAGTTATTTCTGCGCATATGCATTACATGTAACTGCGTGACACACAGAAAATCCCTTCCCTGGTTTGTGGTTATTTATGTAAATACTTTTTTATTTATGAACCAAATTAAACGATATATTGAATATAAAATCATTTTTTATTATAAAACACTGTATCAAGAAAAGTTAATAAAAAAATAATCAATTTATAAAATATAAGTCATATTTGGTATCTTCTGTCCGCTACGGATATGACTTTTATAGAACGTTATTCGAATATAACTTTAATATAACTTTTTTATTTATGGACCAAATTTAACGATATTTTGCATGTAAAATCATTTTATTATTATAAAACTTTGTATCAAGAAAATATAATAAAAAAAATAATTACTTTGTAAAATATAATTCTTATTTATAAAGTCATATCTGAGAATATGAGTCATCTCCGGTATTAAGACATACCGCATATTACCTGGCAATCCGCGACATTTGGAAATGGTTGATTCAGTACATGGGTTAACGTGAAGGACAGAGGATACCGAATATGACTTATAGTTCATAAAGTTTTTTCTTCATATGATATTTTATAATAATAAAATGAAATTACATGCCAAAAAGGGTTAAATTTGATACTGTAATAAAAATATTACATGTTATATTTGTTGCATGTTCTAATTTAAATAAAAGTCATAACCATAGCAGAAAGTAGATACCGAATATGACTTTTTACAGTACTGGACACGCGAAACCCGCACAATTCGCGCATTTGCGGCAAACCCTCATGCTTTATAACGCGAGTAAATTCGCGGCAACTTGAGACATTTCCCGCGAATTCAACTCGCGACGATTTTGCCGTGAACATTTGCCATGATTCGCCAGGAATAATACATGTTACTTTGAATAAAAAGTGTATTTAGCACTCTATGAACTTGAAACCATTCGTATATTTTAGATGATATACATGTATGAAAATTAATAAGTAGATCTACATGAAGTTGTATCAAGAAAATCTTGTAATATTTTGTAATTAAATTATTTTATTGTCTACCAATCAACTTGCATTTTGCTACCCATCACCTACTCATCTTGTGCACCTGGCATTTTTTACTCGTGAAATTGAAAGTAAAGAAAGTCTCAATTTAAGTGATAAAACATTTACAATTTTCAACAATTATAATTAGCGTACCGTAAAATTCCTATTAAACGCCCCCGGGGGCTAAACATTTTCCAAAAGGGGGGCTATTATTACACCACAGTTTTTCCTTAATCCAAAAATCACTGTAAAAATCACTGTAAATACATTTAGCAAGTGTTGGTACATTAATAACATTAAAAAGTGTTGAGGTTTGAAAGTTAATATTATACATATTTGTGTTTACTATAAATTCAAATGGATTCTGAATGATTTGAATAAAATGATGGCTTTAATTATGAGTTCAGCACTGATGAGAAGATTGTTTTCCTTATCAAAAAGCCTGAGGGGCCTTTATTAGGGGAGGGGCGTTTATTAGGAATTTTACGGTATTAGACGTAATATTGTTCTAAAAATAGAATATGTGCGAAAGTTAACAACGGATTTTAATTACATTTGTATTATTATCAAAGTAACAATTGGACAATTAATTTTGTTATCGTGCGTTCTTTGATGTAGTTCCAATTACATTTTGTAATTTTAATCTTGTTTTGTTGTTAACTAATTTTCATCCAGCACCTGATTGCTTTGTTTTCAAATACAAAATGTATACCTTGTACACTGTACATGTTCAATTGCTAAATATTAATAAATATACATGACATTTACAAGATTTTTTTCCAAGTTTTTACTATATGTATATAGTGAAAATTAAAGACCCCCAGGCAGGACCAAGTTGTACTTTCTAATACAAATATTGCTGTAGATTGGCCGATAATTACTGCGATACATCGCGGCGATTTTTCGTGAACCATCATGAAATTTGTCGAACTTGCAAGCGGCAATGTTGTACCGCATAATGTCCCGTCACGACATAGACTACACTCACGGCATAACGCGACTTTTGCGGGTTTCGCGTGTCCAGTACTGTAAGTTACATATATTGCACGCTT